TGACAAATATTCAGATGGGCGCATGAAATCTGCAATAAAGATAATGAAGAAAGGGCAATAATTATTGCAACCATGAATGAGATGGCTTACGTTCTTCAAGCTTGGTTGCCATTGATTGCTTGGCAACAGGTTGATGCTCCGCAGTATCGAAAGGGGTTCATCACCATTAGCGTACTTTCGTTCATTCTTATTCTGACGGCGTTTGCGATCAGAGTATTGTGGAAGCGGGAGAAACTCAGGTAGGTAGCTTATGGATCGAAGTTGACTGTATGCATCGAGGCTAATGCAGATGTAGGGAAGCCAGACATAAAACGGCTGAGTCATTGACAAGTAATAAAAATAATGAGAGACTATTCGAGGATGTTGAATCGAATATGGGTGTGGGTAAGGCTTTGGATTTGGATATTCGAGAAGGTAGCATCCCTGGTCCACAATCCAAAGAGCACAGTTCTAGGATCGATGAGTGAGCAACGCTGTTTTGATATTGGCTTCACTGGAGAGATCATAGCGCCACCTCATCTATCACAAGACTAGGTACTCCAATCTGCTCTTAACAGCGGGTGCAGTTCGGCTGTGGCATCAACTGTGCGATTGCTTATTGAAAAGCATGACTGCCCGCTGTTGTCGCGAGACATCTTCCGATCGGATGTTTGGCCCGATTGTCTGTGAACGGCACATTCTTCTCATGGGGCCGACTGTCATACTTTACAGATAGTACAAATGATACAGTGATAGTGTACAGTATTCATGACTTCCCAGCTTCATCACTCTGTCGTGAATGGTGGGTGATATTTAGTCGTCATGGTTGACCAAGATTATCATTGTTCCTATCGATAGAAGTGGTTCTTCATGAGTCGCATGTGGTGGGGTGAAAGATCAACCAATGAAAACCTGACATCTCGATGAAACGACCATACCCATCAAGACTGAGGAGGAACAAAGCCTTTGGATGATTAATGAATGAAGTAAACTCATATAAGTTAGAGGAATCTATCGAGGGAGCGAAGAAGGTAGAGAGAAGTAACGATTACCTCCTTACTATCATTATCATGTGATCACGTCGTAGATCCAAGGACTGGTCATTCATATAATTGTTCATATTAATTCTCCCCCCTCATTCCCCTCTCTCCCTATTAAAAACTAAACTAGTTATATAATTACTTATATTAATTCTCTCTCTCTTTTTCTCTCTCTCTATTCCCTTCTCTCCTTACTAAGAACTAATCATATAATTATTCATATTAATTCTCCCCTCTCATTCCCCTCTCTTCTCATTATTCAGACCAAGAAGAGAGAGTCTTCCGTCTGGGGTGTATAACGTACCAAGAGCTTGTCATAATTCTGCCCATAACAGGATCATTCACCGCCTGCTGAAACGACGCAGGATCTTTTTCGGTCCAGTCTATCAAGGTGGGATGTGGGAGAAAAAAAAAATCCTAAACCTTCAAAATGTCGTCAAAGTTATCTTCTGTTCGCAGGTATCGGCTCAATTTTCGACCTTTCAGTCACCATCAATTCCATCGGGATTGATTGTGTTTCTTCCGTTTGAAATTCAACTTACAATACAATCATCGGGTTCTGACTTCTCTCAAAAGAGTCGTATTGGAAAAGTCCTAAGAGTAAGTCCGTTCTCCTTATCTTACACGTTCGCGAATTTGGACGTCACGCTCTCTTCTATGAGTTACACCACGCTGAACTTCCTGAACTTGTTCCGGCGACAAATACGAATTGTTACACTCATAAGCAGTATTCTGCGAGTCCAGTGGTTTGAATTTAAATGCCCTCAAATTTGTCTTTTATTCCTTATCAGCAAGGGAACTAACGGAGTCGACATAGAATTCATATAATTACTCCATTAAACTTTTACAAAATGTGCGGAATTCTCGGTTTGATCTTGGCCGCATATGACGACCCCAATTCTACTACGGCGGCGTCGCAAATACACGAAGCTCTTTACTATTTGCAACACAGAGGACAAGATGCCTGCGGAATCGCTACATGTGCCGCTGGAGGCCGAATCTACCAATGCAAGGGTAACGGTATGGCTTCAAGAGTATTCCAAGATGGATCTCGCATTCAGGATCTCCCAGGCTTCATGGGCATCGGTCACTTGAGATACCCCACAGCTGGCAGCAGTGCTAGTGCCGAAGCTCAACCTTTCTATGTCAACAGTCCTTATGGAATTACCTTTGCGCACAACGGAAACTTGATCAACGCCCCAGAGCTCAAGCGTTTCCTCGACTTCGAAGCTCATAGACATATCAATACCGACAGCGATAGTGAGTTGATGCTCAACATCTTTGCCAATGAGCTCAATGAGACTGGAAAGGCCCGTGTCAACGAAGAAGATATCTTCAAGAGCTTGGAAAGAATGTATGGCAGATGTGTTGGAGGATGGGCATGCACAGCAATGTTGGCTGGGTTCGGCATCCTCGGTTTCCGCGACCCACACGGCATTCGTCCCCTCATCTTGGGTTCTCGAGTAACCGAAACAGGAGCTAAGGATTATATGATGGCTTCTGAATCAGTTGCTTTGAAGCAACTTGGATTCAGCGATCTCGTGGATATTCTTCCTGGACAGGCCGTCATCATCAGAAAGGGTTCCGAACCTCACTTCAGACAAATTGTTCCACAAAAGAACTATGCTCCAGATATATTCGAGTATGTCTACTTTGCTAGACCCGATTCTATTATCGATGGAATCAGTGTTCATAGAAGTCGACAAGCTATGGGAAATAAACTCGCCGATACAATTAGCAAGGTTCTTGGCCCTGAGGCAGTCAAAGAGATCGATGTCGTTATTCCAATTCCTGAAACCTCCAATACATCAGCTCAGAGTGTTTCGAAACGTCTCAAGATACCTTACTGCGAAGGATTCATCAAGAATCGCTATGTCTTCCGCACTTTCATTATGCCCGGACAAGGTGCTCGTCAAAAGTCTGTTCGCCGCAAGCTTAGTGCAATGGAGTCTGAATTCGCCGGACGTACAGTTCTCTTGGTTGATGACAGTATTGTCCGTGGAACGACCAGTAGGGAGATTGTATTGATGGCCCGTGAGGCAGGTGCAAAGAAAGTCATATTCGCTTCTTCTGCTCCACCCATTACCCACGCTCACATTTACGGTATTGATCTTGCATCGCCCCAAGAACTTGTCGCACATAATCGTGATAGATATGCGATTGCTGAACATATCGGTGCGGACGAAGTAATTTATCAATCATTGGAGGATTTGAAGGCAGCTTGTGCAGAACTCTCTCCTCGCGATCCCAAGACACAAGAATTTGAAGTTGGTGTTTTCTGTGGTACTTATGTAACACCAGTTCAAGATGGTTATTTCGAGCACTTAGAACAAATTCGAGGTGAAACTCGTAAGATGAAGGTTTTGGAAAGTGCGAAAGAAGCTGTTATTCATGGGGTAGCAGGAGAAAAAGAATTCAATCTCATCAGCCAGGGAGCAATAGTGGATTCAAATGGTCAGGTCGTCCCCGATGGCAGCCAAGATCAGGCCGGTAATGGAAATGAGAATGGCAGTGCGAGACCCAAGCTAGAGTCAAGCGAGTCAAGCACACCTTCGGTCAGAGATCGTCAAGATATCAGGCATGTTTACTCGCGATCGATACTTTATCCTGGACAACACACTGACTTTTGATAGTTTACATAACTTTGCAAGTGACTCCAACAGAGATTACAGCTGAAATTTTTGAAATTCAGAAATAAATTTCAACTTTAGCAAACTTTTAGATTAGATAAAAATGTGGCGCGGCTTTTTGAATTTGGCTACTTTGGTCAGATTAGCGATTCAACGAATACCATAAGAGATTTCGATGTATACAATCAGTGCTGCAATTAAATCATGAATAATCATTGCGCGACTCGTGAAGTGAAAGAAAACTCTGTCAGAACAATCTCAGCATGTGCCTCAAACTAAATGTTTTCATTCTATGTAATTTGTTGCTAGACCCTTTTGCATACACCGCGCGTCAGTCGCCGGTATTCTTGCTTCTCATACACGGTTTTCTTCCTTTACTGTCACAACTAATTATAAGACAGAAAAACAGATCCTTTCAGCGCCTCTCTCTATTCATATGATCCGCTTGAACGCGAATAATTGTTATAGAATGTCCCTTCTCATCACCGTATCCGGATTCCAATCAAGTACACCGTCTTCAGGTTTCTTGTTTCACTATTAGTGTTATTCAGTCAACGAAATACCTTTTCTCTTCTGCATCTAGCCCACATGGTGATAATTACTGCTAACATCTCTTCATCTGTCTCATGCCAGGATTGGGTCCAGATAGAGTAAGCTCGAAGTAGGTGATTACAAGTGCTCGCTTAGGTTTTGGATAGATACTAGGTAGGTAGGTACCAACAATTACTTTTTTATGGCGATGCAGAACCAACAGTTGTGAATATTGTTTGTCTCACATCTCGCATGTTCATTCGTACTTCGCCTCATGACTTCTGGATGTATCTGGGGAGGGGGGCTTTTTGATATATTGCGAGGTTGGGATATTGGATCCTGGGAAATGTATGGTGGAGGCATGTAGGAAGTTTATTTGTGTATCGTTGTTGGATTGGCTTTTGATGGTGGTTTAAGCGCAGGGTTAAGATTTAATGCGGAAGGCTATGAGAGTTGGTTTGCTGGGATGGGAAATATTGGGGATGAGGCGTTGGGCTTCTGGATCTTGGGGACGGCATGGGAGAGATCTATGAATAGTTTCTTGATGAGAGTTGGCTTGGTTAGAGAGTTTGTGTTCTTGATCGATGGCGCTGAGGTGGATGTTTGTTTTTGGTTTTCAGTATGCATTTCTCATGGTTATACAATGATGGGTTTTCTGGGTGTGATATTCATGGTATAAATATCTATGTTTCATCCCCCTCGAGAATCTCCATTTCAACATCAAACAGCCATCTTTCTCATTTCTCATCAGATCAATCTTATATCTTACATCTCTTCAATTCCTCAACTACATACTCAGCTTGTTAACCATCCATTAGCCATGCATTCCATCCTAGCACGTTCTCTCGCTCTCTTGAGTGTTTCCACCTACTTTTCCACAGTATCAATATTGCCACAAACATCTCCCGATCTTCAAAATGCCTTGGGATATAATATCGCAGAAGCAACTTTCTCTCCTTCTACAGTAATAGATTCCAAGACTTCCCTAGCAACATCTGTTTCTACAATTCCTTCCGATAAATCATCGTCCACAATTCCACTCAACCAACGCAGAAACACCGACACGGAACACAAAAAGAAACTTCCCCCACGCAATCTCGGTCCATTTGGTCAAGAAGGATTCAACCTCGCTACATATCTAGATACCGATCTCAGCAACACCGTTGTCGCAGTGACTTCTCAAATTCTCGCTCCAGTGCCTTCAATTACTTCTGTGAATACTCTTACATTGCTCCCCAAATATCCATTCCTTGCCTTCATCAAAAACTCAAAAGTGCTAATAAACCCAGGACCCGAGCTAGAGCGAAAAATTCCTCATTCCCACAACCACCATAACTGTTCCCGCTTCTACGATTTATTACACCGAAGCCACAGTAACGATTACCCAAACAACCATTACAATTACCGCCAGGGGAATTGGTACATTTGCAACCCATTCTCCCATTTCCCAATTACAAGAAAATAAAGTATCAGCACCACCGCAAACATTCCACACAATTACTACCGATAGGGCGTCTACACGCGCTTCTTCGATTCCTGGTCAAAGAGAAGGAAAACGTGGGCTTGAAGAAGAGAAAAAGGCGTGTGAAGCGCTGGGGGAAGAGGAAGTGCTGGGTTGTTTAGAAGCGGAGGGATTGTTGGTGCCGTGGACGACGAGGATGGAGGTGCTGGAGGGAAAGACGATGGTGATGGTGGAGGTTAGTGTGGGGACGGGGTGGGGAAGGAGGGCAATGGAGGCGAGGGCTACGGGGAGGGGGTAGGTTGAGGTTGGGATGAGGGGGTAGGTGTGGAGATGGAGATTTTCTTTTTTTGTTCGTGTGTTTTAGCCGCGGATTCGGGGTTGGTTGGGAAGGGGTTGAGGGAGTTGCGTGAAGGGGGTGATGAGTGAAGGGGTGGATGAATATCGATAAGCGAGAATGACAATGTCAAGTTGAAAACTGGTCTGTTTGGAAGTTTGGAGTACTCATGAGGAAAAAAGTAGCACAAGTTCGTCCTCTTTAGTCGAGGCGTTGCTCTTGAGAATCGAAACACGAATCCTGAATCATCAACAAGTGTGTCTCGTGCAGATTTTGTCACTATGTGAAAGAAAGTGAGGAAAAAATATCAAGCAAGATCTCAAGCCGGTTCATTGTGCTTTTCCATCGCGCATGAGGTTTGTTGATGATACGAAATCTTTCGTATACTGGTGAGCGTAGCAGACTAAGTCTAGACGAGGAGGATGTTGAGATTTCTGGGCTCCAATCCATGGAAGAGATACGTCTCAGTGACCACATTCTTAAAACCTATACATTGTGGAGACAGAAAGGTTCCATCGGCTGATTGCGCAAGATAGTCAGAAGAGTGGTCACTAGCAGGTATCGGATATTCCGGATTTGCACAATAGACATGAATGAGTCTTTGATGCGTGAGAGATTTGAGCAATATGAGTATAAGTTGAACGTTACTATCAAATTGGAAAATGAAGGAAGTTCCTTTACTTTCCAATTGAGAGGCAGATTAATATTATCGACCGTCCTGTTCAATTCCCCAAGACCTTTTGTTTGTTTGTTTGCTTCGAAATTGTTGATTTCAAATATCAAATGGGTTTAAAGCACTAGAAGATAGTCTGGATTATGGAACGAAGATATTTGCGCCTTCCTTCACAAGCTAGCGGTGATCGGTCCTTTCTTGTCGTTCCTTCTTCACTCGTTTATAAATTGGGTGTATTTCACTCTTCTATCTCCCTTTCATTTCCTAACCACAACACATTCTTTAATTTTAGTCTTCATTCGCGTGCATCGTTCTCTTTTACTTCTGAATCATTGAAAAATTATCTTTATATATTCTTTTGTATATCGAAAAATCCATAATCATGACACCAACAAGTTCAGAACTTTTTAATTCGAAACTCTTATGGCCAAAAAGTCAAATCATCAAAGGTCTGGGACGAAGCACTCTAGGATCAGACCCTCAAAGGGCAGGCTCTCTAGATTCAACTCCTCTGATATCAACCCCTCCAATGTTGGACCCTTGCAAAGCAGCCTTTCCAACATCAGCCTCAAACTTGCTATCAAAGCCCAAATTAATCAATGTCGCATCGCGACCAATTCCCCTAAGAACCTTAATCACCCTCCTCAACTACGAACGCGTAACTTCGGATTGGCGATTTGAAAATTTCAGTCTTTACCATAGCTCAGAAATGGAAAGTAGAAAGTTCGAAAAGTTCGACACAGTGCATACAGAGGGAGTGCGATGTTTCTGCTACGACGATAGTCCTTACCCACCAGACCAACAAATATGGCGACAAGCTACCTGCAGAGTACATCCTGAAGCACCTCCAGAAACTCGACGACTAAGTTCTTCGCAGCTTGAGCGCGCATTTTATGAGTCTCGGAATGCAGAGTGGAGTTTTGGAGTTGAGTTGATGTATCAACTTTTCTTCAAGTTTTGTGGGCAAGGTCAGCAATTGAAGATTCAAATCAGCAATGAACAACCAGTTTTGGTGGATGCGTCTGATATGCACGTATTGCACTTTCTTTTGATACATCCGAGACATCGGAATCTCAATGGGAAACATCGAGCGACAGACGGTGTCTTTCACAAATTGATGTTAGGCCGTCGCAAAGGAAGCGTTCTGGTATTTCCTCCGCGGCTGAAGGACATGAGTCCACCGGTAAACGATAAGAATCACACTACTAGATTTGAAGATTGCTTTGTGGTTGATATGCTACATATGCGATATGGTAAGAAGGGATTATTTGAAGAGCCTTACTTTCTAGGCAATGGTAGACAGTGGCAAAGTTTTATGTACGCCAATGTTTGTGAAGGTATTATAGATTGTGGAATAGAGCGACCCTGTTTGGCAAAGAACCGAGGAGAGTGTTCTGTGCGGACGTGGGATTGGTTTTACACACATTCACTGAGAGCCTTTCATAGATGGATAGCGAATGACCAAAACCCAAATTTTCTATGGTGCCACTATTGTGGAATCGGAGGAGCAAGATTTATTGGATGTTGTGGAGAGGGAGAGGAAATGACCAGGTATTGTAGTGAAGAGCACAGAGAGAGAGGATGGGCGTTACACCGGTTCACTTGTAAGAACAAAGTCATAGATTTGTGGGATGTGGACTAGTGTTGCAAGTAGGGTGGATTCAAACTCTAAAGCAAATTTAAAACTTGTAAGGAGTGCGAGAAGAGTGGGAAGATAGTTGAGTATTGTAGTTCAAAGCAGCGAAATAATGGGTGGCAGTTACACCAAGTGTCGATGCGAACGCAAGAAGTATCCCATGAGTTAGCGGGGGGAACTCAAGCGATCGGTGAGAAAATGAGAACATTAAGTCGACTGCTTCAATAGGGGAACTACAACTCAAGCGTATTTGTTTAGGGAACAGAACTCTAGCCAGCGTCCAGTAGTTTTACTTGCAAATATACTACACATTTCCATCTTGAAGTTGTTGTGAAAACATATTGACGTCTGAATACTTTTCAAAGCAAAGCGACATGAAGACACAAGATATGATTCTCGTCTAATTCGTGTTCTCCAGATGAGATGCCAAATCCCATTGTTTTGAGATACAATGAGACGACGGGTATGATCTGACGTATATTTCTAATCTTGCCCTTACCACCAAGGAATCACTCTCGTTATTGGAAGCCACAGTTGCCTTCCAAGTACTGATTGGAGAGAGCGTGGTTTCAAGAGAATTCTCCCATCTCATCCTTCCATATCCTATCCTTGTAGTACAGAAATGCCATTTATTATTCAGAATTCCCAAGAAATTGTGATACCTACCAATAGATAGTGCGGTTGTATGCGTAGTTTCTCGTCCGTAAGCGTGATATCCAAACACGATCTTCATGATTGGAAATCGATATCTTTAGTAGATATCTCAAAGCATCAGTTCGTAGGTACTAATGTCTACAACATCAAGAAACACTATGCAGCCTACAATACTTCGTAGGATGAAATGAACACTGGGATACTTGATTTACCGCCATGCTTGGATGAGTGGACATTATTCGAAGCGAGAAACACGGCATAGTACTTCAAAGGACTACCCGATTCAGTAACACGAGGCCCCTCGGTCCGTGTTTTGCATATAGCCTAAGTTGTTGTACGTAGGTTGTTCAACGTTGTCATCTTTCGGGGTCTTGTGCGGAAGGTTCCGTGGTGACACTAGCAGGGATTAAGCTCTCCCCAGAGATTTGTTTGGGCCATCATTGCGATGCTACTTCTTCCTTTTCTGAGAAGGTTGTTGTTCTTTGAAAGCATGCTTTGAAAGGGTTTATTGATCTTGGGGTCGTATGAATTGATCTGCTGTATTTCTTCTGGTCAATGGGCACAGTGCTGGATATCCTTCATTGAAAACAGGCCACCGAATCGGCCAGCATTTACCAATTTCCACCGGTATTGCTTAGGTGCAATCGACCAAAATGGAAAGAGACCACCCCCTTCCAGATGGACCTTTCGCAGGTTGGAAGCATGGAGATGTGTAAGTTGAGTTGGCGCAGAAAAATTGGAAACCATTGCTAATCTCAATGTGTGTATAGTGAGAAGCTCATGTTCACATTAGCCGCTGGAGCTACAGCAGTTGTTGGATGTTTTCTCTACGGAACAATTCGTTTCATTGAATGGTATAATGCGGAGCCAATTCTACGCTATTCTATTGCTGAGCTCAAGGCACCAGAGGAGAAGAAGATTTTGGAAAATCCGAGCATCAAGGTTCGTGGGAACAAAATAAATACAGGAGCAATGACGCTGATGATATATAGTCCGCCGAATCCTCAAATATCCAATGCTATGCTCCAGCAACTGGACAATTCCTAGGATATGTCACACCTTCAACGCCTGAAGATATCGATAGAGCAATTGAGAAGGCACAGGTCGCACAGAAGAAATGGGCGCGAACAACATTTACCCAAAGACGACAGGTACTACGATCTATGATGACATACATATTGGATCACCAGGATGAGCTTTGCAAGGTCGCATGTTTGGATTCAGGCAAAACCATGATTGATGCCGCATTGGGAGAAATCTTAGTGACTGTAGAGAAGCTAAGCTGGACTTTAAAGCATGGCGAAAAGGCATTGAGTCCTTCTCGAAGACCTACGAACTTGCTCATGATGTATAAGAAGAATACGGTCCAATACGAACCCTTGGGAGTTGTCGCTGCTCTAGTCTCTTGGAACTATCCTCTTCACAATTTGCTTGGTCCAATAATCTCTGCAATATTCTCTGGAAATGGAATTGTGGTGAAAGCATCCGAAAATACGGCTTGGAGTGCACAGCATTTTTCTCTTGTTGCAAGAGGAGCATTATATGCATGTGGTCATGATTCCAATCTGATTCAAGTTGTTACATGTTGGCCAGATACCGCAAATCATCTTTCGTCACATCCTGGGATCTCTCATATAACTTTCATTGGTAGTCGACCAGTCGCCAAATTGGTAGCTGCGGCAGCATCTAAACCTTTAATTCCAGTCGTTGCCGAGCTTGGAGGGAAGGATGCAGTCGTTATCATGAATTCCGCAGTCAAAGATCTTCCACGCATCACCGAAATCCTCCTTCGTGGTACATTTCAAGCCGCTGGACAAAACTGTATTGGTATCGAACGAATTATTGCTCTTCCAGACGTTTACGACAAAATTGTCGCAACACTCGAGCCACGGATTCGAGCTCTTCGCGTCGGCTCTGCTCTCGACTCTACAGCAGAATCGCCAGTTGATGTCGGAGCGCTTATTTCTGATGCTTCATTTGACCGACTCGAGAAATTGATCGCAGGAGCCGTCTCAGATGGAGCTCGTCTATTGGTTGGCGGTAAACGTTTCAATCATCCAGTCCATCGCTCCGGACATTACTTTAGTCCTACTTTAATCGTCGATGTCACCCCTGAAATGGCCATTGCGAACGAAGAGTGCTTCGGACCTATTTGCGTCGTTATGAGAGCCAAGAACCCTGAAGATGCCTGCAATATCGCAAACCAACCTGATTTTGGACTCGGTGCATCAGTCTTTGGATCCAAAGATTGGGAATTCAACGCTATAGTCAAGAACATCAAGGCTGGTATGGTAGCTATAAATGATTTTGGTGCATATTATGCAGTTCAATTACCGTTTGGCGGCGTGGCAGGCAGTGGATATGGAAGATTCGCTGGCGAGGAGGGCTTGAGAGGACTTTGTAATATCAAAGCTGTCTGTGAGGATCGTTGGCCATGGTCTCCTGCTTGTACTGCTATTCCTCCTCCACTTCAATACCCGATTCCGGATACAACAAAGGGCTTCGCATTTACGAAGGCAGTGGTGGATATTGGGTATGGAGCTGGAGTGAAAGGTAAATGGAGGGGAATCAAAGTCATGTTGGGGATGAATTAATACGAGATAGAGTAGTAATAGATGGAATGGCGGGCTGGCTATCGGCATGGGTGGAGGTATTTATTTAAGGTGGCAAGTTTTTGAGTTAATATCATATGCAAGATACCTTTATGCGAATACTTATCATGTACATTTGGGATAATGATCTTCGCAAGGGGAGAAAGAGGGAATAGAAGAACCCAAACTAAATCAAGAACCGAGACAAACGTATATTGTTTCCAAATTGTTTTCATGACTGGGATTCTAACAATGGAATTCGCTTCACTCTATGCAAAGATTCTCTCGTTACCTAGTGGTGAATACCAGTGCATGGCCGACTCATGTAGTAAGCAAAGTCTGATAGAGCAATGAACGAGACTTTCCACTCAGATTTCGCGCAAACCAAACATCCAATTACAAACTCGCTTCAAGTCTTGCATACCTCATGTCATCAAACTTACATTTAAATGATTTCGACCAGATCTGTTTACAGGATATGTTTTCGGTCTCTAATCATTCACGTTGGTTCCATCCTCCTCTCCAGCTTTTGAGCTTAGTATGCGTCAAATTTTCGACAGAGCAAATCCCATTGATTTTGAAATATTACAGATGAATCTCGATAACTGGTCCATTCCACTCATGTCTCCCCAATATAATATAGTATATTACACTAAATATCATTACGGCACCAGTAACCAAAGAGCTATAGTTCATGTTCGCTGCAGTAACCGGTGATGTAAAGGGCCAAAAACTGAAGAACAGAATAGTAGTCAAGTAAAGACTAGCAAAAGTGCTGTTGATAGTACCGAATACTCCGGGAACATGCCATGGTCCTATTGATTTAGTTCGAGTTAGTTTCCTGACACTGCAATGGAGAGAAGATTATCTTACCCCAAACCAATTGAGCACCTGTAGTATTTACCAAAGTTGGTCCATCGGAGATATCTGTGAGTTTTTGAAACCGTCCAGTGAGTCGACGATATAGTAGAAGAAGCGCGCAGATTAGATAGGAACTATAGAGACCCGCTACAGATAAAGATACAACGTCGTTAAAGTCGGTTGCGGAGCCGATATTGATCAATGCAAGTAAGCATGAGACAACGCATGTGATGGCAATAGACCATAGTGGAATCGTAGTGCGACTATCAACCTAGATTAAGATACAAAACCGTGTTAGTGTCAAATTAGTTGTAGTCCACGAACAATTCGTAGGATCAAGAGTGTATGGACTTTTGCACACCCACCTTTGAAATAGTTCTCCAGCCAGGTACACCATGATCTCTAGCAAACGACCAAAGCATACGGGATGTCGAAGCGAGACTGTCAACAGTAGCGCATAAACCACTAGCGACGCCATAGTTGTCGACCCACTCACAGATCTTGTCGCATGAAAAAAAATCTCGATAAATGGGTATCCAGTATTTGTCGATAAAGCAGCATCAATATCTCCAAGACAAAATAGAATAGGTATTATCATTGCTAATCCCATGCTTCCGTTTAGTATTATGCTCAAGATGATGGATCTGGGTACGACTAGAGATGGATTGCGGATTTCTTCGGACATCTGTGGAGCTTGTTAGTCTCCTTTGAAAATCTCGCTAGGCATTATTTAATGCCTCGTTTAGTAGATTACTTACGTGGAATGCACCATCCGCACCTAAGGCAAAGTTAGCACATTATCTTTATACCACCATTATCCAAAGATATTCAAAAGCTCACCAAGAAACGCAAAAAAATTCCCAATCAGCCCAACAAAAAACGAAAGTCCCTGACTCGACCAATTTCCTTCATTCAGCCACCCCGTCACATCCTTTGCCGAATCATGCGGTGCCAATATAACCAACGGGATCAAGATGCTAAAGAAACCTAAAATATGCAGTACCAGTATCAAACCTTTTAACTTCGGCAACAAACTACTAACCACCGTATTAATAAAACCCGCCAAAAATATCGCCGCCCAGTATAACAACGTGTCTTGCCACGAAGTTTCAGACGCCGCATATGAAAGAACAGTCAAGACAATCAAACTCTGGATGATAGTCCCCGTGAGATATCCCCCCGAAGCAACAAGACCTTGCCAGCCCGTCACCGTCAACCAGCCTTTCATGTAGCTCAGAAATTTCGAGCATCGACGAGGCGCAAGCATAGAAACTCAATGATAATGAACACCTGACGTAGGAGCCATCGAAACGAGTTCTGAGAGGGTGAAAAATACAGAGAGCTTACCAATCCAGACGAAGAGGTATCTGTAGATGATTCCGGCGGGTCCACCGTTTTGAAGACCGTGAGGCTTCCTTCACAGGTTATCAGGATGGTGCAGCTGAAGCCGAGGATGGACATGAAGGCGAAGTTTCGCTAGGGGATGTTAGGATTTGATGAGGCATCTTGGGGAAAATTGGGTGATGAGCGATGTTTGGAAAACTACAAGATTAACAGACCTTCAGAACTGGCTTCTTTCCTCATCGTTTCAAATATCTCAAGAGGAATTCTCTCTTTTTTCTTCCTCGAAAGACAATGAAGAATGAGATAATTTATCGAAACGATATGGTTACGGAATTAGATGGTTACAAGCTCTCACAGGGGTCTAATGAAAATGCTACATGTGTTTTTTTATCCATCCATGGAGTTGCACCTGCACATCGGCCAAGTCGTTGTTGTAGACTGGATTTAGATCCCTGATACATATCAAAATACATATCTTTCCTGAGCACTAGTCCGGGGGTTGCTTTATAGTTGAATGTTCTTATGAAAGAATCCAATTATGTTGGTATTGAATTTGATACTGATGTCGTGAGACTTTCTTCTTTACATCTAATTTACATCTGATTTACATCTGATTTCCAAGTACGAGGTTCGGCTATGATTCTGGATTGACTAAATTCGCTCTGTGCATCCCATAAATTTCCCTCATCAACCACTCTAACAGTATTTGATTGAGCAGTTGAACGTGCCGGCGCAAATTCTGACAGTTTCTGGCTCTCTAAATTGCCCCTACTCGCAAAGCCTAATTTCTAGCTAATCATGATTCTTATCTTTGATTTTTTTGATTCCTCGAAGATCAGATGTTTTGCGATTAAAATCGCGATCATCTTCTGCCGCCCTGCTAGCTCGTCGACGCAAGTTATCCAACCGTAACAATCCCGATTCTAGACTATCGAGAAACGTCTTCGAATATGGAACACATGCTGTGATGGTACTAAGGGACTGCACGATTTGGTTGCAGATTGTTGTTCGCCAGGGATCAAAAGTTGGATCATGTATCCTTTTATTCGAATAGAATAGCTGACAGGACACAGCGGCAATGACACTAAGTTTAGTTTAGTCAACTGAATTTCAAAATTTCCTTGTACTTATACTGACCAGATACGAGTACCAAAGATACCTATTAATGTGAGTTTCCTACTCCAGGTAGTCTGTATGTGTAATGCTATGAATATTATGAGCAAGATTAGACTGGCGTCAGTCACAATATTGACGATTGCGCTATAATTCCAAAAGGCTATCTTGGTCAAAGAATGTCAGCAAGAGTTTGAAAGCAAAGGCAGAAAGTAGAAAATACTGACTTGGTTGAAACATTCGCCACCTATACTATCCCACACCTCTGAAGATTGACACTGGAAGGCAATAGCCAAAATAGAAGTGATAGCCCATAATGATATCACAATCCCAAGAAATTTTGTCGCTATTCTCTCAGCTGCGATAGGTGTGAAGTCATATATGAACATTACTATAGAAATCTTTGCAAAGAACAAGCTTGCGATATAAAGTATACTTGCCGAATATTGGGCCTAAAATACTACCGATTAGTTTGGTGTATTCATCTTGAATCGTGGTTACCTACTTTCAAAATCGTTTCTACTTGCCCGTCTGTCAGTGTGTCGAAAACTTTACCAAGCCCATTTGCACATTCAATTGCAATCGCAATTGTCTGGCCGATGGAAAAAGCCTAAGGTCAACTGTCAGAACACTTCCACGTTTTCTCAGAACTTGCTTCGCTCCCTATTGATATTATTACGAAATGATCTTGCCATTCAAATTTCTCCGAAATAGCCAACTTTGTACCTAAATGCGCACATACTCCCAGAGTTGAGGCAGTGATTGGAATCCACAAAAATATCTGCACCAAAGGCGTCTTGTTGGAACTCGTTATAAGCGCCTGCGTTTGATTCACGCCGGAGGCCAAAAGGGGGAGTGAATAGGAGAAGAAAACGGGCTGCACAATATGGTTTGAAATGAAGAATCTTGTCAAAAGATGAACGAAGAAACAAGATAATCTTACAATCTGCTCTGGTCATGCTTGTAGGCTATGGTTTCTAACAGTCATCTTAAGATACGTAGGTGAACGAAAGACCGGGAATCATGACAACACTTGTTCCATGAGCGATGGCATTCAAGTTTCAACATTACGAATGCTAACGGAGGTTATGGTGACGCTCCTAACAGTTGGAAAACGTCGGCCTCATTTCCATGGAACATGGTTGTTATGTGCGACTGATAAATGCAAATCTTGATTTTCATCCATTGCGATATGGTAAAGTTCCTATAAGATTGTTATCAACAGATTCAGTTAACACAACAACCTAGTGTTACTTCTTGATTCCATGATTCTGTGTTGAAACCTGATAGCACATACCTTTCCATCCAAAATATTTTCCAAAAATGAAAAGATCGATCCTAAAAGATGGGACGGCTGAATGCTCGGCGCTATTACGAGGTGTAGTCTGTGATCGTCCAGCTTTTGCTTAGAAGCTAAAACTATTGTGAACTGTGAATGGAACCTAGAACTGAATGTTTGCCACAAGATCCCGGTGCCGTTTCCCCATACGGCAGCTCGAAGAAGATTACGGAGCAAAGGAACCTTTCTCGAGCCATGAATGTATTCCGGCAAAAGAAGGGTGCCGGCTTCTCTACTTGATAAGAATTATCCTTTTCATACCAGTTGCATATATGAATGTAACGTTGACAATACCTAAGACCCGCACTAAACTTGGCTCAGAATCTTGTTACCGTTTTATTTCAAATAACTGCGTCTATGCCCAAGACCCATCAGGGCATGTCTAGTCTGGACGAATCGTTGGTACAAGATTAATACCGGTAGTCTGGAACGCCCTGGCTTAGTGCTTACAGGTCCACTCTAAATCATCCGGACTTTGTTCCGGACCCTAGTTCCCGTATCTTTTTAGGCTTAACGAGATTTAATTCTAGTGAACACAAATTCGTACGGTACTTTAACCAATGTGTAACCGATCTTGTTCTAGACATAGCCGGCACATGTAGTTATCGCCTAATCTATCACCTATCCAGAACGCCCGAAACAACCTCAGGTCTGTCCATCTCATCGATATGACTACATGTTAGTACTCGAAGTCTCGAAATGACTCTCCAGCTTCAACCCATTGATTCCGAGGTTGATTTTCCTGCGCTTGCACGATGCTTGTTTGAGTCCTACGAAAGCCCTTCGCAGAAATTCTCTCACATTTTCTTCCCCATCCATGGAACAAGTGATATTGCCCACGAAGATGCAATCAATGAAGCAGCAACTCGGCTGAAGCTATGGCATACGCACGATCCATCGAGTTACTAGCAAAAATTCGTCGATACCGAAAATAGTAGAATCGCAGGAGGAGCCCTTTAGAAAATTTACCATGGAAATCCATTTGAAAACCCGCCCCCTTCTACTGTGACTTGGTTTTCGGATGATAGCTCCCGCAAGTATGCCGAGCAAGCACTGCACACACATTCTAGACCTCGATCTAAAGTGACACAGAAACCACACATCTGTGAGTAGATTAGTCAAATATACTGCTTGGAACTGACCAAAGTACAAGATCTTCATATCGTCTTCACACATCCAGACTACCGACGCAGAGAGGTTGGTCAACAGTTCATGAACTAGGGTATGAAAAAAGCGGATGATTTAGGGTATGACTTTCTTTTAGATGCAACACCGTACGGACGACCTCTATATGATGTGAACGGTTTTGTCTATGTCGAAGAGAACATAAATCATCCACAGACCGATCCTCCGGATAGAAAATGGAAGGAGATCGACGAAAAAGTAGGTCCCTTCACTTTCTGGCTCATGAGGAGGCTACCTGGCAATAGAAGTGAGGTAGAAAGACAAAGCAAATAGTGGAAAGATAATCGAAAACAATTCTGTACCAGTAACTGAAGTTCAAAACACATTTGACTGTTGTTCTTACACTTGCATCGAATGCGAAGTAAACCATTCCCTCTCCGCAAATCTCGAGCATCACTTTTCCGAAGCATTAAATTCGCAATTAATTTGTACCAGGTGTTCACATGAGTGAGTGAGCGGCGTTGGATGATAATGGTTGCAAGAACGTGCCACCACCCTGAATCGAAGGGGAAAGAGCTGTATGGATGTCGCTGTTATCAAGCGGAATCATTTACTCTGCGGAATCACATTGGTTGACTGCAACAATGAGCTTGAAATCAAATACCCTGTGTGTTTCATATCGTCTTCCAAATCAATTGTTCCAAATCAGGATTGGGTACTAGGTAGAGATGTGTGATCTTCCAAGCTCCATTGTCCTCCACCATTTGGGTATTCCACATCGATCTCTAGATGTTTGGCATACTTATAAAACCATAAACCATTCCAGAGAGTGTGTCCAATTTCCTCGCATTAGGCATTGAGAATTGGTATCTGGTTGATCGATCAACGGCATAGGGATGAGAACAAGTCAATACTCAGTAGGTGTCAGGGAAGTCCATAATCATTTCCACAGCTTCCTCTCCTTACTTTTAAATGGCAAACAGTTCCCAGCATCCATCTGAGGTCCTTTTTGTCCATACATCAGCTGTATTTCATCGAGGCAATATCCCTCAGCAGATGACGGGACTGACTAGGAAGCAAATCCTTTCCTTTTCTCTTTCGAAACAAGGAAAAAGAGTGAATGAATCGTTATGGTCCCATTTCATCCTTAACATTTGTAATGAAAAGTTCTATTGAGGTGAATATAAGATTTCCCCTCTTGCTTTCGAGGTTTCAATATTTCCCACCAGTTATTCATAGATACATCTCAAGTTATCCCGAAGTTTCCCCAAGTGGGAAGATGCTAGAATAATACTAGAAAAATACCTAGTATATCTGACGCTCAAGCCACTCTGCAGTCAAAGTCTATCAAACAACTACTCGTTTGGTATTAGTAAGTGTGTCAGTGGCGTTGATATTGTCATCATAGAGAATATACTCGAGTACCAGCTTTCATTGCCAAAAGTATGTTGACTCCTCATCTTTCGTTCTTCAATTCACTCTCTACATCTTGTTTTCTTCTACTGCACAACCACAATTCATCTCCATCCTTTCTCAAAATTGATCAATCATTTCTGCCTTGGATCTCTTTATTTCTATCATTAAGTCTCTTCCTCGAGCAGCTCCCAATTATCCTCACCTCCAAATTGACGTTCAATTCAATTAAGGTCAGGTTCCCAAATTTGCAATTTTATCATGCCCACTCGAGCCGCCACCAAGGCTGCAGAAGCTGCTGCTGCTCTAAACTCTGCAGCAGCAACTCTCTCATCTCCACCAACTACACCCGCCGGCCGTAAACAAATCTTCGAAAATGTCGCCACTGGTTCGCCAACCAAGTCTCGAAAGCGTGCTCCACCGAAGAAGAAGGCAAAGTCAGCGGCGGAGCCAATGACCGGTGGTTGGGATGTTCTTCCTCATGGAATGGGACAAAAGGGTGATCTTCTTGATGACAATTTCGGCAGTACCGGCATGGAAGAAGCGACTCCCACCACCCCTAAGAGAGCCACCAGAGTCAGAGTTACCAAGACTACTGTTAAAACTTCTATCAAAGATGAGGATGAGGAGAAGCCACTTAATCTTGGCGATTCAGTTATTCCTGATCTTCTTGAAGATATCAAGGAAGAAGAGCCCAAGAAGAAGAGATTGCCACGCAAGAAAAAGGTTGTCGATGTATCCACGGAGGTTGATGGTTCCTCAGCTAAGCCTATCAAGGCAAAGAATAAGAACTACGGTATCGTCTTTGGTGAAACACCTTTCCCCGACCACGTCTCGCCCACTGCTCAAGAGGCCGAGACGGTCAACAGCTTGTTGACTGCTCTGCATGGTGAAGTCAAGCCACCAGTTACAGTTCCAGCTCCCTCCGATACTGTAACTGGATGTGGAGAGGTTCCGGATGTTCTCGACGCGACTATGAGAACCCTTCTCAGTGCTGCGACCACTGCTGGTAACGCCAACAAATCAATGGCAGGTCTGAAGGCGGAGTATGGGTTGAGAACTTCTGGCAAGGGCGCAGGCAGCGTTTCATGGGAAGCTGTACATGCTTCATCAAGGGAAGATGTTGAGGAGGCTATCAGATCAGGCGGGCTTGCTAAGGTCAAGGCAGGCTATATCAAGGCAATTCTACAAGTGGTTTTCGATAAAAACACCGTACTTCTAGAGACTCTACTAAAGGAGGTCAATACTAATGTTCCAGTTCCATTCGTCGGAAAGGTTCTAGAGACTAAGGAGCAAAAGGAAGCCGAAATCAAGAGCTTGCGAGAGAACATGCTCTCACTTGACTATGTCCACTCCTTGGATAAGCCAGCTGCCATGCGCGTATTGATGGATTTGCCAGGTATTGGGGTCAAAACTGCAGCATGCGTTGCTTTGTTCTGCTTGGGAAGACCTAGCTTCGCTGTCGATACGCATGTCTGGCGTCACTGTGTTTGGCTTGGTTGGGTTCCAGAGAAAGCAAGCCGCGATCAAACCTTCAGCCACTGCGAAGTTCGAATTCCCGATCACTTAAAGTACTCTCTCCATCAATTGTTCCTCCGACATGGAAAGACATGTGGTCGCTGTAGAGCTGCAACAACCGAGGGTTCTGTGGATTGGGAAAACACTGTTTGTCCAATTGAGCACTTGGTCAATAGAACTGGAGACAAGAAGCAACCAGGGTTCAGGGCTGGCAAGAAGGTGGTTGTCAAGAAGGTTGTAAAGAAGGTTGGCAAGGGTTCTAAAAAGAGAAAGAGAAATTCTGAAGACAGTGACGAGGAAGCAGAGGCTGAAGCAGATGCAGAAAATGATGAACAGTTTGAGGAAGGCAAAGAAGAAGACGATGCTGACATTAAAGTCGAAGTTGACACTGAATCCCGCGTCAGCGTTCAAACAGACTGAATAATTCTTATCATGGAACGAAAGAGGCATCTATTCACGGCACATACAAGGAATGAAGCATTTGCATACTTGGGGTTATTTTCTAGCTATTTGCTATCAATTTGGAGCTGACATGAGGGTGGCATAGTTGGCGTTTTTACTAAGATACCCATTTGCTTTTACTGATTACGTATCATTTCATTGAGATGATGTACTGGGAAATATTGGAGTATTGGGGTACATGAGAGGAAAGAGATACACGGGAACACACAATACAATTAGGTGCATTGATTGCATTCACATGGGATAAATAGGCATACATTGTGAACAGAGCTTGCACTTATTCCATTGTAATAATAAGTTTCAACATAACTATTTGGCACTTGTGGAATACGCGTGATGAAATTTTGTTGCTTTGATACATGAGATCAAGTTTCCTCGTTCAATGCGTATGCCATTCTGATTATCATCACACTCTTCCAGTCCTACTTCTAACCTCATAGATCCCCGTGCAAAAATCACAATGGCTCCCTTGCTTTCCATATTCTATTGTTAGAGCGGAAAGTCTAATATAATGTTTATGTATTGGGACCGAGATGAGTTAGATAGATCACTCAAGGTTGAGATTGAGGAGCCGCCTGGATTTATGGAACAATTCAAAGTCTCCGTAGGCCAGTGTATACTAATATTTCCAATGGTTCTTTACATGATCGATCCCACTTCCATGCATTTCACTATCCATGTAAAAACAATGCCTAGCGTATCAAAAGTGCAGACTTTCAAGAAAAGCTTGATGACATAAACTTTTCTTATAAGTACATCACCTAGGTATCACACGCAATTTAAAAAAGACTTTTTCTCTCCTTAAGTCAACTTATCATGACCTCTCAATCCTCCCGTCATCATCTCCCTAATCGTCTCTTCTATCTCCTTTGGCTTCACCCCCACACTCGCTAACAGCTCATCCGATTTTCCATCCTTAATCTCACACTCTCCTTTTCACTTAGCGCCATATAACTACTAACCCACCACTCCAACATCGCTCTCGGGAACCCCTTCTCCGCATAATACTCGACATATTCCCATTCTGACACAATCTTCAATCTGATTTCCCTCCCCTTAATCCTCGACACCGTCTTCAGAACCTCATTCAAAAACACCGATTCCCTCGGACTCAAGTACAAAAATTCCTCCTCATACATCCCCGACCTATCCACTAATACCAACGCATCCGCAATCCCCAAATCCTCCAAACTAATCATACTTACTCCCCCATCCCCCGCAACCACGACTTCCTCTCTAGAATCCGCAACCGTATCATAGAAACCCGCATACAGCGGCCAGGATTCCTGGTACAGTCCCTCTCGTACAATCGTCCACTTGATATCTGCCAATGTTGTCAAATACGCTTCAGTTCTCAAATGTGCACGCATCACCCCCGCTTTACTCTCTAATCCAAATGCTAATGATGCGTATACGATATATTTCACCCCCGACTCCCGTGCAGCATCTATTGCTGCGAAATTATGTTTTTCGCGACCCTGGCCGTGAGGTACATTGTGGTAATCGAGATCATCTTGAGGTGTGGACATTAAGAGGAGTTTGTCAACGCCGGAGAAGGCAAGCTTCATGGTGGATGGGTCGTTGTAGTCTGATTTTTGGATTTGGATTCCTTGAGATTTGAGGGAGGTCAATTTGGGGAAGGAGGGGTCGGATGAGGGAGCGGAAAAGGAGGGCGTCAAGGACAGCTTTGCCTATTTTGCCGGTAGTTCCTGTGAGGGCGAGCATTTTGATGGTGTGCTTATTGGAGGTATTTGCAATTGTTGAATGCGTTTTTGTAATGAGGAAGTTTAGATTGATGAATGAAATAGCTGCTTCTTACACTCCTCAGGTATTTGTATCTCATGTGGAGTCAACCATGATTAATAATCTCGAGCAAAAGAACACTCTCCTGTGGAGTTTAATGGGGCGCATTGAATTCGGGGATAGGCAATAGATGATGAATCGTCTGGTATTCATCATCTATGTTGTACAAGAATATGTATAAAGAGAGAGACCAGGCAAATATACTTGCCTGACAGGAAGATCTTTGAGATTCACATTTATTCAAACCATCACAGGCATGCTTCTCTTGGAAATTTGAGTATTTTGAGAATACCGTCAGACAGAGTAATGTTGAAAACAACTATAAAATCAAGAATGGGTTGCAGAATGAAGCTGGAAAGGAAATTGGGGTTTGCTTTGTAAGTGAAAGGAGGGGTTGTACTCTTTGGATCACGTGAGACTCAATCCCGAGATGGATGATCTTTGACTAACAATCTGTATGGAACTTTGAGATCCAGTCTTGGTAGCTGGTGCTTAACAATATTGAGATTTTGCTTTCAAATCTTTATCGGAAATGTCGTATATCTCTTATTAATCGAGGGCTGTACTTGTAAGAAGCTCAACTGAAGTTTCATAGGTAGGTACGCATTATTATTTTCCTCATAAGGATAATTCGCAAAGATATAGCAACGGCTATGGATTGAAGTGGCGAAAGAAGATAATGATTCTCTACGGCGCAGGTAATGAGAATATCATCTACGCAGAACCATTTCTCGAGGGTGAAACAGCAGATGGTTACGATCACAAGCTTGATCGTCAGAGCTCAGGCATACAGATATACGACTACATACTTCAAATTACCAAGGAGAACTGGGGCAAAGCGTAATAAGCCATAGATGAACTGCAGAATGATGAGTGGGAAGATCCCTATCTCAACTTTCTCAACACTAAACTAGATAAGATTGCAGATTGTAAGGTGAGAAAGAATTATGTATCCGAGTCACGCATCACAATTGCGAAAGTGGAGCAGGAGAAGGAGGAAAGATCAAAAAAAGATATCAAGGCTGAAGTATGGAAAGAAGATGAGATAAAGATCGAATTCGAAGAGCAACAACGTCTCAATGCAGACTTGGCTCTGACGTGGCTATACCATGACTGCGTTATCTTTGTGTCTTGAAGTAGATGTGAATTTATGAGAACTTGGTCTATTCTGCATCCCAAAACCTCGCGTGTACGCAAAGCTCCAAATTATAAGGATAAAGTGGCTCTTTCATAAATGCGCGAGGATTAAAACCCATCCGGTGGCTCGAGTTCTGTTGTAAAAATACTTTTAGATGTTTGATTCAGATGCTTGAAGTATGAGGACAAATACTAATCCACAAGAGATCGGTAATTATTCCAAATAAAACAGATCTCTTCAACCTAAGGAATTCTTGAGGGCTGTTCTAGTTGTTTCTTCAAGAGTAAGCAATGCTATTCCAAGTTCAAGCTGGCTCAGATCTAAGTTCATAGATCATTGCCGGTACATAATATTTGAGAATGCTGTATGACTGTATGGGACGGAGAATTGCGTGTGCTTTTGAATGGAGTGGAAATACTGCAGAAACGTGGCTCCAAAAGCAATTACAAGGGAATGCCAATTAAAACTACTTTGTTTTTAAGAAATCGATATTGAAATGTTTAATACTTCCTCTACGCTTTGGTACTATCCTTTCGGTCAACGTACCCCGAATCCTTGATCCTCGCTTATCAACTGTCAGATTGTGCGTGCAACGAGGGGTTCGAGTAATTATATGTAGAATTCTATGAAGAACTAGGAAGGAATGCGAAGGTTTCCTTTACTGATATAGACTAGGCTAGAGTGATGTTTGGCAACACTCGATTTGTCGGCATCGCTCCTCCACACCAACATTCACGAATCAACCTCACCAGCTCACTACCAAATTCAAGCACACCTTTAGACTGTGTGTTATTCGCCTGGCATTCATGAAATCAGCGGCGTGTATTGATTTTGATGAGTTTGTTTAGAATGCAATAGGATGAACCTTGTTTATGAATTGGAATCTTCCTTTTAGTAACTTTCTTCTTGAGATCGCTCCGAGGGAAGGTTCTCTTTATCCATGCTATCTCATGTGTTAATGTATTTAAATCTTTTCCGGGGCTAGGTCTCCAATTTTTTCTTTCTGCTATTCAATTGAAATTCCTATCTTTCAAGGTCCGCTCTTTCGCGAAGGATCTCGGCTCTCGTTATAGTAGAACTTGACTATACCGGACTGGGATATACCGGAATCTTGGATATATCGGAATAATTTCCTCATTTTGATATTGGATTTTTGGATATATCGGAATACTGGATACTTTTTTTGTAAATCCGATATAAATTTTAGTGGTCAATCTGGCTGAATAAGCTATATTTTGGATGAGTAAGCTTGAAAGGCTATTATCATATGATATTTTCTTGAAGATATTAGGGTTTAAAGCTGAAATCGAATATAAATTTTAATTAGGAAGTTTAGGCCACCATTTTTTATATCGGAATCTTTTTTATACCGGATTTCATTAGTCGAAAATTTCAGTTTGGTATAATCAAGTTCTTCTGTACTATATTCATCTCGCTTACGATTTTGCTATTCGTTTGTTAAATATAAATTAATTTAACCCTAGCCCTATGCAGCGTTGTCGTTTGTTGCGAAACAGACTACATTCCTGGTCTGTTACCTTCGTCATTTGACACCGTGGAACATGAACTTGAAATAATCTATTCTCTCGTCGATTGTTTAATTCGGTTATAACGTGATGTTGTTTTCTGTGTTTCGAAGAATCTACGATTCATCTTCTAGATCATTTGGTTCGACCACCGTTCCACATATCCACTGGCCAACACCGACTATGAATTCAGAATTCGAGGCCTCGACATAGTCTCCTGGATAGCTTTTAGGTAGTGAAATCATGGACTCATCGTTGATACTCCAAGAGCTACTCCAAGAGTTTGGAGGAGGTGAACAAAAGTTTTCGTGATACAAGCTCATTTCAGAACTTCTTGATGTATCAAATCTATCAAAACTCTTGCAACTCTGATTATCATCAAGGTTAGGCTTTGAGCTTTCAGTCGACATGGATGGTTCGAGCCAAAGATCATGAAATTCTTCCCATTCCTCGCATCGGGAATCGAAAAGCTCAAAGTCCTCGAAATTGAGTCCGCCATCGAGATTGGTCGGCACGTCTATTATTCCTGGGAAAGATCTCGATATTGATACCTGGACTTGTTCAAATTTATATTCATCTGTTGATAAATTAGATCTAGCATATTTCCAGTGTACTAATGTGGAGGTATGGCAACATACCGCAGTCACTCATTTCGGTATTGGCACTTCTATTCCTGCAATAATGATTCGTAGAGCAGCCAATAACATCAAAGGATAGGGCCAGCTCATCATCAGATTGTAAGTCATAGTCCCAGGTATGTGTCGGAAAGATTAATTGTGATATTGCCTCTTCTCCATTGAAGTTTCCTTGTCGACCTTGAGGGTATATAGAATTTGGAGACGCTTCGTCGAGCCGCGGTAAGTTATGATCATATTTGCAATGATAGTAGGGAGCTCTATTAGTGTGCGTCATTTCGATTGATACGCAGCTTGCTCGAGAGTGATTCGTTTTAAATTGGTAAAGAATAAGTACAAATAATAAGACAGTATGCAAACTGGGCTGCTTTTGTAGCCATCTTACCTCCCAAATAATATGGATAGTGACCTGTGCACTGGAGGCGGTCTTTTGTTTAGAGGATAGATATTTGCAAGCGGTCTCATCACTGATTTTGAGCTTATAAACACATGGCATCCGTAGAATGTGGTGGTTGATCCCGAACGCGGGATGGTCTGTAGGTGATTTTGTTTATTTTGGTAGGGCTGGACTGTAAGAAGGCGGTCTCTGTGGATTTCTCTTATAATCACCCCTGTCAAGATACTAAAGTCGCACCACTTGATCTGACATCGCCGTGTATGGTGTGTTGCTATTGATTTATATCGTGCATCCGTTACTCTCATCCGAAGCTAAGCGATGTCCAATCATATTCTAGGAAGGTATATATATTCCTAAGACCGCCTTCGCTTTCTTGCCTTGGGTTGACATCTACAACCCTGCCTGAAACCCCGAGGAATAGTAAATGTCTTCATCAAAAGAATTTATTCAGTCTACAGTAACAAATTCTCACATACTCGACACCCATTCTCAACTTTATTATCTATATTGAATACATTGTTTCTTGTTGTTTAGTTGGATACTCAACAAGGCGGTCCTCAGCAAGATCAAACAACCGAAGGAGAGCAAGCACCGTAGTATTCTTATGCCATATGCTTCAAGTCCCAGATAGATTCACCCTTGCCGGCTCCATGTCAGTGATCACTTCTATCAACAGTCAATTATCATTAATGTTATTGACTTAGCACACCCCATAGAAAGAACAGTCACTATTCGCATGGGGGGTTTTGCGCTCACGTGACTACATTCATGAGACTCGAGCTGCCTCTCGATCATTCATCCTCATCATGGATGACTTCCTAGATACTTCTGGAATTGGTGAATATACTACAGTTTTCACTTTGCATATGCTAATTCTCATAGATATGAATAACAATTCAAATCTTTCCATTTATATCCAATTGATTACCTTCAGAAAAGGCTCGGCGGATGAAATAGTCATTGATGCACGAGAGGATTGCCAAGTCGATACTGCTCGATGTCTGTCGAAACGACTAGATTTTCGATTTCGCTATGCATATGATACTCGCAAAGTCACTATCACCCGGAATTCATCTCTTCATAATTTTGAGTTGCCCGATTTGGACAATTATCAGACTGATTTGCAAGGATCGTTTTATCATGATTTCATCATTGATGCTGGAGATTCAAACATGGACGTGGACATTTCCGCGTACCAAGATCTCTTAGCACCACTACCTGAGTTCTTGGGTGATTTCGATGTATTTGCACAAAACATGGGACTTTCAGATGAGCGATCAGCCGACGTGCTACTGAATGATTTGAATCCGAACAACGACACCTTTGATACTTCTACAAATGGCTTTCAGATCGAGCAAGATCGCGATGAGAGGTTGCCAGACTGGATTGACCTGGTAAATATCGTGGATCAAGAGGACTTCGATCCGGACACCAACATGCTGGATGACACTCGACGCGACAATAGTACCTTGGAGAATGCACATGAATCATGCGAAAGTGTTCAATTGGTAACGGATACTGCAGTTGCCAGCGGAATTCAGAACTCTGTAACCGATATACCAGCATGGAGACACACACCTCCAGCTCATGTGGCGGTACTAGACGTACCAACACCTCGACTTCTTAGTCCTGTAGAGCCGGTCCATAGTGTGCCATCAAAGAATCAACAGTCACAAGGAATTGACATTGTTATCAAACCTAACCTGGATCAAAGCGATTCTAGCCTCGGCAATACATCATCAAGTTATAAAGAAGGTGTTTTTAGTTCGACGCCTGGTTTTTCGAGTATGCCAACTACTTATGGATCGTCACCCCGTCGTATGGGCCCTTTGGACTCCGCCACACGTGCCAAAGCAAATGCTGTAAAAGCTATAGGGGCTTGTTGGCGTTGTAAGTTCTTACGAAAGCCAGTAGGTCTACCCGTCTAAATTCCCTTCACCTCCAAACAAAATTTTTGTGTGGTATGGTTTTTTGTTTTCTCCTTTTTATTTATCAGTGTGGCTTGGAAAATCTACGCAAATCACTTTTTCCCGGCAATGATAATTCGTTCACTACTACCTTGAAGTGTGTGTCGCGACACATCAGCCAAATGCAAAGAAGGCTCTTTTCAGACGCTTGATTTGGTGTTATTGTATACGGCTCTACTATTCATGAAGATTGTGCCCAGTCCATACTCAAACTATCAAGTACAGTTAGCTGACAATCTAAAGTGTGATGCACAAACCTGTTGCAGTCAATGTAAAGGGAAGCAGGGTGGACAGTGGCACAGTATTGGGTGCAAACGGGGAGATATCAAAAACAAAATGTTGCCGGTATCATTGTGTCCTAAAAGAACCATGCAAGCATCGATTCCATCCGAATTATCAGAAATTTATAAGCCATGGCTTTCTGCAAATCGATGTCGCCTCGAGATCTCCGAGTGTCGCGAAAGGGGTTTACGTCCCGAGATTATGAGCGCATCACACCCCACGAAAATTGGGCGATTTCTTCAAAATTTGGCGACTGATAGGCAGCTAGCAATTGATCTACAGCGAAACAGATGGTCCTTGTTAGAAAGATTCAAAGATACTGCACCAGCTATGTTGGAGCCGCTTGATGATTGTATCTTGACTATAGTATGGGGACTTCTCAATTGTGAAAGTGCAGCAAAAGCAGTTCATCCCTGGATGGCATTACACAATGGGACCCTTGAAGATTTTGTATTACTCTTAAATTCTGCTGCTGTATATCAAGTAAGTTTTGAAAGTGTAAGTAGTAGCATTTTACATTCCTCATGGCTCGAGCTCACAAATTTGCAGAATCAACTAATCGCTCACTCGCTCACCTGCCTTCGGACTTGTGTCGAAGCTCTACACGTTAATACATTGGGCGGCTTCAAAGATTCCCATGGAGCATGCGAATTAGCTACTTGTAAGATCGATTGCATACGGGATCTCGAACTACAAGTAGAACAGTACCTTGATGAACTATCTCGGGTTATTTTTCTGAAAGAAAACATGCGAAACCGATCCTGGTGGCTGTCAGCATTCTATAGTCTTTGTATTCAAGGGGTGATTCGACAAGCATTAATATTATTATCCTCTAACGACCACAGCGAGACATCTGGAATTGAGAAGTTGACTTCTACGCAGTATTTATACATTGCGATTCGGTTATTCTCTGCGAGTTCCGGCACCCATGATCCGTTAATTCAAGACTGGTCTTCGCAAATTGCGTTTCGGTCTGCTGAAGTCGGAGCACCAAGCATCGAAGATTACCAAAATGCCCAATCAGCAATCAATCAATCCCAGTGGAAAATTAGGGGTATCAAGAAGTCTGGGAATTATCTGAAGAAACTATTTGAAGACAATGGAGGTGCTCTTGCAGAACCCCATGATTGTGGAACACTCACCATTTTACCCGAACCATATCTTCCGAAAATATTTACACTAGAAACTTGTCGTCAACTTCGCGCCGACTGGGACTTAGCTCGATGCAACTATACGAAGAATTTGTTACAAATCGTCAAGGATTGTGGACATGACTCAAAAGCGTACACTGATGCTGAAGGGAAATGGGGATTGGTGGAGGCTGAGTGGAAAAGGGTAAATGATGAGGCTATGACGAACACTGTCAACCAAGCGCACAATGGCCGCGAAGCACCGAAGCCTCTCATTCCAGAGACATAGTACATTTCGAGTCGATTGAGGAAATACAAATGTCAGTGTTACAGTCATTGACAAGTTGAAGTAAGCTACCCAATGAGAGGGCATCAAACAATTATATGAAACCCTCGGAAACACCAACGCTAGATGTTCTCAACATTGCTTCCGTGTCAAACTACCCCGCCTCAATTTCCCATTTCACTTCCCCCATTCTTTGCCCACCCTCGCTCTTTTCTCATCTATTCTTCACGCCTCCTCTGAAACCGAGTTTCTCTCGCCTTTGCTGAGCAATGATAAGACTTTATGGACGAGATCCAATCGGAAAGATAAAAAAGCACCTAAGTTTACGAACCGATGAGGTCCCAGTGAGGGCGTAATGCCGAAATGCCGTGAAAACTTGGTTTCGTGTTAGACTCATTAGTCTGCAACTAACAAACGAGGAAGGCGAAGTTCAAACAACTTTGTGCTCAGAACGAGATCGCCGTAGTAGGTTCCTACTTGTGGGAAGAGACCTATAACCTATCTCCATTGACCAGGATGGGTAATCTGCGAAAATCTGAAAAGTCATTACGTATCAAGAGAATTAGGGAATTGTAGAGGGTGAAAAGATAAGCGAAGAGGAGAGTAGCCAGGAGATACAAAACTGTTATATAAAGAACATGAACAATTGGTCCCCATTCGGTCCGTTAAGATAGACTTGAAGAACCACTAGAGACCGGATGATTTGTGCTTATTTTTGGGCATTTTCGAATCGATTCTTTGTGGAGATCAGATTGGATGGGAGAGGGTGGAAGGTTAAGATCCCAGAAACTTCAAATACATTGGGAATATGGGGGCATGGCTAGCTCTCTCGCCCGATGTTAGATGAGAGTGGTATACAGGTTGGTGATGAGACGATAAGACTGGACGTTATGTGAGATTACATGAATGAGGTAGGATTATATATGAAGCTCCCTAGGCAGATAGTGATAAGTATGTAATGCACATGGAAGACATTCAAGCTTGCGAATGTACTGTTTCATAAAGATACGCCTGATACACTACCGGGAAACCATTGTTTCCTTATTCCTGATGAGCCTTCCACATTGCTAGATAGCTACACATACATTCACATTATCTATCTCTCATGCCATCATCTAATTCCACATTGACTGACTCCACATCTCACACAAATTATCATCATCGAATCATCGAATCAACCAACCGAGCAAACGAACAAAGTTAAATTTGAGTCAATAAAAGAGAAGTGAGGTATCTCATTAACCAACATCCCAATCATATCTTTCCGAAAGCGGAGTCTCGTCCAACCTTCACCCGTGGATCTATCTAATCTCAGTAAAGTACAGCTAGACCATTACCAAAAGCTCCTCGCCACGTTCTTGTAAGACTTTTGCTAGTGAGAAACGCCCAACTCCTTTTTTCATACATATACTCATTCATATTCGTACACACATATCCATGACGCCATATCAGAATGTAATCTCGCCTCCCACCTATCCTCTAGATGAACCCTACATTTAAGTATCAGAAGCGGTGTTTAAACCCCTTTTCGCATGACCATGACCATGACCTGCACCCCTAGCCGCCATCTCTCTTGCCCTCTTTTCTGCATTCCCAGCAGCCTGTGCACTGTCATGAATAGATTTTCTCTGTTCCATCACCTTGGCCCTAACCTCTTCCATAGCACTTCCCCTCTCCTCTTTCAATCTTCTCCCCCTATCCCTCCTCCCCTTGTCCATTTCCAGCGCCTTCGTTTCATCCTCCGCAACTCTCCAATTGCGACCGCGCATTCCACTTTCTCCCCACATACTAACGCGTTGAACTTTCTTGAGTTTGGAGATTCCGTAGAACCAGACAATGGCGGCGAATATTCCGCACCAGCCTGATACGCCTAGGAACCCGAGGTCGGATTCTTCAATGTGGTTCTTCAAATTCATGCCGTAGAGAGCGGCGATGAATGCGCCGGAACCCATACCGAGCGTTCCAATGGATATTTTGAGCTCGAGAAGCATGAGGGAGTTACGATTGGCATCGAGGATGGCTTTAACTCTGTAGACGCATAGATTAGTACTTGCAGGACGGAAGTATAGTGAATGTTTTGAAATCATACATTTCTTCAGTGTTCCTAATGTTGGAAACTAAATTTCCAGACTCTTGAACAATTTCGTCGCAAAGTTTGTGGTAAGATTCTAACAACATTTCGACTTCTGTGTGGTCATCCTCCCCTCTCTTTAGATCATGATCTTTCTCGGTAAGATACATAGCAGCTAGATCATCATCTGCCTCCAATAACTCATCAATCGAGTCCCTAACCAATTTCGCCTTCTGTTCGAATGTGCCGAGTTTCTTGGAATAAATAAGGAGGTAGCGGAGCTTGTCTCGATCGATGTCCTCTTCTAACTCCTTAAGAACCCTAACAACTGGTTCTCGAACTGTTTCAAATTCCTTTTCCAAGCCAGATGTAACCGATATGAGAACAGCTTCGAGGGCACGAAATTCGTATGGAAGGGCACCAGCAGATGCTGTAGTTTGCTTTTGGCTAAGCTTTCCTTCTAAATCATACATAAAAAGCGATTGTGTATAAGTATCAGTAGAGCCATAAGCGTCGAAAATCAAGACTCTATTAGACTTTATGAGGACTCGAAGATGGAGGAGGTTTATGAGGATAGCTGAAGGACGAACGAGGATATGCGGAAGCGTACTCGAATCGATTTTTCGAAGATCGCGAGGAAGCAGTCCATACTATATGCAAATCAGTATTGGCACAGTCAAAATGCCTGCGAGGGAAGATGTCCTGCCCCACCTTAGCAATAAGCTCGCTCTTCTTGAACTCCCCATTCACAAGAACCACATTCCCATTCTCATCTAACTCTGTACATCGTAGCCGAGGCTCACTGGCAGCCTTCACAGATACAGATCGTCCCAGACTGAATACATCTATTTCTCTTCCATCCTCACTGAGATGTGGTAAATCGTCTGGTTGTAATGGTTTTCCATCCCTCTTCGAAGACCAAAGCTTGAATGGCCACTTTCTTGCGCCCGTGAATATTCCGCGGCTTGTCTGTGAGCGATTTTGAGTCGCAGTTTTCTTGCTCGATAGAGTTGCTCGTTTGGGTTGAGTAGCGTTTGAAGAAGAATTCGAGGTGGCCAATCGCGATCCTAAAAACTTCGGGTTTTGGAACCCAGCTTCAACGGTCGCTCTGCGCTGTAGTGAAGTTGAAAGTGATCTTCGACATGACATCGAAGGATAACTGTATCCTAGGCTAGAAGCTGGAACATGAGGGGCTTGATCGAAAGAATAACCTTGTCCTGGGTTGGAACTGAAAAAACAAACGCCTTCAGATTGTGCCCGCAGAAATCTCAATAAAGATGCTGATGGTACATGGTTATGTATATGTGACCGCATAGCAGCTGAAAAGAGCTAATCCAACCGTTCACGGATCACTTGCGGCTTCATGTGCCTTTTTTGAACCGTTGATGTTGTAAATATATTTCTCTCCAAAAAAAAAGCTTGGACTATCCAAATATTCAGATCTTAGTATCACCATGATCACGTGAATTATTTCTATGCTACTTCTTAATTTTTGAATTTGCGTCTGCATAATAAGAAGCTTTTGAGAGTCGCATATGAATTTGGGTATTGGAAAGCATTTGGCTATAAAATCTAATCTTAACACCCGACCCTAAGTAATCAAACATCGAATACCGTGAGGAAATCCTCGACCAACTTAACCTTCTTGTTATCATTCTCATGCTCATGACCACTTCTGAAGCGGAAAATTTCTTCAATGATCCAAGGGTAAGGGTCTTGATAAGGAAGGTAGACCATCAGAAGTATGGTCATAAAATGCCTGTTTGGATCTCCATTTTCGAGAGTGTATTGAAAAATGTCTTCATCAAGCTTATGAATGACGCCAGCATACAATAAGAGGTGTATGACCTCGATTCTACACTCTCGAACAGCATTTTTATAACCGATAATAGCTGCCTAGATTTCTATTAGCCATTACCTTGACACAAGTCGTTTTCAGGGGAGCAATACCTCTCCGCTGGTTGACGCGAGCCAATCAATACGTGCTCCTCCCATAACTAACCAAAATAAGTATTTGACAGCTTCCTCATTCCATGGGCCCATTAACAGTGTATGAGGTATCTCGGTACCTTTAGCAATATTCGCATAATTGCGAATACCCAGGTCGAAAATTTGTTCTCTTTTCTCACCCAAACTCGACATCAAATCCATTGTTTCAGGGGCATCCGCTGTATGAGAGATATCCATTCTTTGAAAGGCATTACAATACTTGGCAAAATCATCGTCAAGTAATTCAGCTGCCGAGGCATTCTTGGGGTCAATACCTTCTATATTGTCCCCATGGTGAAACGCAGCCATCCCAAGAGCAAGCTGAAATGGACGTTCCAGTGCGTTTTTCTGAACCCATAAGTCTTGCCCTTGCAGAAGGATCGGCAACTTTGCCCAGCGAAATTTTAAAATAGTAGACTATGTCTTGATCGTTAGTCAATCCTGACCCAGCTACAACATCCAGGCTTACCTGTAAACTGCTATTGCCACTATAATCCAAGTCCAAACCTGGATCCAACAGTTGCCCATACCATCTATCCCAAACTGGACCAAAAGCAGTAATAATAATCTTGTTGTAGACAGCAGCACTACTTAGTTTACCTCCTATGACCGGACTACATGCTGGCAAACTCAAGTTCCAACAGCCGAAGAAAATCTGCTCGAGAATCTCCGTTGGCAATTTCTCAAGTTCCGACATCTTACGTCTCGATTTGATGTTCTTCAAAGTGCGGACCTTCGACTCCCGAAGAATGGAAGTGAAAGGCTTTGACGCTTGTGATGCGCCCTTTGAGGACTTTTTCTTGAGAGGCCTCCCAGGTGGTCGTTTCTAGAATCCAAAGTTAGTCGAGCTGGTTCAATATGTTTGATTTTTATTATGAGAGTCCATACCATAATCTTTCTAGCTAGAACAGCAGATTTGCTAGAGTCACGAGTATTCTTTCCCGGAACCTTGATCGGTGTTCCAGCCATGATTTGATGATATGCACTCATACTCCATATAGTCCAACATGAAGGATGGAAAATCCCGAATTAGTTGCAATGGTGTATCAACAGCACATATCTCTCGTCCAGCAAGAAATTCACCTAGCGAGATTCACTAAATCGTAGACGTTATAAAAGTAATGCAATCTACGTAGTGAATGAGAGACGAGACCAATCATTATTTATTTTGCAACTCACCGCTTTCATAATGCCGGTTAGTCGATAGCGGTGAGACTCAAATATAATCACCTACGAGTACAGTAGGTACATAGCTTGAGATGAGAGTGATAAACTTCCTTTGAAGGGCAGTATAGGGGTATGTGAAGAGCTATGTTGGCGACAGAAAGTCAGAGAGGACGAAATAAGCCATCATCACCACAGATCTAACAACTGCTCGTATCACCGTACCCGAACTGGGACTCCAACAGCATTCATCGTCTTTGGGCTAAACTCTAATAACAGTTGTAGCGTCGAACATTGGAAGAACTATTGCTCAGTAATTAGACAATTCAAACAAGACGCGATCGAATACAGAAAATGACGCTCGAGCATCACTGCCAGTAAGGATTTCCGCACTGGAAAGGCATGTTACTAAAATTGAGTATCTCAGTATGTACTAGGGACACAAAATACCCCGCCTCGGGAAAGTTACGCTAAAGACCCTGCATATGTGCTCGAGCAAATACCGTTAGTCTACAGAACACGCCTCGCACGTCTTGTACAACCTACAAGTTATCCACCGGAAAAAAAATCTGGCTTCAAGATACTGTAATTTGTAAAGTCATCTTTGTATTAAGTTGGTAGTTAATCTTCAAGCGAGGTTGACAGTTCTTCCGTCATCATTCTTCCAATGATCAATTTGAATGCTAAACTAAGCGAAATAACCATACCACTAATTCACATCCCATTTATTGAATCGAATGTTCCTTTCACTTCAAATCATCACTTCATACGATACCATCAAGCAGCAAACGAACAATCGAATAGTCAGATCGAAGAAAGAATCCCCAATGTCTTCCAGCCCTGATTCCAACTCTCACCCCCTCATTCTAACCCATCCTCCTCCGCTCAATCCAGCCTGGGAATCACATATTCCTCATCTCCCAGCGCCTAGTACCTCCACCTCCCCTGATATCCGCAAAGCTGTATACAGTCAAAACTGCATCAATCAAAACACCAGTCTTCTCCGCACTTCTCTTATTCACCTTACTCAAGACCTCCTCATAACCTCTTCTTCCATCCCTTCACCATCCGGTCACAAGATCCCTACTCGTCTCTACACTCCCACTTCCGCCACCAACTCCGCCTCTGTTCCCAGTTCAGATTCTCAATCACTAATCATCTATTTCCACGGCGGCGGTCTTTACGTTGGCAATCTCGATTCCGAAGATCTAACATGTCGTCAACTGTCCCTTTCTCTTTCTCTCACACTCCTCTCGGTATCCTACCGCCTAATGCCCTCGTACCCTGCCGACGATGCTGTCTCCGATGCACTGACCACTTTCACCCATCTTTGTACTGAATTCCCTTCCAGAAAATTCATCCTGGTGGGGAGTTCGAGCGGTGGGCAATTAGCTGCTACTGTTGCTCTGACTTATCTTCGAGAAAAAGGGAGGAGTGATGGGAAAGAAGGTGGGCGTATACTGGGAGTTCTTCTGAGATGTCCAGTAACATGTGATGCTACGGATAACGGTACAAGTATCCCAGAAGAATGGAAAAGTATACACACGAGTATGAAAGAGGAGTTTTATACAGGGATATTGAATAAGCCGGCTGTGACGAGAGAAAATAGAGTCAAGGGGTATAAGATGCCTTTGGAAATGTTGGCGGAGATGCCGAAGTTCACTGAGGCATCCAAACTTGTTGGAAGCGATCAAGAAGACGTCAATACAAGATGGTTCATACAGCTTTGTACTAATGATATATATTATTCTGACGGGGTATGTCTTGCGCTTGGGCTGAAAGAGAGAGGATATGGTGTGAAGGTTCGAGTAGAATTTGGATGGCCTCATACGTTTTGGTTGAAGGGGATGGTGTTAGAAGAAGCTCAGAAGACCGAAATGGAACTTGTTAAAGGAGCGAAGTGGATTTTAGATAGACCAGAGGGAGCTGACACCAAAGAGCTGCAGGAACAGAATGATTGGGTGAAACAGAGTGAGGTGGCCAACCTGTGAGGAGGAGGTTTGAATGGGGTATCTCAATATTCGTGGATAGTTTAACTCGGTTATAAAACGCTTATACATTTAATGACACTGATACTTTGCTTCTCCAATTTTCATTTCTCTTGACTCCAGGAGTGATGAATATGATATACATGCAGTTCCAACACCTTACAGGTTTACTTTCGACGACTTTTTGTAACAGCATTCAATCAAAACAATAAAATTCATCAGATCTTCGAGAGATTGAGGGAACAATTCATGATTAGCCAACTTGGCACTTAAACGATTAACCACCATGATCTTGCTTCTCCAACAACCGGTCCCTATCTACAATAGTGCGGGTAACAAAGAAAAGGGAAAGTCGAATTTATTCCATCTAAAGCATAGAAAGATCGCCGAATTTCTCCTATAGACATATTAGCAGCCGTATCATTCATAAAAACAAAAGTTTGCCATTTCAAACGTACCTTGTAACCTGGAACACCCCAGCGACCTTTGGAAACGAGTTGAGCAGTCTTCTCGTCAATATCTGGACGAGCAGCAGCAACTTCATCCTATAGACACACATCACACATTAGCCAACTCCATTTCTTTCCTTTGACTTTCCGTATCCTTTCCTAGAGCTGATACATACCACAGTCAAATCCTCAAATGGTCTAGCCTCCTCAATGTTCTTCAATGTCTTCTCCAAATCCTTCAACTCCAAGTCCACTCTGCCCTTGGTCTCCTCTGCATTCTTGATAGCTTGGGCCTCGAAAGTCTCGATTGCCTTGATTTGTCTGGCTACATCATATGTGGCTGGCTTGAAGGTAGCGAAATGCTTCTCGATTTCGTCGACAACGGCGGTGTTCTTGAGAATCGACTTGTAGTGTGCGAAGTCTACTTTGGTGGGTTGCTCAGAGAGAGCTTGAACGCGACGACGGGCATCTTCGTTGCGCTTCTTGAAGGCTTGGAGGGAGGTCGCGGTGGCTCCCTTGAGTCCAAGGGATTGGGAAACTTTGGCCCAGTCGAGTTTGAGGGCTGCGCTGCGCTGTGAAGGTAGAACAGTTAGTCATAATCCGGACTCATTTAGAGCGAGGGAGTGGAAGTCGGGGCAGAAGTCTTCGGAATTCTTCGGAGGGGTGCAAAGTCTGCACGGCAGCGAGGTCTGGGGGATAAAGTTCTGCTGGCGACAGTATGACTTCAACTAAGAAGATTGACTTACTCCGGCTGCCATTGTGAAGGTGTTGATATGATGAGGAAGTGGAGAACTGAGATGTGTTGAATTCGTCGTCAAAAAGTTGCAAGTCTCGGTTCAAGCTAGAAAATACAATATCACGTGATGCTACCACAATACTCAGCCTGGTGAAAGATCTCCTAATGTATCAGTGTTAGACAGAATGCCAATTTTGTTATCATTATAATTGTTATTTTTTCCGAACTCGTATATGTATCAGACATTTGCTCAAGTGGGAATATTTTTGAACAGATTTCACATTATTGCGAAGTCACATTTCAATTCGGCGAGCGAAATTATCTATGCATATGAAGGTGACATAGTTTAAATTGTTGTTTTACTATTTAGCACTCCCAAATTCGTTCAGGATGTGTGTGACTGTATGCCCATGTAATACCATTGCCATCCATTCATAGAAGTCTACCCAGAACAGCCGTGCATAAGGATCCAGCTAAGTAAGCTTAGACCTATATGCTTAGAGCCATAATCGAATTGACTATATCGTTGTCATTCTCCTTCAATGCCTTTACAGCCTTGTTGCGCGAAACACTGGCTTGGGTCATGACTAATTCAATATCCTTGTCCTCGAGTCCAGTGGCATCGACCTCCTCTGTGTCATCCTCTTCCTCTTCCTTCTTCTCCTCGGTGTCAACAGCCTTGCCCTTTCCGTGATCGTGGGAGTGGTCGTGGCCAGAGTGATCGTGACCGGCGTGATCGTGGGATTCTTGAGCAGCCAACTGTGCGGCAGCAGAAGCTTGAGCTTGAGAGTTAAGGTCCTCAATCTTAGCCTCACCGAAAACACTGGAGAAATCATTAGTCCAAAATGTATTTTTGTAGTGCGGGGTAGAGGTTCCTTACATGTAGGTGTTGCTGGTTGGGGACTTGTAAACCTCTGGCTGGTTGATGACAAAGAGGATCTATAATCCGAGATTTGATCAGTAAGAAGTCTTAAGGTTGTCCTCAAATGTTGTCAAAGCTACCCCGCGCTGGTGAAGCAGCTGCGAAGCAACAGCCCTTGATCGCAAGAGCTTCCTTCAGAAATCGTGAACCGACAAACCAACGAGAAGTTGCTTACGTTCTTTGGTCGTCTCAAAGTGACTCTGGTAATACCAGGGACTCTTGTAAGACCGAGCTTAGCAATTGACTTGCGTGCCTTCTTCTCGTTGCGGGAGAAAGCGACTTGGGAACCTGCTGGGATACCAGCTACCTCCTCTCCCTCTGCCTCGGAGTCAGAACTGTCGGATCCCTCATCCTCTGCGGTAACTTGTTGCTTGGTTGGCTCCTCGTTATCTGGGAGTTCTTCAATACGTGGGTTCGACATGTTGGGTGGTGGTTATGGCTGTACAAAGGGTTGTTAGAAATTTTGATGATATTGTCGTTGTTTTGGTTTTCCGAAATTTTGTGCGTGCGCTAAAGAAATTGGGGGGCAGTTTTCTTGTACGGCGGAAAACTCCACCACAACAAGGCTGATGAACATTGTGAACATAATGGCATTCACTAACCTGACTTTACAAGAAGACGATGATATTAGATATTGGCTTAGGGAATCGAATATTGAGGTTGTCACCGTTGCAATTAATTAGGGTTGTGAGAGTTCGCTAAGTATTAGGTAATCAATGTATCTACTCCATCTTGCTGAGATTGGGCTGGGTCAATTCTGGGGGTACAAATTGTTGAACGACGTCAGACTGGGTCAAGGTGCATTTAATATCATTTATGGTTGTGGAATTATTAGTATCAATATCTGGATTTGTCCGATAAAGCAGTAAAATGGCTCCTAATTCATTGTGCAGGAAGAGGTTCCGCACCTCTCGTGTCGAGAATATTTCAAAGTTCCAGAACCAAATCACATCAAAATAACGCCCAGTATTCAGATCTTGGAGAGAATTGGTTTGGAGGTATTTTTGAAGTCCATATGCTCATTACGCCGGTCAAATTGACGCAGGATACAAAGCTCAGTTAAGAGCAAAGGAACCCATCAACCCTTATGTAGTTTTGCTTGCGCTCCCAAATATTCCATTACCAAATCTATGCCGCGGCGATCTTAGCCCTGGCAACCTTGACTTGGAATCCAGCTCTCTTCCTCAATCTCATAACCTTAAATCGCTCGAAATCTGTCAAAGCAGCTCTCTTGGCTTGCTTCTCACGCTTCTGGGCCCATGGGCTTTGTTGCCACAACTTCTCGATACCAGCCTTCTCCCACTCCTTTTGAACAACACCAGTGCGCGAGGCTCTTGGAAGACCCTTGAGGACGAGAGGTGTGAGGACGACATTGGCGAGGGAAATGGCTTGTCTTGGGACAGCTGCGAGTTTGTCGGTTGCTGGGCCATCGATAAGAGCCTAGTTTTTACATGTTAGTTTTCTTCCTTTTTCCCTCCAATCTTCACCAATTGTACGTACGCGCTTGTGGTCGATGATCTCAACGATCGCGGCAAGCTTGCCATCGTGTGGTCCACCAGTTACGAGGACGACACGGCCGACCTCAACCAGTCTCCAGGAAGATGCTTTGATATCTGCGTCACCCATTGTGAAATCTTCTGAAAAGAAAGTATTAGTTGATTGATTTCTAGAAGTTCAATGAATCGAATAGATAATTAATGAAAACGTACGGGGCGTCGTTGGCGAGGATTTGTCGATGTTTAGTTGTCGATTACTTTCAAAAAATCCGAAAATCGAAAAAGTGCGGCATAAGATCTAAGCGAAATGGCCCTAGAGATATACAGATCATGTGACGCAGCGGCCGCATTTTTGCATCTGTGGGATAAGGCTAGAACCAGATCGAATTAGCGTTCTTTTCCATGGGCTCAGAGCTTTTCAAATGGACTTTCAAAAACTTATAAAAGAATTCTTCCGACCAATTTCTTCATCTTTTTTCCATCTCATCAACAACCACAACACAAACTCAAGAAGTACTTGAGTACTTCATGGCTTGAATTGATTCATTCTTGCTTACAATATGCCTCTTCTTGAGCGATATTCTGCACATCTACAGGTATAAGGTTCGTACATCAACATTCCTCTCACCTCTTCTTTTCCTACTTAAATGATGAGATAATTTGCGATTGACCTCACTTCGATGGCACCCTCGCCGGGGTCGCTATATCATGCGAGTGGATGAAATTCATTCTTACATATTCTGATTTCCTTTCCAACACAATCATTCATACCTTGATATCAATTTGGTCGAACTCTTTGCTAACATTTCGAAGTACTAGGAAGCATCTTCATTGATCACCTTGGAACTGCCAACTTGCTACAAAATTCCCCCGCCGACTAACATAGATCACATGAACGATCCCAATGTTCACCTTGACAGGTATGTTACAACCTTTCTTCGTACATCATCTTCCCTATCCTACTATGATTAAGAAAAATGCACTGAAAATACTGAACTCCTCGGAGTCATGAAAATTCAACTTAACCAAGATCTATGAGCACAACAAACTTCCGTTCTTATTACTAGTTGCTTCACTTCTAGAATCTCCTGCTAATCAGCTCAAAGCTTAGGAACAACTTTATGCCACACATTTGAAGGATATTGATGGATCGTGCCAAATACCTTTCGGGGCATCACTGGAGCCTTCTGGGCGGCTGGAATCTCAACAAAAGTAACAATCGGCCATGGCTATGCAGATGCTCGGGACCTCATTGGAGGAATGATTGCGAGTAGATAGATTGGTAGCTTAAGGACAATCAAATTATATTTCCAACTTTATACCTCTGCTCCACATGGCTGAGTGTTATATCACTTTCTCTGTTTTACCTTGCTGGCTTTTGTTCTTTACGTGCACAGTTCATCTCGTTCACGTTTGCGACAGCAGCGTTGACCTGTTGGAATTTCGTCTTCCTTTTCGTAGCTCGGTATGTCCCAAGATGTCAGATTCATCACACTGTGTACCTGTGATCCACATCTCGATAATTTGTCATCAGGCAAACCTGACATTTCATTTCATATCACACAATCTGAAGATGTTCCAACAACCTCTCATTTATCCTCACCTCCACCTCTATCTTCAACTCGGCATCAGCTGCGCCAAACGAACAGTCTGTGTAGGATACGTCAATCCTATTACTCATAATCATAAGATAGTAATAAATTCATTGACGTCGCTATATTACATCCTCCAAACCCAACGTCTACCAACCTCAGCGTCTCCTTTGCAGTATTTTCAAAAAGTCCGCTATCACAACGAGCATCGCATACACCCAAACGTCGGTACCCTCCCGTGAGAGTATGATTGTATACTAAACAAATGAAGATCACCCATGGCAAATTGCGATATTTAGTAGCACTAGGAGATGAGCAATATACCTCAGTGCGGTTCTTCACGCTGATATTTTGTTGATTACTGGCGTCGGTGTTGAAGTTGAGTTTTTGTTTCTTTTCTTGGTCTGGTACTGTGGATGAGATGGTGGTGTTTGTCGAATTGTATTACGACTTTGGATTAAGTTACATGGGGTTGTGAAATAACCATCAGACCATATTGCATTATTAGCTCATATCAATCAACTACATTTTTTAGTATCAATTATTGTATGAAAGATGATATGTTATCAAAAAATACCTTAATTATAGACTATATAACTAGATTTATCTGTCGAAGGGAGCCAAACTAGCACTAGGAATAGTAGACGTCTTAGATTGAAGAGCCGTCTGCTTCTCCCTCCACGAGTGTGCGCTACTGATGAACATTCTTAATTCATCTATGGCTTCGGTGCTAAGCTCTTTCTTGGATGCGTTGCCTCAAAAGGGCTGACTTCCAACCGTAAAGGGCGTACAAGACGGAGAATCAACTTCATGACTTCATCTCATGAAGTTAGCTTAAGTCAGATGACGCTTCATGTTCACTCGTACCCCGCAGAACACTCAATACGAACAAGCAATTAGAATATCCCCAAACAGCACTTTTCTGGAGCTCAAATAGCGTCAATACAAGCTAATATCCGCCTATACAGTCTTCTACGTGATTTAATTTGTTCGTTGCTTAAATCTCCGGGAATTGGCTTCATTCTGCTGTATGCTGTGCATTCTGAGGTGTTCGCCCCAGCGGTCCCCCAGGCCTCATAGTCTGAGACTCATCTCGCCAGCGATCTTCACTTTCGCCTATATGTGTTTACCGAGCGAGGTCTTCTGGGTTACGAGCTTTTGATTCAGTGCGTACGTCGTACCGACAGCTGTATCTAGCACTCGTCTCTCGAAGTTTCTATGTTCCCTTTCTGTTCTGATGTCACCAATAAATTCTCGATGATATCCTCATGCTTTTTGTTGTAGTTACGATGATGGTTATTCCCATAATTATGATTGTGCTTGTGATTTTTATTATTCTTATGATCAATATCGTTTTCATAGATCCTCATGGTCATTGTCAACCATCTTTATGAACCATCATGATCATTGTCATTCTTATGAGTTCTCTTGAACATTATCATCTTCATCATTGTTATATTTATGATCATTGTCATTTTCATACTTGTTATTATTCTCATGATTATTGTGTTTTTCTAATCATTCTTGTCCCTTATAAACATTGTCAGCCTCCTGTTTATTTTCATCCTCGCGCCCTGATTTTCCGTTCCAATCAACCACCTAGCCTTCATAAATCCTGCTGTCTGGGCTCTGTAGTGCGTTATTAATTGTAAGTACCCAATTTTATATGGTGATGAATTGTCCACGTTTACTCCGCACACGCTGGACAGATGTGAGCATTGTCAATTCATTTATTGAAATTCTACACCAGAGTTTGAAATGAAAGTAGCTAGAAGTTTCCAGATACTCGACAGCGATCCTCAACTTCCTCAATTGAGTTACAAGCACTATTGATCCATCTCACAGCTTGATGAAAACCTGCATCCGAATGATTGACGTTTCATGCCATCAACAGACGAGGAACCTTCACTATGTTCATTTAGATCTACAATGATAACTAATGGTGAAATATCATCCAGTTTAACCTGAAAACCATTCAATCGGGTGAATACTGTGATGTTATAATAGCATTGGCAGCCCCTCTCTTTCTCGCTTCCGACTTCGAGACCCCAAAGCCAAAAACATTGCACAATTTTAATACAAAACTTAGTGCAGAGCATGATTTGACAATCTTGCGTTACGTTCTGTGGTATAGTAAGTTGTACAAAGTGATCAGCTCATAGTAGAGGCTCATAAAGCGGTGAACATGTTGTCAACAATATAATTGGAGTCGCATAACTTACCATTGATAGTGATATTATCAATATCCATGGCGATATCATCTAACTGCATAATTTGCCGTTATCTTGTCATTCTCTCAGAGGGGATACCAGACGGCCGAGAATGGAGATTAAATATTGACCTTGCGCTATTTCTCACGAACATCGACCAGCATCAACGTCCTTTCAACTAAAGCAGACGGCTGAATTTAGTTACGCTTAATAGTTCATTTGCTCTTGTCTAAGACACGCATACGTTCTTGCAAATTTCGATTATAGGCAATAATCTGAAGGACGAGCAATACTTCGCGAAAACTGATTGGATAAAACTCAATAAATTCTCCCACATTGGCTCTCACTACTCAGTTATAAGCCGTTGGTACAAATCCCATCTTGAAATGTCTCTTCGAAAGAGTAGAGCTTCCAGGTGAATTGATGCGTAGAGTGAGAGTATCGAGAGTGGATCCAGACTCCCGAGACTAGATGAAATGGAACCAGCATTTCAAAGACTAATATCATAAGTACTGAATACAACTTTATTTCTGGAATTTTACTCGTTAATCAAGTGTACTAAACTAACCGTTGATATCCTTCTGACATAATCGCAATTTTCCACTATTCAAGTACCAAAATCTTACAACCTCGCTTTTCCATGTTTCAAATCTACCCAGTGATCCCGGTGGAACTCTACATATGTATTGCCTTTACCATTCTCCTCTATCCACAGTAATTTATCATCCGCTTTGACTTTATCATGATCAACGCCCTGTTCACGAAGTGGTGTTTTGTGCTGTTTATTGTTGTGGATTAGGACCATTTCCTTGACGATCCGGAGGAATACCGGAACTGCGTATTTAGGGAGATGTTTGCGTGTGTGTCTACGATTTGTCAGTTTGGAGTATGGGGCATGAACAATGAAGCCTTGAAATGACTTACTTGAGAAGCCCAGCAAAGTCGAAATTGTCAATGCTTGGATCGATAAACACAGCAGCACATCCAGCTTTACCATCATGAGAGGGTAGTTGAACACCATAAACAATCGCCTCCACAACTCCGTCGTATTTACCTAATACCTCTGCAACTTCTGCCGTGCTAACGTTTTCTCCTTTCCAACGGAAAGTATCGCCTAATCGATCGAGGAAAAACCATCGCCCGTCATTATCTCGACGTAGAGCATCGCCAGTTCTATAATAAAGATCTCCTTTCTTGAATACATTGCTCTCGAACTTCTTACTCGTCGCTTCTGGGTTATTGAAGTAACCCGCAAAGGCAGCTGTACTGGGAATCGCAACGATGATCTCGCCGCCTTTTTCAAATGGTTCACGAGTTGCAAATCCAGTTTTAGGATCTCGTGCAATGGCTCCGGAAACATCGTCTATCTTGACGGGAACATAAAGATCATTAAACTGCCATCTGGAGATAAGTCCATGATGTCCCACGCAAGTAGCCAGCCAATCTCCACGTGCATGATTGGTGAGTGCAAACACCCCTTCTGTACTGTTGAAGAACTCAACGACTTCAGGGACTCCAAATCGAGCTTTGAATTTGTTCCACACATCTGGACGCATACCGTTTCCAAACATGACTCGAACGCAATGATCTTTATCCTGAGGAGAAGGAGGTGCAGCGAGCAGGTAGCGAGCAGTCTCCCCAACATATGTGAACCATGTTGCTCTAGAGTCTCGTATATCTCCCCAAAATTTCGAAGTGCTGAATTTCTTGCCGACGCAATTTGTGATTCCACTCATCATGTTTCCTATGGCGGTAATACCACCGGTTCCATGATACAAGGGCATACAGTTGTACCATCGGTCATCGTCCTTTATTGGGGATTTACCAGCTGCTCTCTATGGAAATTATCAGCATTCATTGCGGTGATAATATCTTAATCTAGGCCTTACCCCAACTCCCGTCATGAAGCCTCTGGCTACCTCAAAAGTACATCCTTTAGGTAACCCTGTAGTTCCACTTGATGATCGATTAGCCATCTGATTTTTACAGCCCGGAAAGAACACCAACCTGGTATACAACAAACCCAAGGGCGAGGTCCCCTTCACTCCCTCTCTATAGATATCTCCTGGTCTTTCAGCCTTTCCGCTGCGAATTTCCGACAATGTAGAGCTATCCATGAATATAATTTTAATCCCTAAATCCCCCTCCAACTCCTCCTTCTCAGCCTCAATCCTCGCTCTCAACTCCGCATCATCATCCACCAAAATGAGTTTGGCTTTTGGAACCTTAACGCAGTGAATCAATGCTTTCCCAGCTAGATTATAATTAATCATTGCCGGAGCAGCTCCTATCGACCATAATCCCAACCAAGCAAACAGAAAGTCCGGAGAATTCTGAAGATAAAATGCTATCAAGTCCCCAGGCTTCACGCCTTGGGAGAGATACCATTGACCGTATTGATTCACGAGATCGTAGGATTGTTTCCAGGTGTAGCAGCCCTCCCGGGACCAGATACATTCTGTGTTTGGATGACGATGCACGCTATCCTCAAACAGATAGTAAAGACATAATTTTCTATTTTTCTCTGTGTTGGGCTGTTTTAGTGAGAACAATGTGATTTGGGAAGATGTCTTACCAGCTTCGGCGTACCATTTCATGGCTCGTCTCATTTTCAACTTATCATTCAAATCTTTTAATATCGAATATTTGCCATCGAGGTACATTGCTGCAGCAGATGTACCTGCTACAACTGCTGTTGCTATTCATTTCGATTAGTATGCTGTTTAGAGATCGAAAACGAAGCTGTCTATAGTCGGCGATGGTAGAGAGTGACATTTATTTTCCAATTCATGTAATGAGGCTGGAATTGGGTTGTGTCTAACCGTGGCTTGACCGAGTAAAATGCGGGGTTTAGTGTGCTTACCGAGCGCCATAATGATTGGAATCAAATGCTGTCTGTTGCTCTACAAACAAATTGGTGTATAGGGATATCAAGAGCTGCAAAAAGCTACAATAATCTGTGAAGTGTCAAGAAAAAAGAATAGAACTCGAAAAGATAGAAGAGCATTAAACGGAATCCCCAGACAAGTTACATCAGTAAATGTAAATGTCTTTCGTCGGTAAAGCTACCTAGGTATTTGTCGATCACCGAGGCAGGCTACCCCGGATTTCTGACCCAGGGCTGAATCTTGATTGGTTAGGCTTGAGGCACAAATACGGACGAAACCTTTGCCGTCGCTCCTATCCGCCCCACCTCCGCTCTATGATACTTCTGACCCACGCGATTCCCTCCAAAGCGGGTATATTCCTTGTTGGTCGAAACTAAACGTGGAGCTGGAAGTAACTTGTTTGATGCGTGTGCTACGAGATAGACTTGTGAATGGTTTGAACGCCACATTGCTTGTCAATTTCTTAGGCAAACGAGCGAGTTTCCATATTTGCACGATGCACGGCGTTCGGAGCCTTGATTCCTTGAAGGGAAGTGGGCTCGATGGGTTAAGATATCTGGATTCATTCGCGTAATCATAGTAGATTTTGGTAGTTGTGCACGGGCTCCCTTCAGAGGAAACGACAGCAATGAAGGGGCAATCACCATTCCTTGGCCGAGAGTACTAGACTTTGAATTGAGACTCGCAATTCAGGATTATCTTTGAATGAAAATACATTAGTCATCCATTGTCTTCATTTTTGGGAACATCAGTGTACATTTTTTTTTTAATCTTTTGTGGATTTTATACCCTTGGACAGTGTGGGTAGGGATCTATTTCAGTAACTCGATGTTACTCATGCGTATCTCGCCAACCAATTGTAGAATCAAAATCTTCTGCTCCAATCCTTTAGGAGATCCCTCCACGGCTCTGAATTCCGACGCTACTTATCTGTCAGATATCTACTTGAAATGGAGGGAATTGTGTTGAAATTTACTTACGTTTTCCCGACTTGAATGTCCTTGATTGTGCCAGACGCCCCTCTGCTGTCGGGGCGACAGATTGGACAGCAATCCACCTCGAGAACCCATCTGCATTGCGGTTTAATGAACAGAATGAGGGTTCTGGTGTAATCTAGACTGAAGCTGGTTACCGCTGGAGTTTGGAGTGTCTGTAGGACCCCCAGGATCCGGGCTCATGCCTGAAGCTTGTACCTGCGAACCAGGATTTTTCTTATGCATATACTTAATCTCAAAAATAAATAAATGTACCTGTTGGGACAGTGATCATGTGACTACGCTAGCGTCTTCCGACACTACAGTAATACGTTTCGTAACCCTAGCTTTTAGAACCTTAAGCAATATAATAACAATATAAACCATAGTACTATATTAACTTCATTATCCCCATAGTAATATCAATATTAATCAATGATATTATAGATTAGAAGCCTGGTATTTTAATTTTAATTATAATATATGGTTTAAATTAAGATTGATATTTCTTTAAAAAAAATATAAATTCTTATATCATTTTAATATAATTTAATATTTGTTTTTATATAAATAAAAGTAATTGATAATGTAGTAGTAGTTTTTATATTAACTCTAATTTATTTTTTATTTTTTATTATAATATATATTGAAGAGTAAAAACCAATAACATTTAGCTTAAGCTTAGTATTATACTCTTCGAATTCAAACTTTATTATATCTTAATAGAATTAATATCTCATTATCTATTTATTATTCATTAAATATTAATTCTTTAAATTGTAATTTCTATATTAATAACCTTTTTTATAAACGAAAATATTAATTATATCGAATCTAAAAAACAAGTATTAAATCTAAGATTCTATTGTTACGGGAGCTGCCTCTAGGGTCACGTGGAAGTGTCTAGAGATCTCTCGAGGTGGTTTAGACTAGACTTCAAGTAGGAATTCAATAAGGTTGTAACTGGTTGCAATTCTCGTAACTATAGTAATGAAACTAATGATTGTTCTTGAGCACGAAGCTCTACATTATAATGAAACCCATTCCCTTATATAGATTTTCGTACCTTATGAATCGACAAGTCGATTACCGTAAAGCCGATTTCGACAAGTCGGTTTCCTGATCACGTGATGTCCATCCCGTGACTGGTAATGATGCCACCGCTTATCTAACCTGTGCTCTCTAGCCGACCTGTGACTGCTGCTTACCCTGTGCCCACTGTAGGGTAGGTAACAACAAAAGATAGGTACCTATCTTTTAATCACTGATTACTTATCTGGTTACCGCTATCTTTCGTTACCCTTCAATTCAACTGTCCCTACAGTGCTGTTTTCGTAGGTTCCAACACCAAGGCCTTAGGTTTATCTTATAATCCATGTTGCGGTGCGGGTACCTCCGTAACATCTATTTCCTAAATAATAATAAACTTAATAATATTAAATATATAAATTGTTTTATAATATCTATTAATAATTCAATATCAATAATTTTTATTGAATTAAAATAAAAGGAGATCAATAATTTAATAAAAAACATTGTTTTTTAATTTATGAAAATTACAAATATACCTGAAAATATAAGAATATTTAATTTAGAATTTATTAATAAAATAAAGAATAAGGGAATTAATAAGATATTCTTAAAATCTTAATTAATAATATAAATATAAAAGGATTAAGAAAAAGATATTATTTTAATATAATTATCTATAATATAATAAGTTAACTAATGAATTATATTATTAATAATAATTATACTCTTAAAAAGCAAGGTAATTATAAGTATTCATAATATTATACAAGTATATATATAATCAATATTAAATTTAATTTCAAGATTTTGTATATAATTATTAATAAAGATGAATATCCTAAAAGGTTTTATTCTATAAATAATACAATTATTATATAGTGTCCTAAAAACAAATAACCATTGATTTAATATCTATTATAAATATTATACTAATACCCTTAAAATAGTATAATCGATTTACAACCTATATCTTTTATATATAATCAAAAATGATATAACATTTAGTATTATAGAATTATAAATAAATAATATATTTATTATTATTAATAATAAATTTATAAATTATAAATAAAAAGAATTCTATAATATTAAATTTATAATAAAAAAGTATAAAACATTTATATCAAATATATTATTTAAGTTTAATAGCGAATTAATTATTTAATAAAATGATAATATAATTTACTTTAATTAAAAGAATTAATATGAAAATCTATACCTAATTAAATTAGAACTATTTGATATATAAGGAATATATGGAAAACTAAGAAAATTTGTAATAATAAAGGATTAATATGTTATATAATATACTCAAGGAGTATATATCATAATAATATATTAATTAGAGATAGCTTTTGATCTATCTTATGCTATACAAACTATTAATTCTAAGGGATAAAATGTCGATTCTCTTAATAAATATATTTAATAGTAGATTAATAATTCAAAAAGAGGCCTATAATTTATTTCATTTAATATAGATTCTCTAAAACTAATTGTATTTATTGATATATTCTTTATCAATAATAAAGATTTGTTCTCTCAAATTGAATATATTATCGTTTTAATGAATAAGTATAATAAAACTAATATTATTCATTAATTATTCATCAAGTATAAAAGAGTTATTAAAAGTATATTAACATCAAAACTTTATACTATAATTTTAGGGTTTAATATAAACATAATAATTAAAGGTATAATTAATAAAATCTTCCCGAACTATAAGATCTCATTAATTATATATATCAACTCTAAATCATTTTATAATTATCTTATAAAACTTAAAACTATTAATAAAAAAAGACTAATAATTAATATTGTCATGGTATACATGTGATCGCGTCCGATCGGGCTAGTACAACACTAAGCTCCAAACCGATCGCATATATAGCTCTATAGTATACTTTCTTTAGTTCTATAACTTTTAATTTTAAGGTTGATTTTTAAATATTTGTTAGATTTGTTATATTATTAAAAGCTCTTTTAGATAAGAAATAGAATAATATTAGTATATATTTATGAATAAAGCCTTTATATATATTTTGCTTACTTTTATTTAGATATATTGTTTTTGCTTTCTTATTTATATATAAATCTTTTTAATATTATTTAAAGATATTATTTCTTTTTTTATTTTTAATTTCTTAATTATGGATTACGATTTGATAAACCTTATAATTATAAAACTTCGTGGCAAAATAACTTATTAATAAAATGAAATTTTGTTTCTACGCTTTTTAATCTTTAAATGTATTTTTATTATTCAAATATTTTCTTAATTGAAATCCTCTTTTTCTAATTCTAAAAAGTTTAATAATAACTTTTAGAAATTTGATATATAATTATTCTCAATTCGAATAAAACTATAAATAAATAGTATTATAATTAGTAATTTTATTACTCAATTTTATTATATTTATTTCAATCTTAAATCTTATATACAAGTTATAATATTATCTTAACTTTCTTTTCTCGATTAAAACATTTCCTTAGATTATATAACAATTCTAAATCAATTTATATATATTCACAATAATTCGAATAAAATATAAGAAGCTGAAAATAAATTATTTAATTTTAAATAAGGAATTGATTCTTTATATATTTATATTACAAAATTTAGAAGAATTTTTTACAAAATAAAAGGTTAGAATAAATTAATTCAAATAAAATCTTAACCTTTTATAATAAATTCAATATTATTTTTAGAAATTGTTTTTCTCAACAACTTTTATTATTTTATTTATATTCCAACTTTATTTAGATTATGTAATAATTAGCTATATATATAGCAAATGAATTCCTTATATTATCCCACTTTAATAAATCTAAAGCCTTATATTTATTACAAAATTCATTTCACTTTTAAAACCATAATTCAATGAATATTAATAATCTTAATGTTTTTAATATCTTTGATGCCTTTTTGAATAAAGCTGATTATACCCCGATTTCACTCTATATTAAAATACTTGAGTTCTTCCTTACTAAAAGAATTCAATTATATAAGAAAAATAAATACATTCAATATAAAAGTGCTTTTTATTGAGTACAATCCTACCTGCTTGATTTATATTAAGGCGCTTAAGATCAAAAAGAATCTATCTCAATTGTTATATTCATTTCTGTTAATTTCTATAATAACAATGATGATAAGGATTTAGATGAGATAATTAATAATTAATATTTTGAAAATCTTTTAGAAAAGATATAAGCTTTTATTAATACTTTCTATTTAATAATAATATATTTAATCTTTTAAGGTATTTTATAAAAAATCGATAAAAAATAATAATAATAATAATGAAAAAGAGTTTTATTGATTATATTTTGTATTTAAATTATTTGTTTAAAGTAAATTCAAAACGAACTTTTTAGAAGAAGGGGGTTAATGTTACAATATATATATAATTGTGTTTAATTGGGCTAGTATAATATTAAGCTTCAAGCCAATTACATATATAGCTCTGTAGTATACTCTTTTTAATTTTATAGCTTTTAATTCTAAAGTTGATTTTTAAACGTATGTTAGGTTCGTCACAAATATAATAATAATTCAAAAGGTATATGAAAAACAAGAAATTGTAAAGATTAAATAAATTAATGAAGATTCTAACCCTATAAATTTGATAACTAAATTTAAGCTATATCAAGTTCTAAAAAATCTAATTAATAATAATACCATAAAGATTAAGATTATAAAATGAATTGAAAGAGATTAGAAGAATAAATGATTACATAGGTAAAAGAGGTATTAACTAGAAGAATATAATCTAGTGACTTTAAAGAATTGTCAATATTGGGACAAGGATTATATAATTATATTAATATTGATACTAATGTTTTCCAATACTATAGTAATACATTTTATAGCCCTAACTTTTAGAATCTTGAGCAATATAACAACAGTATGAATTATAGTACTATATTGACTTCACCATCCCCATGGTGATACTAACAGTACCCCTAATTATTTCACACCAAATTAAATCTAATACTACTTTATCATTTTAATTAATATTTTGTATAATATTTATTTATTTTAATAACAACTTTATAATATATTAGTATACTTTCAATTAACTTTCAAATTTATTCTTTTATAATCATATTCTAAGTCTTTAATATTATATCTTTTAATTTATAATAAAAAGAATAAATTTGAGAATATCATTCTATAATATAATTCTTAATAATATTCTATAAAACTTTAATTAAATTCAAATTCAAGTTTTTAATTAACTAATAAATCGGTTTGATATTTATTCTCTTAAGTTTTATAATTATTGATTTTATATTATAATTTAAGGTATTATTTTATATATAAATAAGATCTCTTTATAGATAATAATCCTGAATTATAAGTACAATCCTTTATATATATAATTCAAAGATAATCTTACCCCAACTCTTTTTTTAGAATACATAAGATCCTTTCCCATATAATCCAGAAATATAATCTCATAATATCCATCCGATTTTATACTAGTATTTTAGTTCAATATAATCTTTATATAATATTTCTTTTATACATCTTATAATTTTTACTTTTTTATATTTTCCTGATTATATCTACAATTTATTATTTTATAATATATATACCCAATCTTCAAATAATTAATTGATATGCTCTAAAACCTAAACTAAATATACTATAATATATTAAGGTATAAGATCTAGGTTTTTAAAATTATATAATACTTAAATCCTTTAAGCTTAAATATAATTTTGATAACATAAATATAACAATTCTATTTGAAAATAGTTAGGATTTTATACTAAAATGTTTATCGATTCTTTTTAAATATACAAACTTATTCAACTAATTATTAATATTTAGAAAGGCCTAAGAATAATCAATAACCAAAATACTTCTTTTAAAATATAAATAAATAATATAAAACATATTTAATTTAACAAATTGAAAGATTCAATTATAAAATAATTTCATTTTTTATAAAGCTAGTATACTAATATAATATCTATATCTAAAATCAATTATTATATAAATAATAACATTATATTTTAAATATAAATATTGAAATTGTAAAATTTATATAAATTCAATTAAAATTAATAAAATAAAAATATAAAAGTAGCTATTTTTATAAATATTTTCATTAATCATTTTCTCAAATCTACTAAGTCGATCACCCTACTTTCAGGCCACCCCTATTTTGAGCCACCCTTTTACACTAAAAATCGTTTTTTTAGTCTATTAATATCTCTATCAATATATAATCTAATATAATAAAAATTTAAATATATATAATTTAAGCTATTTTAAGCTTATTTTGAAAATTAGAAAATTTTAGGAATTTTTTGTATTGAGATTTAAAACTTTAAAATATTGATTTTTAAATTTGTATAGGAATTATATATAAATTTGAAACTTTTATAAAATCTTTAATAACTTTTTAATAAAAATTATTAAAAATAAACTATAAAAATTTATTATAAATTTATAACATATTTATTTTATAGGATTCAGAAAAAAAGAAAATTTCCTATAAATAGATACTTAAAAGAATACTCTCAAAATTATAGAAATTATTTATACTATTCTAAACTTATTATATATTATATCTCTATATCTATTAATTTTTTTAATTTTTTTTTAATTTCTATATAGATTTAAGTTCAAAACTTTCAAAAAGATATATAGTTTTCTTTTAATAATTATTATTAAAAAGTTATTAAAGATTTTATAAAAGTTTCAAATTTATATATAGTTCCTATACAAATTTAAAAATCAATATTTTAAAGTTTTAAATCTCAATACAAAAAATTCCTAAAATTTTCTAATTTTCAAAATAAGCTTAAAATAGCTTAAATTATATATATTTAAATTTTCAATGAATTCTATTCATAAATAAGAAAGTTAAAAATTCCATTTTTGGTGTAAAAAGTGGCCCAAAAGGGGGGTGGCCCGAAAGTAGGGTACCTGACTTAGAATATCAAATAATTAGAGGTACACTTATTTATCCTCGAGACCAAGTACCAGTGCTGGCCGAAAGGCCGGATGATCCGGACACTTTTCTGCTTTTCTCCAATGATAACCTGAATCGGATTTTTACAATGCTATCTCATAACTGCGAAGTCAGGGCAAATTTGTCCACAGGCAGGATGCTCCTCAATCGTCTTCCATTTCGAGCAGTCGACCGGGCAATCGGCGAATACGTCCTTAAACTCTGTTTGGTAATTCTCATAAACATGATGTTGTGCTAACCCGTCTTATATCATTCGAATCGTGATATAAAGACAGTGGCATGAAAGAGCTGCATGGCGAGTTCCTTTGCAACCTAGACTCATTGAATGAGAATGAATGCTCGATATTACAAAAGCACCAGGCACGAGAATTTACCAGCAAGTTTTGAGCCATGTGCTTTGAATGCCGTGTTGTCTGAAGAACCAGCACCTTCCAGCGTCTTATAATTAGAGGAAAAATGTCCAACTTTCATATCCTAGCCGAAAAAAGTGTTTCTTTAGTTAACGTGGTTTATCATCGAGTGAACCATATCATCGAATAGGCCACTTCAAAATACACTAAAATTAGCCTTTTCCTAATATTTACATTTTAATAATTAATCAATATTTTTTAAAAAAGAAAAAAGATTTATTAATAAGAAAAGATTTCTTATATAAATATTTAGTTTTTATATGAAAATTAATATTATATTTTATGAAAATTATAAATTGTTATGATTTTCATTACAAAAATATTATTTTAATAATAAATTTTATATTAATTAGAATTTTAAAAAGCAAATTAGATTTCTATAATATTTATATAATTAAATTTCATAATTTCAAATTTTATAAAATGATATTATTAAATGAAAAAAGTGTACAATTATATATAAACAAATTTTGTATGTATTTATAATGGCCTACTTAATGATATAGTTTACTTGATGATAAACTACGTTATACATTTTATGTTATACAGATATGTAACTTTGGCTTTTAGTATCTACATGGGTCGTTGTGTGTAAATCATGGTTGAACCACTAAAAGTTCATCACAGCATCAATTTAAGATCCCATTTTCGGGATTTTAGCACATGAATTTGATACCAACCTGTCAGTTATGATTGACCGATCTTGACCACCGCTGAGCAAAGTTCATACGTTGTAAAACCACCCACTCAAGCATGTTTTTCTTGCAGGACCTGTAAGACTGGTTGTGGTAAGATTGATTATTTAGTCAACTACCTTTCTGAATTGTGTACTCCATAATTTTCACTCAACCGCCTTTCCCCTGCGTATCTGACCAGTGACTTGGCTTTGATTACAAATCGAACAACCCCCTAGTACCCCGTCTGCTTTGAGTGCCGTTGATTTGCCTGCTAGGACCCTGGACCGTGGGAGCTGCGTGGGATCCGCTGGTCTGTCCCCCATTGCCATCGTCGTGTCGGTCAAAATCTCTTGAATTCTGTCTGGTTTGATTAGATGAGCGTCTACCGGCATGGCCCCCACCCCTTCCAGTTCCACCCCTTCCAACTCCACGCCTTGCGGTTCCGCCCCTACGACCAGCGCCTTGGCTATCTGCACCCCCATAACCTCCACTTCCAACCTCAGTTTCGCTTGATCCAGAATCGCTATTTAGATCATTCGGGCTACTGGTGGAACGGGTCCTCTGGTAACTCATCACCAATTAATTGAGCTGTCTTTGAAAACCTCATCGCTTATATCTTACCTCTGAAACCTGCAGTTTGGACAAGGACACTCGTCCAACGATTGTAAGTAGACGAAATGGTAGGAAGACACTCTACAAGGATGCATTACAGTGCCGTACGTGCAAGGAAACACGCAGCGACACTCGCGATAGCCATCGGGGCAGGATTCCCAACGTTTTCCTAGATAATAGCACATTATGTTTTCAAGTCAGTTCTGAATACACGAGGGAAATATCTTTCGAAGTAATGAGATAATATTGAGTTATATAGTATGGCTAGAGACAGGCTGTGCTCGGGCTGAAGGAGTTTGATTCTGAAATATTCATTGTAGATGGAAGATAGGTCGTTGCTTCTAGAACTTCCTTTGAGAATTGCGGCCTGGGATCATTACATTAAAGAGTCAGCTCACTATACTGGGGTGTGGGACAGTCAAAATTTTATATATTTGATCCAGACAATATGAAGGAATGATATTTCAAAGAGAGGAAGAAAGTAAACATGGCAATTATCCAATGAAAGACTTATTCCAGTACTATCCTAAGAGTCCTTGACCAGATATAAAAGGCTTCCACGACAAACAACACCTAATTGTGACGAAAGAAGCTTCTCTAAGCAAAATGAAAAGACTCAATTTTTCAAAGAACTTCCAACCTTCATTTCAGGGGGTTACAATTCTAGGTACATGAATCGAAAAAATAAAAGAAAGTATCACTTGCACGATTTTCTAGCACTTTTCTTGAAGAAATCGTAGATCCATGAGCACCCTCTTCATTTGTCCCTCATGCATTTTATCAGAAGAATGGTGCGACAGACTTTCGTGCGATATCTGGTATGCATTGCAGAAAAATAAAGAGTTCAGTAAGATTTAGAGACAATGCATTGGCGATAGACCTTTAAAAGCATATATATAATCTCATAAAACAGAAACAACCATGAACTCCCTTTCTTTGTAGCTACATGGAGCACTTGATCTCAACTTCGACAACTATGCATTCAACAAGATAATAAGAACCTACAAAACAAAAGTTTAATGCGTACTTTGTGTATGTGTTCTCACAAAGCCTTCAGATCAGGTCAAGAGTCATTTAATCTGCGTGTTGGAAGATGTCAGTATCCTCGCGAACATCAAAGACGCCAACCCGCTCGTAATGTTCCGATCTACAACTTGAGAGTGTGCACAGAAGAGCGCAAATTCAAGACGCCGTTTTTGGTTTTGTCGTTGAATCTTTCAAACGCATAGTACCGACAACCATACAAAGTATTTTGGTAGTTTCATTGGTTGCATGGTCGTTGGAGAAGTCGAGACTTATTATTGTCTCGGGAGAGGGAGCTTTCGCTGAATAGCTTGCGAAATTCAGCGTTACTCCGCCTACTTCACCATGTTTCTTCGCAATTTCGCCAGCTACTCCCAAACCTTGGATTCTTACCTTAGGGATATCCGTTTCCAAGAATTTAAGAGACTCAACAGCTGTTGGTGGCAGGTTTGTACCAATATAAGAGAAGCATTTGTGTGTTTTAAAAGTACTATCCTGAGTAGCAGGAAAGGTTATGATTCCGCCATCTTTGAAAGCTGCCGAAGCCCATGACCAACTACATGCAAATATTGGTTTGTTTTGTGATATGTCTTGCTCATTTTTTTTAATTGATTGGTGAGCCCCCCTAAATGTCCAGAGAAGACCTCTAGCTATATCAGACTGCCAGGGACCAGCTAAGTATCCACATTTTTATCGGTCCTGAAATGTACTTGCGACTCCAATGAGAGCTGTGAGTCGGTCAGTCGGTCGTGTCAAGCTCAACTTGCAGTACTCCCGAACTATATCGAACCACTGTTCAAATACTTTTAAATCTTCAATCTGTTCCAGCTTAGACTCTGTTGTGATAGAAATCGCGTACAACTTCTCAAGTCCCGTACATTCACACCGTAGGCCTGATTTACATTCCATCACTAGTTCCGATGGATGGAAATGGATCGTGCGAGGCGCTAGCCTCTGTTCTTGAAAGACCCAGGCTCGAGTCAAAAGTGGCGTGCGTGTGCTGAGCACTGCGCGATACATTAAATATGGGTAATTAGGTGAATTGTATCGATGATGAACCACCTCGAGTGAGGGTCTGACAAAGATGGAGCTTCCATTCTCTAATCTTCTTAATCTTGCTGAACTGATTCGATGCGATTGTAATGAAAGTGTTAAGTGTTTGAGAAGGAGTTTTCGGTGATGAAAGCACCCCCTCGGCTATCATACGAACCAGTAGCCGCCAAGTTTAGGTTACTATTTGAGTACACAATAACCATACGGGCAGCCTCTTTCTTCCAGTCGTCCTCGTCATTCTGAATTATGCACAGACTGTCAATCCAAATATACCGAATGCCAAGTGCTCTCACAATCGAAATGGCGTCTCCAAACGTTAACGGCAAGGTTTTCCATACAATGGCCTTTCTATGTTGCATGAAAGTTTCGCTTTTAGTTTGTAGAGGCTCGTGACCTCCCCAGCGATGGCTGAGAGTTGCACAGCGCTGCTTGAAGCCAATATTTTGGGGACTATGAAATGACGCGTCTGTTTTCTCAACCAAGACAACTATCGCCGACTCTCTTCTCAGTTGACAGACATCAAGTAAGCGTGTTGGGAAGGCTTTATAGTTAGCTCACGATGTGCATTTTGTGTGTTGACTGTCGCGATTGGCGATCCATTCGCGTATGATTGATGCGCTTCTCTAAATTGGATTGAAAGTGGAAACATCTCGTGCAATTCCAAACGCTGACACTAGTTCAGATTTTGCATGCATCGTATCTTCTGACATTCACGTTAGATGTGACTTTCATCTACAAGTTCATTGTGGCAAGTTTTCGTGCTGTCATTCTAGACCTCAATGCGATTTTTTTCAGGAAGCATAAGAATTGTAGATTCTGTAAACACTTCATGTAATGTCCTTATAAGGCTATAGTCGCACACAAAGTCGCACAGCATTATCATATTTTGCACTATGGGCAAGATCAGTAGGTCAAATGGGCTCCACTCGTTTAGACGAGAATGGGTAAGTTTGTGCAACGTTTTTGGAGTAAAGTATCCGCGGCCATTATGCGGATTTGATAAAATAGGTTGAGCCCAACGCGTTTTGCTATATGACCGTGAGTCTGATGCTGAGGTAAATAGGCTATTTGAGCATATTGTAATAATACATGTTGATAAAGCCAATTGCAAGATGTCAAGGTTGTGAGGTCCTGGTATTGACTCAATGGTCTAGAGATATAGCGTATACACATAGATTTAGATAGCGTCCTATTTCTGGCATGCTAATAAACCTAATCACTTAGACAAATCTTCAATGAAATCTTTGGGCAGTGTAATAGAAGTCATGCTACGCTTGAAATTGTATATTGGAGTGAAAGGGGTGTCATTAGTGCCATAGTGTTGCCCTTGCTTCACATTTTCAAAATTCCTCTGCTCAATTTTATTAGAAGTAACATATCCCATTAGTGTTTTTGAAAATATCCAGATATAAGACAAGGCCCTACATCGTGAAAGAGCTTCCTTTGGTTTATCAACCTAATTGAACATTTCTAATGATACAAGGCGGATCGCTCTGAAAGTAAGCCAATATAAGTCAACTACCCCACTTTCCGACCACCCCCTGTTTCCGACCACCTAAAAAATTCATATTATCTACACTTAAAACTTTAATAACTCAATAACTATTGAACTTCAATGAAATCTCCTGTAGAATCACTTTCTATAGCACTAGAGCTATCATCTACCTCATCTTCACGATCTCCAGCTTCAATTTGTGTACGCCTTATAGCTCTAATCCCTGCGAACTTCGAATTTGGAGATACCACAACCTTTCGCCTTTTTCTAGGTAATGCTTCATCTAATTGATATTCTAGCTTTCTAATCTTATTCTCTGCCTCTAAGAGTTCATAATCCTTAGCATCGAATCCTTTTATAATCTTGCGAAATAGTAATCTTCGTGTTGGCAAATCGATCTCCTTCTCTTGAATCATTATATCTCTATATTTTCTGATATCGGCTCCTTTTTGAGGGGTTTTCCATTGAATAAACGATGAATATATATTCCATTGAAGAATAGGATCATCATCAGATTCAGGATTAAGTGATAAAACCTCTCTATTGCTATTTTCAAGCAAAAGTCGACTCATAAGAGGTTTAGCCATATTTTTGGGCCAAAGACCACTAGCTTGCCACCCAGACTTGATATTTTGAATAGTTAAACCTTCTATTCTAGCCTTCTGATAGCAAGAAAGGAAATTGCGCTTTCCAATTGGTGAGGAATCGGATAATAGACTTAATTTATTAAGTTCGATTCGATATGCACTTTTTAGGGGTGAGAACACAGATAAATCGAGTGGTTGTAGTACGTGTGACGTATGTGGTGGGAGAAATAAGAGATATATGTTGTTATTAAAGCATTCTAACATAAATGCTGTAGTTTCATGGCTTCCGTGTCCGTCCAAAATGAGGAGTCTTGAATTTTCCGGCTGAATAGGGGTAGTTTGAGGGATATAGATCTTTTTCAGCCATTCTAAAGCTGTAGCATCTGTAGTCCATCCATTTTCTGTAGCGGTAAAGTTCCAATCCTTGAATAGAGTCAAATCTGTTGGAAACCATTGTTGTTGAACTGATTTTCCCTTATATATTACAAGGGGAGTAATGCTTTTTCCATTGGCTGAAATGCATTCTATAAAAGAGGTCCAAATTCGAGATCCAGGTTGCTTTTTTTGAATAAATCTTCGATCAGTGCTTCCTACTACTAGTCCATTAAGACCCTGACCCTCCATTATACCTGCTTCATCCATATTCCATCTGTTGGCCGGCTTAATAGCCTTGATTTCAGGGATTGCGAGGTTCCGGAACCACTTCTTAATAATATCAGATGTAGCACCTGAAACTCGTGCAGAATCGATTTGATGTTGCTTCTTAGTTCCAATATTAGGATGCCTTCGAAAAAAGCTATGTATCCATTTCTTTCCAAGTGAGGGATCCTCCCCTCGTACAATAAGGAGGTGCTCTGCCATCTCTCTGATTTGACGATGTGTAGGGCTAGTACCAAGAGCTTCCTGTACTAATATCCATTCTGCTAGTCGATTCTCCTGAATTGGAGATAACTTTTGAAGTATTTGGGCGCCTTTTTGATGCGAAACTCCACCATATATTCGATCGTGAAGTGTGGTACGTGGAACACCATAATCCAAGCTAGCTCTTCGTATGCTTGCTCCATTTGTAATCGCTCTAAGAGCCTCTGCGATATCTTCTTCGGTATATCTATTCTTCATATCACAATTATAATAATATCAAAATTTCAAATCAATTGATTAAAGCATTGTTGAGTTATTCAAAGTATAAATTTTATAATTACTCAAAGCGGTGTGGTTTTTGAGGTGGTCGAAAAGAGGGGGTGGTCGGAAAGTGGGGTAGTTGACTTAAGTAAGCTTTTTTGTTTCTATGGTGTCTTCGAAAGCTTGCAAACAACGTGGAAATAGATCCATATAGAAATCTAGCCTTCGTCTTTCTGCTTTTTACTCAGGATTCTTTTACTCTCTTCAAATATCTCTTTGAGTTTTGACTTCCTTCCTTTCGATTCAACCCTTCTTTCAAAGTCAGACAGTACCATAAGCCCCCAGCAATCCCAAGATGGGTCTATTTCAGTGTATTCGTGCCGTTGTATTGGGCGGCATCCAAATTACACACACGTATCACAGAAAGCAATATTTACGACAGATCTATTGCGTATGGAGAATGTGTTCATACAACATGATCACCTACGTTCGTTGTAGACAGGATCCAAAACATGAAAGGGTCGCTCTTGTGACAACTTTCAGGGATGGGGATGCTCTGAATCGGATTCTGTGTGATGAGGTATTCACCCAAGAACCGCCAACAACTGCAAGTTATCAAACAAAAGATCTGACGAATCCGTGTCCCATTTGCGAGTGAATTAAAAAATTGTTTCCCAATCAATCTGTTCCTTAAGACTGACAAGTTACCAGACAGGATTTAATCTTCGCGAAGCTTAGACCGAGTCCAAATGATGGTAGCGGGGGGGGTAATTTCACAAAGATTGCTGGAGGTACGATCAACACAATGAAACGTTGGACATCACGGACTACAAATGGTAGCCCTACAACATAGACTTCCCGATCTACAGAGATAAATGGTCCAATGACATTAGTATGAGAGCTAAGTAGACTTAGAGTAGCTTCACAGCGTTGTAGAAAATGTCTAGAGAAAGTGTCTAGAATTAGACCAGAGTTGCCCAAGTCTTCAAAATGACTTGAAATTCAAGTTGCCAGTAAGCTACCACCCAGTTTCGAATTCCACGTTGAGCCGTGTCGATCTTGTTTCTCATCCTGAAGATCTGTTCCTGGAAATATCACACATAGGCAGATTCTCCTAAACAAGGAGAACTTTAAAAGCTTTTTCCATGATTGAGTTGCGCACCAGAATCAAGCCCAAATCAGCATCAAGTAATTCCAGACACCCCACGCAGTAATATCTGCACTTTCAGCACCCAAACATAGTCATCCATCCACCAGACTTTCCATCACTGCCTCTATCTGACTTCGAACGCTATTCTCCGTCAATCTCGACTTGACTTGACAAATATAGACTCGGTTGAGCTGTCATTTCTCGTGAAAATGCATGAAAATGAAGTATATCGCAAAAGACCGCTTAACGTAAGATTTCTCCTTTTAGTCATACTCATAACCGACCACTAGTCCGTTCGTATGCAATTGAGATCTGGCATAAGGAACTCCGTTCAGTAAACCACTTGGTAAAAGTAAACACAAAAACAATATGAGAAACACACTCAGCACCCCTATCATCCCCATCATCTCCATTATCCCCATCCTCCTCTACAATCCCCTAAGTATCCCCAAACCCATCAAACACACAACCACCAAACCAAATCCCCAACCCAGAAATCCCAAGCATAACCCCCTCTGACCCACCCCACCTCGAGCCCACTGAATTCTAATAAACCCCAAATATCCGTGCGCAACCAAACCAAGCCAAACCCCCGCCCCACCCACATAGGTAACCAGGGCTCCCAATTACATCCACACCTCATCCAAAAAATGTGGTTTCGAAGCAACTTCAATTAGGTACTTATCTAGAGTTTTGCCAACATGTCATGATTGTTAAAGCCAGAGAATCAAATCAAATCAAATCAAATCAAATCAGAAAATAACCAAATACAAGAGATTTCTTCTCCTTGTCTATATAAATACACACTCTAACTCTGTATCTATGTATTTATCTCAAATTATATACAAAATGTCCGCCAAGATTACACCAAACCACATCATCCCCATAGGTATCAAAGAATCTCAAACTCAAAAATCTAAACCACCAATAATAAAGCCATGACCCCCATAGCAGCCATAATACATCCCCGAACACTGACCTTTGAGACTCCAGAGTCTAAATAAGGATAAGCAGTGACAGCACTGGCATCGCTTGTTCCAGTCGCGCTGTAGACGCTTGGAATGGCGAATATGAAAGTTTCGGTGCTTCCAAGTGTAGAGGTGTCGATAAGGATACTAGTACCGGTTATCGATACGCTACTTGAGGTAATAGTTTGGGTAGAGGTAGCGTTGGCGGATGCAGATGTGGGTTTTGTGATGAAGGAGGTGGTTGCGTAGGTTGGGGTAAAGATCATTGGACTGGTGGTTCCAGCTTGGGCGACTACGCTGGATGATTGAGGAGTGCTAATGCCTTCGGCAGATGTAGCGACTTGAGCAGGAGCAGATTGCATGGGAACCACGGTTGCGGTAGAGAGGATGACCGAGGCGTCACTTCGAATAGGAGTGTTGGTTACTGATGTAGTGGATGGTTGAGTGGAAGTGGCCACGCTCGAGCTTACAGCTTTTGCTGGAGTGTCTGGGCAGGCTGCTTCACCGGAAAGAAGAGCTCCGGAAGCGACACATGCGGCAGAAGATAAAGTTAGGGTAGGAATAACGACCGAAGAAACAATGCCAGTAACCTCACCTGAGAGAGTACTAGTCGATGTAGCGGGTGTTTCTGGGCAAGCTGTTTGGCCAGACAAAAGAGCACCACCAGAGGGTACGCAAGCTGGGGAAGAGACGCTGGTGGTCTCACCAGAGTTAGCTCCAGCTGAAGCAGTTGGCACAGAACTATCACTTTCAGCATATGCTGGAACACTTGGGCTTAAACCAACAGGAACGACAGTACTGGTTCCCTCGGTAGTTACAGTGCTCCAAGCATATGCGGCCTCAGATACTTGAGTTGTGGAAGCTTCTGGAATGACGGTAGCAGTTTGGAGAACAACAACAGCACTGCTGGTGTTTTCTGCAATCGGACTGCTAACGGCAACTCCCAAAACAGAAGTCGAACTAATAATAGGACCGCTGGTCACAGCGATCTCGGTAGATGAAGGCTGAGCTGGGACAGTTGTTTGTGCAATTTCGCTAGTGGCTACAATGATAGCAGAGGATACTTCACCTGGAAGTGTAACAGTGCTGTAGATTGTAGCGGCTGATTTGACGCTTGTGATAGTACTTTGAATAGTTGTGGTCGAATCGACATTTGCGCTGGATGGTGAAGGAGTGGCTTCTCCCTCGGCAGCAGTGATTGGGCAAATGGTAGTCGAAAGAATAATGGTTTCGGTTACAACAGATCCAAACTCGTCAGTGCGTGTGTTTGTTCCGTAGATGGTAGAGGTAGTATGGGGGTATGGAACTGAACCAGTGGTAAGAGCGCCGGCAACTGAGGATTGCTCAATAGAAGATGCTGAAGATACAATGCGAACAGCGGAGGATTCTTGAACGGGAGATACTGATGCAATAATACTGGCTGTGGAAGATGTCTCTAATGGAGCTGCTGTGGGAATAATTGTAGCGACAGATGGTACTGAAGCAATGATGCTTGTGGTAGAAGATGCCTCTACAGAAGATACCGGGCAAGCGGTCTGGCCAGAAATGAGAGCACCTGTAGAGACACATGCTGCAGAAGATAATGAACTAGAAGCGACAACGGAGACAACAGATGCGACTTCGGAAGTCGCGATACCCAAAAGAGATTCAGCTTGAGCAGTCGAGCTAAGTATTGGGCTAGCAGTAGTTGAGATTTCGGTCGAAGAAGCAACGATAGCGGCTGATGTAGATGAAGCGCTATTCATGGTTAGTATACACTACTTTCCTGGATTTTGAATACTTGCCTAGTAGCGCTAGTAGCGGCCAAGGTATCATTTTGGTAAACCTTAACACTGTTGATGAGCCAATAAGATTCCTTGTATGCTTCTGGGTTTGCTCCAACATAACTATCACAGGTAGGATATTTCTCTGCGTCATAACAAGTTGTCTCTTGCCAGATTCCAATTTTTCCAGCATATACTCCACAGAATGTTGTATCGAAGATGATCTTATGGTTGGCAAATAATCCATCAATGTTACAAACTCCTCCTTCGGTAGTAAAGGCAGGAAGATCCCAGGTGGATGGATCTGGTGTACCAGCAGTTATATCGGCTGGAATCGCATGAGGTCCAAAGTTCCACATTCTGATAACATCGCTCGTCCATTGCATGGCATATACACCACCCCCGTTGCTATTGAATGTCGTTCCGTAAGAATTTGGGTCGGAATTAGTACCAGAGCATGCAGAGGAGCCTTCTTGGGTTCCAAATATGCTTGAGGTAGCAGAATCATCGCAGTTGTATGTTGTGACGTTATCTTTTGATTGAGTTGAATATTGGTTACCGGAAATATAGCATCCTTCTCCGGTATGAAGCGTTTGCAAGCTGACAGTCTTCTCGTGGATGTTTCCAAGAATACCTATCTCTCCGTATTGTGGGTAATTGGTAGTATTGACGGTCCAGAACGCTGGCCAGGTACCACAAATACTAGCCGGCATATGCGCAAGGTCGGCAATAATCAAGCCATGAGTATAGGTCTCTTTACTTTGTATCCTAACACTGGGCCGGCCAGTGGTGACCACATTGACGTAGTCGACACCCATATAAGCTTGTCCATTCTCGACCTTTGTCAAGGCTACACCAAGCTCGCTGTTTGCATTTTGGGCTACTTCTTTAGAAGTATATGAAACGAATCCGGTTGTTGGGTCGGCTCCCTATTTTCAATATATCAGACAAATTCGTTTCCCAAAAGATCCGTTTCAACATGTATAATTCGTCCGCTAACTAGCCGTGACAATTGTCGCCCCGTCTCTTTACTTCTATCTAATTATTGACAGAATACCGCACGTACCGTATAAAAATCGAACATATCAAAAAAATTGGTTCCTGCATAATCATCGACTAACGTATACTTATTCGTCGCGGAAACTTCACCGATGAAAGCAAGCGCCAGAGTGGCAGTGGACACGATTCGCCGAATCATAATTAAGAAATTAAATGAAGAAGAAAAATAATGAGTGACTAGACGTAACGTTCGAGGAATTGAAAAGAAGAAGATTGACTTTCTCTCAGAAAGAGTGATGAGAGTATGTCTTCAGCAATAAATGAGGAAGGAATGTATTGTTGTGGACGACAACAACCTTTTGAACAAGGTACTACGAGTTCCTTTTTCGCAAAGCCATAACCTATCCAGTGCCAACTTTGATGACTGAGGACTCAAAAAGACATTTCGAGACGTTGAAGCCATTTTCCTTATATGAGGGCCTGTTTTAAAGTGGAGGTCAATAGTATCTAAACCCGATAGGATACGATGAAACAAACCAAAATGACTGGGGTTAAAGATTGGAGATCACTTTATCTTAGATTCTAGGGACGGATCAAGGGTAGAGTACCTCTTTCTGAGCATATCTGGACACAACGCCGGGTGTTCTGGATGAATTGGTTGCGTGGAGATGAAAATTGTTGTGAATATATTAGAAATATGGAGCTTTGAAAACCTTGCCCTTAGTATCTTTATCACTTGATATGAAGCCCCCCTGTTGCCCCTGATTTTTGGTATAGTGGAGATTTTCTACTGTCCGCGACTATTCACAACAGGGAATGCAGGGTGTGGAAGTGGAATCTCATCCTAAGAATGGTACGCGCCTTTGGTGTGTCGTGCTGATTGGACAAATGTTTGAGATGTTTTTGACGCTCTGGATCTCGAATATCTACCGCCCTATCAACAAGAAGAAGAGATGAGATGTACCTAAAGAATCTGTTGGCATTCTCTGGTTCTGGAGAGGCAATGGAATTGCCATCGATGTTTGTGATAATTGTGATGCCTGCGCGAGGCATCAATAGTATTGGTTCACATCCTGCTCGTGATTTGACGCCCTACTTGCCCTATCTGCCCTGCTCACTATGAACTCATTCATGCATGTCATGTTAGGTCGGAGGACCTCTCAGCCACAACATGTATCGTCAATCTGTGATTGGTCACCCGATGTTGGTGGAAAGATCAAAAATTTGAGCTCATGTTACATGAAACTTCATTGGCTTGCTCTGACGATTTCTCGGTGGTCGTGCTCAAGGAGGTAAAATTTCGGAGTCTTGAGTGTGCGGTGCGCACAAAATCTTTGGGGTCCAATAAGCTCAGTTAGAAATAATCTTCAAGTCCGTCAGTCACGTGGTATGATGTAAATTCAATCAATCTCATTAGAACATGTCTACTATCAAGTATCAGACTTTCGGTATGCTCAGCTTCAATTCCAAGCCACAAAGATTACTTACTTATAACACTAGACAAACGCCAGAAAAAGTCAGATGCATGTCACGTGATTATCCAGGGATGGGTTTGGAGTCCGCGAATGTTTGATATCTTAACCAGGCTAACTGGGTAAGGAGAGATCAAGGAAATTAAAAAAAAGTTGCGAGAACGACTGACTATGCAAAACCCCTTCCTCGAATCAGAGTGTATGAAATGAAATGAAATGAAATAAGCGTTGCAATCCCCCGACAGTAGCTCTTTCCAAAAACCCAAAAAATGAACATTCTCAACAACATTAACCCAGATCGCAAAACACACCATTTCGATCGAAATGAAAAGCAAGGAAGAAAGGTTCCCCAGAATCTTGCTATTTGGCTCATATCTGTGGCCATAACTCCACAAAAAGAACCTTGCCAAGTTACATTTACAGCTCAAAGTGGTGAATACGTCGAGCATGATCCATCACCTTGTCACGACGATAAAATTCCCTGCCACATCCAGGTGCGGGGCAAGAATACTCTGGAATTCCATGCTTCTTCATGTGACGATTGCAGTCACTTTGGCGTCCAAAAGTCTTGCCACAACCAATTATGTTCAGTGCCAACGCGAAGAAATCCGTTTACTGGCCGTGTACATTGATGGCCGCATCGATTCCATCCCAGAGACCCTGAAGATACCTAGTATCACTTGAGGTCGCTTTTGGCTCAAATGATATAAAATTCTGGAAGTTCATGAATGAATCCAAGGAGGTGGTTGCTGTGTCGCCTGTTGAATTGTAATTCCAGTTCGGAACTTTTGCATGGTTGAACTCAGTGGGAAGTAATGCTGTCTGGTCGGCTCTCACATCGTCGTTCCAATTAGAAATGTCGAGAGTTTCGACATTGTCGTACAACACATTGTCAATTGGATGTGTAAGGGGAAAACTTGCAGGAGAATGATCCGAAGAAGCTTCAAGATTGCCAATAGGGACCTCGCCGGGGCTGAGTTCGAATTGAAATTCGATTTTAATCCATTCCGTCTCGGGACTGCTTGAGCTGGAGGAGGCATACTTGCGTTAGTTCCAAAAAAAAACTTACGACTGCTCCTTGTTGATCGTGGCCGACATATTTGCGTGCTGCAGATAGATTTCGGACGGCCAATAAGATGATGTGGCGATGTAAGGCGGCGGTATGATGAGGCGAGCAAAACACGCTGCACTGGAATTCCGAATACTTGACAAAATTCAAAAATTTAGAGAGGGGAACATCTTCCTATAAGTGATTTATTGGTAGGAAAATAAGATCTCACCACACTACAGACTCATCTTCCATACACCGATTTCGTGCATACAATCCCTATAATTTTCAAATCTCAGAATTGATACATTCCGCCCGATCGCATGCTCTTAGCCTTTGCGCCTCTTTGATTATTTCTTTCTACTATATTTGACTGTTGAACTAGAAATCAACTCCTACATCATTTACGTATTCGATGATGTTGTGATGACATCTAGTACCGCCAGTCTTCGGGCTCCAGGCACGTTTGGGTGCGAATTCTGTCCGAAAGCCCTGCCTACTAAAGGGTCTTTGAAGTATACTTTTCATAGTCTCCATCCTCTCTTTATTAAGAGCTTAATATAGCTGATTATTGACTCTAGTCGTCATTGGAATACTCACATACGGCCATACAAGTGTGTTACATGCCAAAGCGGCTTTGCTTTGCGCAGCGATTTACGACGCCATGAAGGCAAGCATGGAAGCGTGGATCCACAATACATGTGCAAGGGGCCTGAATGCAAGTTCAAAGAATCGGCACGGAAAGACAATCTGATGAGGCATATGAAAATAATGCATTCAAAGGTAGTTAACAATGACGAAGAAGACGTTTGCAATGTCACCAGCCTACAGGATGCCTACGATGAAGCGATTCAGAATCGGAAGGAGTTAGAAAAAAGTCTGACTATTTGAAAATTGTGCAAGGTGGAAATATATTACTTCGCTCGAGTTGCTGCTACATGAAGGGGGGAATCTTATGGAGACCACTGATACTGGAAAAACCGCACTGCACGTAGCTGCCTTTAATGGCCATTTGAAGATTATCAAAGTCCTTCTCAATACGAATATTGAGCACAATGCGAAGGACGCGGCAGGAAGATCTGTACTTCATGATGCCGCTAAAGGCGGACATTCTCAAATATTCCGAGAGCTCATAGTTGCGGGGTTGAATCTATATGATAGAAACAACAATGATGAAGATTCATTGTGTGAAGCGTGCCGTAAAGGGCATCGAGATCTCGTACAAGAGATACTCGAAACACAAGCACAGCTTAGTTCAAGCGATGGCTCGCCAATGGGTTCTACTCCGAGTGAAAGGTCAAGCATCACACAATCATCATCTGATGAGTATCATGATTGGGTAAAGACCGTTGGTCTGAAAAATACATCAAATTAGCAATTGAAAATGGACACCGTGCTATAGCGGAGATTATTCTAGTCCAACACTCATATATCAATCAGGAACACTTGGCATACGCCCTTGAAAAGGCTGCGGGTATCGGAGAACATCAGCTTGTTGTCTCAATCCTCCAGCAAAAGGATCAATTAAGTCTGAGCGTCTGTTTTCGCGCACTTAAGCTTGCTGCTACACACAGAGACATCCCCATCATGGACACATTGTTTGAGGAGGTAATCCGGCCTAAGATTGAAGCTGACATGGAGATACTCCAGATCCTGCTTCTACAGGCGATTTCCAGTGGCAATGATTATGTAGTTCGTTTTCTCATTGGAAAGGGGGCAAATCTAAATCACCACTCTGGTAGAAATCGGATGACACCCCTATACACGGCTTCTAGCTGTGGCAAATTGCCAACCATTACTACGTTACTTGAAGCGGGGGCTCAGGTGGACCTCCTCAGTTCCAAGGGTACAGCGCTGATCATGGCAACAAGCCGAGGAAACAAAGAAATTGTGGCTTTATTGGTTGAAGCTGGAGCTAACGTCAATATTTCCGTCGATTATCGAGGTACAGCGCTTCAAGAGGCTGCTAAGACAGGGGATAATGTAATGATTGACTTGCTGATCGAAAAGGGAGCGGAGGTAAACGCTCCCGCTAATAGTCATTCTGATACAGCACTTCAAGAGGCTGTTAAGAAAGGGAATGAACGGATTATCACACAGTTGATTCAACTCGGTGCTGATCTCAACGCTCCAGGAGCCCCAGGACTACGCTGGAACCCTAATCCTGGGGTTGCAATCCAAGAAGCTGTGAAACATGGAGATCAAACAATCTTAGATATGTTGCTACTAGCTGGAGCTGATGTCAAAGTCCCGGCTAATAAAATTGTGGCACGCCTTTACAGGAAGCTGTAAGAAATGGCAATGAGTATATGGTCAAAAAGTTGATCGACCTCGGCGTTGATATCAATGCCTCGGTTGCTCATTCAACGGGAGACTCTTGGGAGCGCAACTATAATCCGCAAATTGCAATCCGGGAAGCTGTAAAGAATGGTAACCAAACTATCTTGAATATGCTCATTCGAGCTGGCGCGATCGACCCCAGGGAAGGTTGAATTGCCATGGTAATTGGAGCGAATGTCTCTTGTCAAACTATGCTCAATATCAAGGATTTGTCTTACCCAGCATATGTCTGGTAGGTAAGGTGTGATTTAGCAATGCTTTTAGGTCTTTTGGGCTCTGGGCTGTATGTTGGTATATGCACATCTATGACAGATCATTACTCACGAATCAAAATTCTTTGTATATTCTTGGTGGATGTTAGTAACACATCACTGTTGACTTCATTCTTGATGCCCGTAACAATGTTAAAGTGAGTGGTGGCATAATAGGACTTGTTTAGTGCACATAGACCTACTAGGTACGTAGCTAGGTAGACGATTGAAACAACACAACAAGGACTTTGTTATTATTCCTTAACCCAAGAAATCACATCCATTTCAGATCATGCATCTCAAATATGAATATGTAAATGAGATAAGGATTAATCGAATTCGATGATAAAAAAGCTGGCAAGTTGATCAGACTCCATTATTAAACCAAATCAGTGCACCATCAAGAAAACCTCACCTTTCCATGTCAACCATTCTCAATATTCCAGAACCCTTCCATGATCTTCTTTCACCTCAGACAAGATCGAGCCAGCTCACCTTCAGCTCTTTATCCCCGTTACACCACTGCATTTCTGGCGGTAGCACTTCATTTCGCTTTTCTTTGTTCGCCAAAAATTGTCTCAGCCAGGATTATCTATTCTTTGACTACACATGTGAGAGATTCTCAGCAAAATACAGCAAGATAAATCTTTTCATTATCAAAGTAAAGTTTTATCAAAACTGCTTTGGGATAGTAAATTGTGCTAAGGGATAATACGCGCGATGATTGATTGAGAAAAGTCAAAGCCGATGTTCTAGCTTACTAGTTCGAAATCGCAAATCTTTTGTGTTCTTCGTCGGCTTCTTTGTTAAAGATTGAGGTTACAAAGAGGATTTTGAGAAGGCGTGGAAGATAATTGGTGTACAAGGCTTTCGTGGATAGATCGATGGTTTAGGTATGTTATACTTCTATGCGCTAGGCAGTTTATATCATCAAAATGGTTGATATGAGCCTCACGCAGATTAATCAAAGCCTGCGTCAATCCCACAGTCATGCTTACTATTCATCTTCCACTCTAGCTCTTCCCAGAAATCCAATGGAGCCACCGAACGCAAAACCAGCGCTTCCCAGCAAAGAAACCCCTATCCCACAACCTCCAGGAACAACTCACGGCTCCATACCATCTCGCCACCGTCAAGAATCCGCAGCTGCGCAACGTGCCAGAGAATCACTCAAAATAAACAACCGAATCTTCAAAGGATACATCAATGCCGAACTCATCCGATGCTGTGCACTCCTCGCGACGTCCGAGTACGAACGAGCTTTGAGTCATGTGGAAAATGCTTCATTTCTTGCAGAGGAACAGAATTTTTTCTATGAGATTAGTAAATGTTATTTGTATCGAGGATTGTGTTTTATGGGGATGGAGAGGTGGAAGGAGGCGAGGGTTGCGTTGGTGAGGGGGGTTAATGTTAGGGGATGGGGTAGGAAGGTGGAGGGGTTGATGAGGGAGGCTCATATTAGGATTGATGAGGAGAAGAAGGGGACGCAGGAGACGAAAGTGGGTGTCTGAGGGTAGGCAGAGGTGAATGTTGTTGTGAGTTTGTGGCCAGGACGGAATCATTGATACCAGTGTTACATGAAAAATCATTCTTCTATGATATAGATTCATTGTGAACAGTTCTTTGGACATTTCCAAGACTCGCTTGACATTGAGATCCGAGAATGTAATAGTACACAAGACCTCAAGCGAGGCTCGAAGCGGACATGTATTAGAAACTCTACGCCCATTGCTCTTTTTCTTCAGCAGCTGCAGCGTATTTTCTTTCAATGCGACACCAATTAGATTGACAGACACGCGATATCTCTTTGTGATTAGGACTACAAAAAATAGTTATTTGTGCCGGATGCGTCAAAAACAATGGACTGAGTTTCCTCAAAGAGCTCACTGTATATCGATCCATGATCCAGATCCATGGTATGTTTCTACACTCGACATCAACTACAAGTTTAGATATACTGGTCTGTGAAAACCCCAGCTGACCTTACTGTACCAATTCAAGAAAGTAGCTATTGAACTTTGTCACAATGACAGCGGTGCCACCACCAGGTGACGTAAGTATGACCCTATACTCATAACCACAAGTCCAAGAACCCACCTAATTGATTTGATACAGGATGATCAGTGGGCTCCAGGGTTCGAGTTGCCTATTCCGTCCGCAGAGGGAGAAGATAAAAAAAATGAGGGAACGTCCGGATCCAAAGATAACGATAAACCAGTGCCCACGAAGAAAGCAGAGACCATACGAGGTACGGCCACTGTCAATCAACCTGGGCCGAACTTGGCTGAGAGACCCGAACAAGAAACCACGGCCGAGTACTTTGCGAGCTGGGATGAGGCGGAGAGGATGATGAGAGCCGATTTGGAAAAGGGGAAATTCACACCAGAACAAGTTGACGAAGTTAAGAAATTGATGGAGGCTGGTGTAAGTTCATGTGTGATTTCTTTTTCAAGCAATATCTAAGCACCGGTAAAATTCGGATGTAAGACCAGTACTGATTATATCAATAGGCCATAAAAATGAAATTGCCATATAAAAAAGCACCCGGAGAAATGACGATAGCGCAATGGCAAGAGAAGGCCGCAAAGCTCGAGGCTGAGCTAAAGAACAAGGGACAAGAAGGCGACAAGTACGTGGCTCAATTGATGGCGCTCCAAGACCAATTAAGGCGGCAGGAGGTCGCACAGCTGGAGATAGAAACCCGTAATGCAAAACTCGATAAAGAAAGGAGAGAGGCCATGGCTAAAATCGACAAGGCCGCACAAGAAAAGCGCGACAAAAAACATCAAAAGGACAAAGAAAAGGAAGAGGAGACGAGAAAAGCTGAAGCTGAAAACCATGCAAAGGCCATGCGTGATAAAGATGACAAAATTCGGGCACTCGAACAAAAATTCGATGCTTTGTCTAAACAAGCAGAGGTCGAGAAAAAAGAAAGAGAAAAGGCTGCCGCCAAAGATACAGACAAAGACAAGAAGGTCGAAATTCTGCAAAAACAAGCTCTCGAAAAGAATGAGAAAATCAAGAAGTTGGAGAAAGACTTGGAAGAGGCCGAAAATCACGGGGATGATGAACTTAAAGCCACCATCAAGCGTTTAGAGCACGAGAAAAAACAACTTAAGAAGGAAGTAGCTAAAATGGAAGAGGTGAAGAAGGGCTTGGACGAAAAGATTCGCGGATTGGAGAGCTCACAAGTGAGATTCCTAGATGCAGCTATCAATGAAGAGCAGGCAGGAAAGGAGAGAGAAGCTCTGGAAGACAATGTTCTCGCGTTGAAAAAACGAATCCAGCAATATGTGGACGAAGAAAAAGAACAAATCGTTAGAGAGCAGTTTTTGAAAAAAGACAGAAATACTCTTGGCGCTCAGGTTGTCCAGCAACAAACCGTAATCAATCAATTGAATGAGAAAGTCAAACAATCGAAGGAGAGAATCACTGCGTGTGAGAGTACTATAGAGACCTTGTCAAAAGCACTGAATGACTCATCTGGAAAACTGGGTCGGGAATTTGTGGTCTTGGAAGCGGAAATTGAGAAACTCGAAAAACGAGTGAAAGAACAAGACGTCAAAATTTCTCAACAAGAGTCTGAAATTGGAGCCCAGAAGCTGAAAATTGGAGAGCAGGAAACGAAAATTAGGATTGGGACCCCGGGTGCAAGCCATGGAGAATTGGCTCAGCAGAACCAGACCATACTTAAGGAGAATATGGAGCTCAAGAAACAGCTGGACGACATGCAAAAGAACCTAGGTGTAGAGAACTCAGGAGAACTCAGGAGGCAGCTAGAAGCTAGTCAAAGACAATTAGAAGCCAGTCAAAAGGAATACGGCGTTGTTCAAGAATGCGTAGAGAAGTTATTGCAGGAGCTCGAAGAGGTCCGAAAGACAAAATTCGGCGAAGGAGCAAATGCGAGCGAGATTGAACGTCTGAAGCAAGAGTTAGACAAGGCTACGAAAGATATTGAAAATTTGACGCAAAATACAAGGAAAGCTGTGAATGAGATCAATCGACTGAAGAAAGAGAACACGGGAGGTGCCGAAATTATTCAAACTATTACGGGAAAGTTAAGTAGAGCCACAAGCGAGATCAATCGCTTGGGTGAGAAGAGAAAGGAAGATGCCGAAATGATTCGACTTCTAAAGGAGGAGAACGAGGCACTCCAGTTCGAGATCGGTCGTTTGAGGAGCCTGCGACCAAAAAAAGTACAACCTAATCCAAGCCAAAAAGAATTGGAGCATAATAAAAACAGGGTTGCTGAATACGAAAGGCAGCAATACGAATGGGGCGCTCAGGAAGAAAAACTCAAGGCTCAAGTTGACGACTACCAGCAGCAGATTGATGAGCTGACAGCAATAACGCAAGAGAGTAATGCTCTAATCAATACCATGACAGCAGAGCAGAAGGAGCTTCACGAAACTTTGGATAAACTTACGCTCCACTTGGCAGCCGCAACCGCGAAGCCAATTGACAATACTGAGGGTGGGGGTAAAGCACCTGCCGTCGCTGCTGAACGTGAGCGGGCTCATGCTGAGAAAATTAAAGAACTTGAGGAACAAAACAGCGCACTCTCCAAACAAGTTGATGCGCTCAAGCAAGAAATTGAGAAGATACGAAAGAGCCTTACTGAAACCAACACAGATGCAGAAAAGGAAAAGAATCAACTCAGTCAACAGCAAGCACATGCCAGTGCTCAAACTATTCATATATTGATGGGTTTCATGATTCTTCAGCGAGCCTTAAACGGTAAGGTCACTGGCGATATGAATAGAGTGTTGGCAGCAGTGGATCAAGCTAGACTTCAGGCTGAAGCAGTCAGTGATGAGAAGTTGATTGTAGAATTATCGTACTTGGCCGCTATTGCTGTATACTATGACGGTGATACACCTAAAGCTCTCGAAACTTTGAATGTCGTCAAGGACTCCAAGGATTGGGATGATACGAAGAAAGATCTCGTGAAACAATGGATTGCGCATTGTGAGAAGGGGACTAATTGCCCAAAGGGAAGGAGCGGGTATAGAGAAGCTCTAGGACTCGGACCTGCGCCACCAACTTATCGCGCTCCTCTGAAAGTTCCAAAAGATAATGATGGCGAAGAAGCAAACAAAGCAAGGAAAGAAGCTAAGAAAGCCAAGAAGGAAGCAAAGAAAGCGCAAAAGGCAGAGAAGAAAGCAGCAAAAGAACCCAAGACGGGGACGAAACCAAGAGGAGCTTCAGAGCCTAGACGTCGTGGTATACATAGGCCTGATTTATACGTCGGTATCTTATCGCCGAGACAACAAGATATTTGGGATACTATTGACTTTAGCGATTTCGATTACAATCACCTGACTCCCGAGCAGCAATCTCTATTTTCATTTTCCCCAATAGATTCTGAGCCTGAAAGCCCTCGACGACCAATAGTCCCTCGCCGACCAGTAGTCCATCGAGGAGCCGGACCTTCCAGTGAGCTTTCGCCTCTACCAGCTCCCCGTGCACACTTCGAGCTCCCACCACGACCACCTAGTGATTCTGAATCTGATCCGGAAGCACCACCACCACCACCTCCTCCTGCTCCTCTAAGACCACCAGGAAAGATCAAGCCTCAAAGACCAGCTTCGAGCGGGGCTTTCTCTGCTGCCTCACTTAAAGCCGCCCAAGGGGTTCAAGAAGGGCAACCCAGTCGCATGAGTCGTCCTACTACAGATGCAGCTCTGCATATTCAGTATCTTGTTGCGCAACTGGCTGAAAGTGGAAGACGTATCAAAGAACTCGAACCTGCAGGTGCCACCGTACAAAGTTTGACAGATCGAGTGAAGAGGAGAGATAAACAGATCGAAAACTTAAAAATCTGGGCCGAGCAGATAGTTGCTGAAAACAAAACGTTGAAAGGTGATGCCCAGTAGTGCCGGTACAGAATCATACCTGGAGGCAGTTCTGGGACTTTGATATACCTTTGATATTCTTTTCTTTCCAAAGAAGCATACCTCAATGGAATTGATGGATCGTAATTGTTGTACATTTAATTATTATATAATTCACTTAGAGGCATGCTAATGTCCAAACTACACTTGTGGATGCCTCTACTGCCCTAACTCGCTATGAGGTATTGAAAAAATCATACATGAATATCATTTATCTAGAATCTATGTGTACATATTACAACGACTGAGTATGATCATAAGCCGTGGATACACTGCCCCTCAAAAAGTATAAATGCTTGAAAATGGGACATTCCATACCCAACTTGCAATACCCATAGCTCCCAAGCTCATAGTCAATGCCATAAGAAAATTGACCTCATTATTATCAAGGATGTTTAAATATCCGTTCTCGATGATACGACTTGGATGGCCAGGCTTGAGACTGGACTTAAGTGGAGTATTGGAAGCATCAGATTGGGTGATCTTTTCCTGGTGCAGACCGATGGGATCACTCGCAACGACCAGTACGCGTTTTCCACCTTGTCCTTCGACGATACGTCCAGTCCTTGTGTCCACAACGCTCATTTGGAACCAACCGCCTAAGAAGCTATCCACCACACTGCCAAGAGCTCCCCATATGGTTAACGCATAGGTAAATCGTTGTCGCTGTAAGAAGGACCATCCATTTTCCGCAAATTTCTGAGGGCTACAGAATGGCACCAGAGCCATCGAAACAGTAACTATAATGAGAGAACCTAGCAGACCTGCCACGAGCCCCCAAACCGTAACACCTCCATTTGTTCCCGGTGGTACTTTTCGCAGGGTCGGGGATGTAATAAGCCGTGGATGGGCTGAAGATAGGATTCCAAGTTCCGAGCTAAAGGTATCTGCCGCAACAACTGCATAATTTGCTATTATTCCCACTACAAGAAGATCACCACCCCATGTGTAGCATGCGTCGTTAGACGATTCTGGCTCGTTTCTTCGTTTGTGTAGTTGATATGCGTGCATAAGAGTAAGAACAGAGGCCACGGCAGAATTAGAAATAACTAGATACACATGTTAGTTTAGCATCGGGATAGAAGAGGCAATTTCGTACCTTGCATGTGAGTACGAGCTCCTTCACCACCGGCAGACCCGGTAGATTGTACTGTTAGCTTAGCCTTGACATCGTGTTTGACCTATATTCATCAGAACAGTAGATGGACGAGGTTACAAAGGAGTAACGAACCTTGGTAACTCTTGTGCCAATGACATAGAATATAATCAAAAGCGCAAAGGGTAAATTCCATGGATGTAAAGCGTGTGCGGCAGCTGTGAGAACCGCTGCAACAATACCTGCTGGAGTTAAGCTTTTGTGCGATCCAGCCCTGTATACCATAGCCAGAGTGACCGGAATAGCGATAGCCGCCTTCATAGTGACTCAAACTATATATCTATTCTTATTAAAGACTGTTGGAAGAGCTTCAGTGCGTGGTAGGAAGGAAGACGCTGCTTTGCAATGTCGAATGTCAAAATGTTGAAGAACAATGAGTGCGATGCTGATATTGTGGCTGTTCGTGGGGAGCCAATCAACGATGTCATCATGGTGTATATCACTATCAGGTTGGCTGACACATTTTCAGACAACACGATTTACTAATTAGTAATATAAGAACAGCATCGATGTAAGATTCATTTGTAGATAGATTTTGAAATCATCATTTTTTTAATAGACGAACCCTTTTCCTCTTTTTGCCATTGTCCATTGCCAATGCCCATTCTCCATACAATAATAACACGAACGATGTCAACACATTATGGGAGACACGGGATCGGTAACCTTAAAAGGGCGTTCCGTGACACGTGACTTCTGTCTCCCGGTGGCCAGAGGCAAGTTTCCATTTGTCTATCACAAACGAATTTCTTCCACAATTTCTTATCTGCTTCCCACTCTTGCTTTTAAAGTATAAACAAGAAACTTACACCGACGTTCTTTATCTCAAGTAAGTCGGCAACGTCCGGCCACTTCACCGGTAATGAAGTGGAGGATATATGATGAATATTTAATGGTTATACCCAGCAGAAAGGAGCTGCTACCCATGTCTTGGCTTGCATGAGCGCTGAGATGGAGATATGCAGGTGTATCTGCAACTCCAAAGGTGGGTGATATTTCCCCTCTTAATGGAGAGCATACGCATCCCTTATCGGTATAGCTGATAGTCGTCAGTACATAATGCTTTTCATTTTTTAAGTCTTGCTTTCTCATTTCTTGCACTTCTTCCTGCTCTCTCAATTTTGCCAGCACTATGGTGCTCATCAAAGCATTGGTCACAGCGACTACATTGATTACCTCGACAATTGGTAGTCCAAGTCCGAAGTACCCGAAGCCTGTCTCTAACATCACCGACTTTGTTGAAGCCCAGCTCTTAGAGGACCCTTCTCCATATGATTTTCCTATTCTTCAAAATGGCAGTCTAGCGGACAGTGGTCAATTTCCTATGCCATTGTGCAATGGGTTTAAGTTAGAGGAAGCTTCTATTGACCAATTGCAATCGGCCTTGTCAAATGGGACATTAACGTCAGTGCAAATCGTTATGTGTTATTTGGAGAGGATCTACCAAACAGACGAATACATCAGGTGAGTAACATATGCCTCAATGACTAGCGGCATGCTCATGCACCGATGGTTAATAATATTGATAGAACTGTGATGCAAATCAATCCTGAATTCATCCAAATAGCTTTTGCGCTCGACCATGAACGTAAATCAGGTAAAATCCGCGGGCCATTACATGGCATACCATTTCTAGTGAAAGATGTGAGTTTCAAGCAACAGGTTCTTTCGTGGCCCTACTGACAGGTGCCAGAATATTGCTACCAAGGACAAATTAGAAACTACTGCTGGTTCTTGGATGTTGCTTGGTTCCATCGTCCCTCGTGATGCTCATGTCGTGAAACGACTTCGCGAATCTGGGGCCATTCTAATGGGACATAGCACTCTTAGTGAATGGGCCGATATGCGCTCGAACTCATATTCCGAAGGTTATTCGGCCCGGGGTGGTCAGTGTCGATCGCCGTACAATCTAACTACTACTCCCGGGGGGAGCTCATCGGGCAGTGCTTCGGCTGTTGGCGCAAATCTTATTACCTTTGCACTTGGTACCGAGACCGATGGAAGCGTAATCAATCCCGCAGAGCGAAATGGTGTCGTCGGTTTCAAACCAACTGTTGGCCTTACTTCACGTGATGGGTACGTACTCTTCGCTATCATGGATTTTAATAGTCCTACAGTCCGGTAATGAGAGACTCTTGATTTGAGAGCAAATTTTGAACGTTGAACATGTCCAAATGATCAAGTTGTCCTCAAGCCACACTGTAGTCCCGACTATTAGATACTCTTGCTCCACCACATTCGTAGCCGAGTATCATATTGACAGTTTTTCTAGTGTCATTCCTGAATCTCACAATCAAGATACCGTCGGATGTTTCGCTAAAACTGTCCGAGATGCTACTTATTGCCTTGACGGGATTTACGGTCCTGACGCCCGTGACAACTATACGCTTGTTCAGGATGCGCCAGCCGGTGGCTACTCTCAATATCTTAGCAACAAGACCGCTCTCCAGGGCGCTGTTTTTGGGCTGCCCTGGCTCAGTTTTTGGAAATTTGCCGATTCGGATCAACAATCCCAACTTCTCAACCTTGTTTCCGAGATAGAAGCCGCCGGTGCTACGATTATTAATGGTACTGAACTCCCTTACTGGCAGACCATTATTTCTCAAGATGGCTGGGATTGGGACTATGGTACTACTCGTGGATATCCCAACGAATCCGAGTACACATATGTAGCAGTCGACTTCTACAATGACATCGTGAAATATCTTGCAGATCTCAACAATACAGATATTCGGACCGTCAAAGATATTGTCCAGTACAATATCGACAATGTTGGATCCGAAGGTGGTCTTCCAGGCGTCCATCCTGCCTTTAAATCAGGACAAGATGGGTTCTTAGCTTCCCTCGCTACCGGCGGTATCATGAATGAAACATACTGGGAAGCCCTCAATTCCTGTCATCGCACTACCCGTGAAGATGGAATAGATGCAGCCCTTTATAACAACGGCACTCAACTCACCGCATTATTGGTACCGCCAGACGTGGGCCAAACATATCAAATTGCGGCCCAAGCAGGGTATCCGATGGTTACTTTGCCAGCAGGTGTGAGCCCAGTGGATGGAATGCCATTTGGGTTGGCATTAATGGGGACTGCTTGGAGCGAGGCAAGTTTGGTCAAGTATGCGAGTGCGATTGAGGATTTACAGCAGAGTTTAGCGGGCTTTCAGCAGAAGAGGACGAGTCCATTGTGGTATGATTATAGAGCTAAAAATGTTCCTATCATATAGAGGATATTGATAGTTGAAATGCAAGCTATTTAATGATTACATATGAATTCATGATTTCAATTCGGTCCTTTGAAACTTCCATCGTTTCCTCACTTTCGGTTTTCGTGAAAGGTAAACTGTATTTTGAAGATCACTCTCTTCCAAAGATGTTTACTACCCATTGCTATTCCAACCACTCCTCCTGCAGATAAGATACAGCGACTGAAATCAGAGCAAATAGTCGCAGAAGTCCTAATATATCCAGGATAATGAAGATGAAGGTATGTAACAAGATAGGTAGGTTTCAATCGCTTAGTTATCCCGATGACGTTTTAAGGGCCCGTTTGGATCGTTTTTTTGGGCGATATTGACAATAAATGTAGTCAATATAGGCCAATATAAGCGTTTACTGAAAGTTAATGTAGGTAATAAACTTATTTTGGATTTTGTTATCAATAAAAGCAGTTTACTGAATGCTGATGCTCGCTACAAAATCTCAATATATGTAGGTCTACAAAATTTGAAAATTTGTATGGTTATTTTGTTAAATCTGTAATGTAGTTTTGATTAGCTTTTATCAATATAATGTTATTCTATATTTTGTAGACTTACAAATGTGAAACTAGGTTTACAGAATATAAGCTAAATTTATTAGTCAATATTCAATTAATCTTAATTTGACAATAAATTAAAAAAAATGATCCGAACGGGCCCTAAATGTTTACGAGGTCATCAGACAATGGGATAATTTGTAGCCATAGAGTACTGTATCTAGATAAAACTTATGCTCCCAATTGAATTCTCACTATTTGATGGGCCGAGTTCTCAAGCTTCCTAAGCTTACCTGGACCTTTGAATTGATTCTATTTCTCTGCTTTTGCCATTCGGCCCCTATTGTTCAACCTAATTTCGAACAACCATATTTCATTCTTTGACCTAGCCTTAAACAATGATACCTCATTGAATGACTCAGTCTCAAATAATCGTACCTTAATGACAAGTTCAATCTCAATCAACCACCCTCTCAAAACGTACGGCCGTGTTGATTGCCACTGTATTATCGTTCAGATATTCTTGAATCGACATTAAAGTACCTCATTAGCCAAAGATCTATTCCACCCACTATATTTGCTCATATCGACCATGAATATGGAAAAACAGAGCGAGCGATATTGGTTGGCTCTCATTTACAAAGGTCGATATTTGGTGCGAGGTAGCACTGAGCAACTTTTCTTTGTTGAAATCAACACTAGTATTCGAACCTAGCCTGAGAGAGTTTACAGAGTGATTGAACAGAGTGATTGAACAGCGCCGAATATGATGGAGAATGGTATGAAGAAAGAGGCGACCTCTCAAGCTTCCAAATTTCGGTCCAATTAGAAGAGCGCCCTTTGAATAGTAATTGCTAGATCTCGTAATGGCGCATTCCGAAAATTTGAAATACCATTTGTGAATGAGGGTTTCGAGTCCGATATTCGAGCTTATGTCAACAGCTCATTTCAGAATGGCTACATATTACTACGCTGTTAGAATTGAATGATATGAATGAGGAATATACCATCTGCTTACAATAGTCTCGCTTGTCGAATATCGATATATACTCCAGCGTTGAAGTCGTAAACAAACCCTCACCGTAACTGCTAAAGTCACCACATCGAGATGGATGATCTTCGTGACTCTGTAACGTAAGGCAAGCCTGTAAGGCGCCGAGTCATAGCAGTTGAATGATGACGCATTTATCGTTGAGCATAGCATCCGAAACCGTACAAACAATGAAACTTTCGGAGGCAAGACTTCTTTTGGCTGATGGGCTCTCGATAGCCGCTAAATCTGTGAGTTCATTTTTAAGCTGCACTGGTTTTCGCTTCTTGGGTAGATCGTCTTGGTCTCCTGGGTTGCCTCTCCGTTGCCAGCGGAAACCGTTTTTCCAGCCCACAAGTATGACACTTTCGAACCAAGACATCAGCCCAGGGCTTCTTTCCCTCCTTGCTTTGGTTTTCAATTTTAGCAGTGCATGTGGTCCCTTCCATCAACAAAGTTTGACAATTCTTACAGATCGAATGTTTCATGTCAGGAGACATTCGCATCAATCCTTTCATTGAGACTGAGCGCAAATCCGTGATTAATCTACGAGAGAGAGCTTGATTTGGTTCCTCTGTGACATTTGCTACAGCCTTTGACTCATCTTTCATGACATCCTCCATTGATGAGTCTAGGGCATGTCCCTTTGCTGATTCTTCTTGACTTTCTTTGCCTTGTACAGCCAGATAGGTCGCTGCTTGATAGAGGTATGATATTCTACTGTACAAGACTTTGTTTGGTACTTTGGATACTCCTTTGGTAGCCTGTGACTTTGCCATTGTGATTAGGAACCCAAATTTGATATCGAATATGTTGCCAAGAGGAATGCTGAAGAGCTCAAAACTGCTTTGGCAAGTTTTCTGGAGCTTAAGAGGATGTTGACCCTGATCTACCTAGGTATACAGTAGAGTGAACCAGCTTATGAAATCAAATATGCGAGCTTGGAAATTCCATATTACGTATGAAATGAGGAGTGGTAGTCGAATTTTATATTTCAATTTTGATTATTGTAACTAATAATCAGTCAAAGCTTTTTCTCCCTCAACATAATTGGCCTCGTTGGCGTAACCTAAGCTGAGCTAATAAGTTCACACGTGATATAATTCTTAGCGGCGAATTGAAGCCGCGCCGACAAAGCAATCCCTTAGTCGCGCTCACTCATCTTTCTTTCAACACCTCTACCTCCATCCATCTCAGTACTTCTTCCCACGACTTCGATCATCACGATCTATCTCTTAATTGATTTGTTTCTTCTTGTCATTCCTCATTTACTCCTAACAATTTTCAGCAAGAATAACGACTACTAAGATTGACCTTCGCGATCGACTTTACCTTTCAACAACAACGAACCTAACCTTTAACTAAACGAATTTCATCAAAATGTCTGCCGCTGAAGAGGATTTGATCGATTACTCTGATGAGGAGCTCGCAACAACAGAGGCACCAGCACCAGCTGCTGGCGCAAATGGAGGAGTCAAGGGTGATTCGGGAAATTTGACCGTGTCTGGAAATGCAGCTGCGGCCAAGAAGGGCAGTTATGTTGGTATCCATTCGACTGGTTTCCGCGAATTTTTATTGAAGCCGGAGCTTCTACGAGCCATTTCCTGGTGCGGATTCGAACATCCTTCGGAGGGTTAGTCATAACTTTCATCCCTAAACTCCATCATTGTCCTTCTCGCAGCGCGTCCGTCCATCGCAAGCAAAAATGAATACTCTCTGGTCAAAACTTCAGCAAGTTACGAGCGATCCTGGAATGTCTCTACCGGTCCGATACAAAGTTCGGAGGGATGGCAAACATATGCGTTAGGCGAGAATCTCGAAAGAAAGCGGCGATATAATTGCTGGCAAAATTGTGGGAGATTCGTTTAAAGTGCATGCCTAGAGACTTCCAGGATCGACTCAAACCGACGCCTTTGTTGCGTTTCTGTAAAGTTGACGATTTGCGCCTTCCAAGGCAAACATCGGGCCTATACTTCGATCTGTGCATTCTGGGTGTTGTGTTGTGGATGTATTTTGCGTAGATGGGCGGACTTGCGATCTCTTGCACCTGACTATATATTTGGACACTTAATCTAACTTCGGTCCGATCACTACAGTTCAGCAAGTCTGTATTCCCCAAGCGATTCTTGGTACAGATGTTCTATGCCAGGCCAAATCTGGTCTTGGTAAAACCGCCGTTTTCGTCCTCACAACTCTACAACAAGTCGAGGTAGTCGCCGGTGAAACATCCGTACTTGTGATGTGCCACACTCGTGAATTGGCTTACCAAATCCGAAATGAGTATCAACGTTTCTGTCACTTCATGCCAGATGTCAAGATTGGTGTTTTCTACGGTGGAGTTCCTATCAGCAAGGATGTTGAGGTATTGAAGAATCCTGAGACCCACCCACACATCATCGTTGGTACTCCAGGTCGATTGAACGCCCTTGTTCGAGACAAATACTTGCGCCTCAACAGCGTTAAGGTTTTTGTTCTTGATGAGTGTGACAAGATGTTGGATCAAATTGGTAAGCTTAATTGTAGTCCTTCTAAGTGCACACTGTTGATATCGTTTTAGATATGCGTCGCGATGTTCAGGAAATTTTCAGAGCCACACCACCACAAAAGCAAGTCATGATGTTCAGTGCTACTCTTTCTCAAGAGGTTCGACCTATCTGCAAGAAGTTCATGCAGAACCCTCTTGAAATCTACATTGATAATGAGACAAAGCTCACCCTTTATGGTCTTCAACAATATTACATCAAATTAGAAGAGAGAGAAAAGAATAGACGTCTCAATGAGTTGCTAGATGAGCTTTCATTCAACCAAGTTATCATTTTCGTCAAGAGTACAGTCAGAGCCACTGAACTTGACAAGCTCTTGCGCGAGTGTAACTTCCCATCGGTTGCTATCCACTCTGGTGTTAGCCAAGAGGAACGGTATGTCTTATAGCATCATCAGTTTTTGTTCATTACTGACACATGAATAGTATCAAACGTTTCAACGACTTCAAAGATTTTAACAAGCGTATCTGTGTTGCTACGGACGTATTCGGTCGTGGTATTGATGTCAACAAGATTAACTTGGCTATCAACTACGATCTCCCACCCGATGCAGACTCATACCTTCATCGTGTTGGACGTGCTGGTCGTTTCGGAACCAAGGGTCTTGCTATCTCATTCGTTAGCAGTGAGGCGGACCAAGAGGTTCTGAAGGCTGTTGAGAAGAGATTCGAAGTTGCACTTCCGTAAGTAACCCCCAAATCTCACTTCGCCCTTCGTTTCCAATACTAACAATCCATGACAGAGAGTACCCTGAGGGAGGCGTCGATTCAGCCGCCTACACCAAGACTGACTAAACGCTCGATACCTTTTACGCTGATCAAACGAAATCTCTTTTTTCACGTTTCGGCGATCACGGCACCGATTGTTTATCCAAGTTGTGTCATTCTGAGAAATCATTGCGATGCAAGAAAATTATGATTGTTTTCACGGAATTTTTTCCTTCGCCATTTGTTTATTTGGGGGGTTGTCCCTTAGTCATTGGGATTCTGAGATAAATTGTGCCTGGATGTTGATGGCTAGATGGTAGCAATGGAATGATGGATGTGATTAAATTTTACACGGTGGGAAGGAAAGCAAGTTAGCAAAGATATTAGGTGCAACCGAAAAGTTTTTCTTTGATATGTATTTGTGATCTGTATTCTATGTTCCCTTAGTGACATTAAACTAGCATTGAAAGAGGTTGTCTTGATATTATCCTGAGAAGCTTTCGTTTTTCCAACCGCCCGATCATTACATAGATGTAAAGTTTCAGCACTTGAAATCAATTTAGTCAGCTAGGTTGAATGCCTGAGCCGATCCAAACGTCTAAGTCTCTCTGGATATCTGAATCTCCAATGCCTGAGCTGCCATAAGTGTCCACCCAAATCTATGATAATCCTCTCCATCGACCTTGTTAGTTATCAAGAGAATCATCCCTAGCCCCTCCCCTCTCTATTCCCTAGACAAGCTTCCAAATCCAAACGATTCCATCATGAACCACACCATCATCGCCGACCAGTTCTCTTCTCGGAGTCCAAATTCGGCCTGAAACCGCCAGTGTACTACTTGCTAACCTAACAAACCCATTCATTCTACGCTGGTCGATCGAATTTCCCATGTTATAACCTAGAAACTTCAAACGTAAATCCGCTGTCTGAACGCTTGCTACCACGATTTCGCAAAGTTGATGTAAAATATAACTAGCGTTAAAATTGGCTTCATCCAATTCGGACTCGGTGGTGTGCGGTGTGCGAGCTTGCTGGACGGCAGTAAAAGTTACCTTACGGAAAGAGTTTTGGAGTTTACAGTAGTGGCGGACGACGAGGTTGCGGGAATCGTTGTTGACTCCGTTGGGTCCGTAGAGTCTGTTTTTATCATGATGTCAGTAATGGACTGGCTGTGAATGTGATAAATTTGGGAATTGATGGTACGAACGTGAAATTGTCAGAGCGGACATGGAGATAATGAAGCTTGCCCAATCTGTTTCCACGCCTGGTAATGGTTGAGAAAACGCGCAATGTGGCATCTGAGAGGATAAAATTGATGATTCTGTATTGTGCCTGGACGATGGAATAATCGGAAGTACCGTGTAACGCGTACAGAATGGGTGGAAGGCGGCCGGCAATGGTCATGCAGAGGAGAGGTTTGTAGATAGCAAGGCGGAGCTCAAGAGGTAATGTGGTACTGAGGCGACCTGATGGTGGGATAGTTGTCAAAATAGAAACCATGGGGGTGATGTTGCTCATCGTTGTACTTGTGGAGGGAGTTGGTGGCGGGATGGTTGTAGTGGTGGAAGTTGTGGGAGTGATGTTGCTCATTGTTGTACTTGCGGAGGGAGTTGGTGGTTGCGAAGATGTAGCGGCACCTTGATTTTGATTCTCCATTGCTGCAGTTGTAATGGCTGATGAATTTTGTGTTATACTTGTTGTTTCGTTGTTTCCAACTGTGCTGGCTTGGACATTAGCTGATGCCGTTTGCAACATGCTTGTGTTGCTGTTGAGGTTGGTATCCATTGTTATAATTCTGGTTATACTGATAATAACACAAATTATATCTTTTGTACTATCACTGTTTATTTCGGGATTCAAGACACTTCTGGGACAAGATTTGGTTGCAAGTTGGTTGCTGAGCCGATGTTTGTGCAGTGGATTCGCGTAATTTCAAGTAGTTTCAGGAGAACAAGGTGAGAATTTGATTGTTGAAATATTCAATGAATTCGAATTCCAAGTTATGACAAGTGCACAGTAAAATTATAAGAGATATGGTATTTCCCAATACTTGTTCATAAGAGAACTATTCTTATCATAATGATCAAGTTAAATTGCTTAGTAAAGTGTACAATTACTTGAATGACAAAAGCTGCCTACACTTTCCAAGAACAACTTTTCCGTTCTTTCAATTTGGCACATCACTTGAAGTATATTTACACCAGAACTGGCTCTTGTTTGAAATGTTTTGCTTATTAAATACGCCTCAATGCGAACCCTTTCAGCCTTTCATTCTCACCCAAGCATTCTCTTCAAATTTTCCCCTCCTTCTCAGACTACCCAACCTAATATCTCAATTTCTATCTTCCCACTATCAACTTCCAAATCTCGATTAACGTTCACAGTTACTAGTTAAAAACTCCAGTCACAACTTTAAACGTTTCTAATCCAACTCTAGGCTCTCGATTCTTAATCTCTAATTCTCTACCTCGTCTACCTTCCCGCTCTGTCATCTCCGAAAGCCTCTAGTAGTCAGCTTCCATCTCAATTCCCATCACTTTCGAATGATTCACTCACAACCTTGAACTCCCGTTTCATCCTCACCCTTCCACCGCCTCCCAGAATCCTACATGTCCCTTGGAGTGTCCCATAAGTAATATATATCGAATTCATCATCTCCTTGCTCCAACTCTCAAGCTCTCTATCTACACTCGAGTGCTTACCATTGAGTCATTGTCATTTTACAAAGAGACTTCCAAATCAACGTGATAAAATGGTCACTGGAAAAAAAACTAGGTATGGGCTCGATAACTTAAACATCCTGCGGTGCAGCCTAATTCACTATGATACTATGGAAGAGCCGACTGCTCTGTTCGACATGTTCAATCGAATGGTTTCACGTCCATCATCATCATGTCCTCTTAAGCATAATCGTGTTTGTTTTTCTTCCAGCTAGCTATTTCAGATTTCTAGTGTTCCAGAGATTTCCTACTACAATACACATGTAGGTTCGTGATATCGTTTAAGATTAACAAATCTTGAACTTTTGAGAGTTTTCCCAGTCATTTATTTTGTACTGAAAGATACTAATCATCCCCGTTGGTAATCGAGGAGGACATTCCCAAACACCTACTTAGTACACAGTCCTACGATCTTGATTTCTTCTATCCTCGTTCCAACCACCAGAGCCTTTTGCTACAAATATTTGATTGCAGCAGCAAGACCAATCAACGTGCCCCCCAATCAGCCGCATTCATCCCTCTTCCAAATCGACTAATGCTACTGATTCTCTAAGGTTTCTGGTACTATTGCCTTATTATCTTACTCTTCTTCAACCACATTTTACACTTCTTCCGCTCTCGTTACCTTTGATATTCCTCCTCACGAGCTTCAACTACACACTTCCAACTAGCTGGAGACCTCCGCTGCCTACACATTCTATGCCAAATTCCACAAATTTATGTTCACTCTTGGCCGCGAACTCGGCCCTGAACATAACAACTCGTTCGATTTTTCCCTCGGGTTCGATACATTCGGATGATCTTGCAAGCAAATCACAGCATCAAAATGGTGTAGACAATGACCGCAGGTTGTATTCGCGGTGTCTTCTGGACCACTTGAAAGGACGGGCTCGATGCCTCATCACTTTAAAAGTATTTATCGCTAGCTGCTCTAATTCGAGGGTCTCTAAGGGCCCTCGTTATCAATTCATCAATGCTGGGCGGTGTCTGTTCGAACTTCCTTCATGTTCAAGAATTTCTCTTGCATGATGAACGGAGGACCTGCGTTAACTCTTCAATCGCTTCAATGCCGTTTCTCTTGATATGCAAGAAAGAGAAACCGCGAAGAATTTTGCAAAATTATTGGAGAAGAAGCCATTAGCAACTGAATTTGCCCAACTCTCGATCGATGATCTCTCTCCACTATCAGTCTTGGCACTAGCAACCGAAGCCCAAGTAAACGTCGTAGACAATGACAGCTTTAACATCGCCACTGCATCACTCAATATAATCATTGGCCTGGTCCGTTACGACAAGTCTACTTTGCTTCGTACCCTGTCAGGCGAAAGCTTCTTCTCTAGCGGGATCATCCATATGAGGACATGCAATATGGCTTTCTGTCACTGGGATGCCTGGATTTCCAACTGCGTCATTCGACAAGCGGTCATTGGCACTAACGATTCTGATCACGAATGGCATCAAAAGTGTCTAAAACGTCTTTGCTTAACTATGACGTTGGTATGGTTACAGATCGGGCGAAGACGTGCAATGGTAACGGGGCTTTACTGAGCGGCCGCCAGAAGTAGAGAGTTGTGAGTAACTAAAACATTTAACAGAACTCTTATTCCCAATGCTAACGAACCCCCAGAATCTACACCCTAGCCCGTGCAATATATTTCCGAGCACCGATTCTAATCCCAATGATATTTCAAGCGCCCTCGATCTCTCAATTTCTGCACTCGTCTTCTCCCGATTGCTGAGCCCCAATGATCTCTTGAAGCGTCAAGAAAGAACCTTTATTCTAGCTACGCACGCCGATACTAAGACTCCACTCTTTAGTCAGCTCACATTACAACCCTGATATGTTTTCCTAGTCGAATAGCTCAGTGATGCAGACCAAGTCCTTGTACTCGATTCTTCTGGAAACTTTTCGATTCTTCGCATATCGATGATGACGACATTGCTGCTGTGCGAACAATGGCGTTAACTTCGCAAACTCGAGATAGAGATAGATCAATTTGGAGAAAGTCGTGCTGGGCCTTTATAATGAGAGTGACTTTGCCGAGGAGAGAGTCGACATCATATTAGCGACTGACGAAACTCTCTCCAGACTACTTTCTAGAACAGCTTAACCATATCTCTCACTCGCAACTGCAATATCCACTATCCACTATTACATATCACCTCGCAAATTCTCCTCATCTCGAACAAGCTCTGCGCTCAAAGCCAACTAAAAATAACCCGATGAATATATTCCTACTTATTCCCCCGCTCATCCGCGTCTTTTGCATATTCTCAAGTCCTCAACTCTGTGTTAATTTGAAAATGGCAGATTTACACCTTTCCAAGACGACAAAAATATGCACAAAGTATCTCTCAATGCCGCCCTGACAGCCACTCTACTCTTTCTTTCTCTCAGCATCACGCTGCTTAACAGATGATAGATCTAGTCAAGACATAACACTCTCTGCATACAACCCACCACAATGCGCTTTCAAGGTAATCATCAGCCTCTCAATCATCATCATCGTCATCATCATCATTTATTCAACACGTGTATCTCATATCTAATCACATCACTTGGTATTCGCTATCCAATCCTTTTCAGGATCCTCCAGATCTTACAACGCTACATATATACTACCTCCACACATCCCTAAAACAGAATCCTAACCCCGAATACCACCTCGCCTCTATGTGCCGGAATTAGCGAGACACCTGCTCGCGTTAAGCACATCCGCGTCTATGTTTGCAAGACCCGCTGCTTTCGCAGATTTGTGTGATACTGGAGCAATTCAAAAACGGTTCTACTACAGACATGCATGTATCCAGTCCAGCATGGTTTGTGGTTATCTTGAACACGATTACTACTGCGAACGTTAGTGGGTTGGTTAGTATCGCTGTGCTCGTCTTTGATACCTCGTCGCGAGACGGATTGGGTTTGGTTTTGATGGCTGTGATGTATCTATCTAGAAGCCGATCCGATCTGAAGTATCTTATCACAAAGTGTAGTACTCTAAGACTTGATTAAAAGCTATGGCTTATCTGTAGTCGTCATGAAAGATCCATCTACTAAAAATAATAAAGAAAATACCATAGAGTAAACTCAATCTCAAGCCATGGTAGTGTTAAATTCAAAAATATTTCCTCTCCATAGATCCTAGTCTAGATACTAAACGCGTGATAAATGATATTTCTTTGCAGATCAAATCCACAGAGTTGGTTGCAGGTGTAGGATGTACGTACGGGGAGCGGAAAGAGTACATGGTATCATTCTAACGCTCCTCAGACCTCAACATTTACACTATATAGGTATCATTACCAATACCACTACCATTACCAATCTCAACATCAATACCCCAATAACCCTCCCAAAGATTCCCAGTATTATCAAGTACCAGGCACCTAATTGTAATAATTCCCAAGTCTATTCAGATTCCAGAAAGCTGAAGTTTATTATACATACATATTATACATATCATATATATCATATAGAGAGACAGCGATGAAAACACGGAAAACAAAAATTCCCATTCCCAACGCACAACACACACTCCGAAATATCAACAAACAGATTAAAACTACTCACTTACCCCTCTCACGCATACCAAATCCCATGCCCATGCCCAAGCCTATAAACTATCCTCACTATTCTCCGAGTCCAATAATCACTACATATCAAAAGACCTCAATACACTCCCTCCTCCCCCCAAGAAAATACCACGTGTCAACTTCTTCAAGCTGCAAAATATCAATGTCGACGATCTTGTGCAGAAGAAGCAAAACCACATCACTGTCAACAATGCGACAGCTAACCAGTACCTTGAATCTTAGAAGAGATCCAGGGGATAAATCTACTTGCAAATTATTCTTATAGGTGCTGGTACATCGGAGACAGCGCTGAGCAGCGTGAGGTTGTAAAGGTGGTCTGCCTCACAGGTAAGGGTATTTATAGGATGAATTTTTAAACTCAGAAGACGGGGATGAAAATCTCTGCATAAGAGAAATTTAACACAGAAAAACGTTAGGTGTCTCTACCAACAGAGAGGATAGAGTCCATGAATGAATGACGACCTCCCCCTCGGTATTCTCACTCAGGAAGTACAAGTATTCTTTTCATCGCTGTGGCTTTAGATATGTGAAAGCGTCCTCGGTTATATTCCATTCTTTGCATTCTCTTCCCCCATTCACATATTTCGTATTTGGGTTCTCTCGTCTATTCGTACACATTGTTCCAATTCTCTCTCTTGACTCTATACTTTATAATGCTACACAATTTCCCTCTTAGACCTTATTTCTTCCTCTCTCCTCTCCATCGACTTTAACTTTTCGGTCCTATCCCTCAAGCGGACAAAGTGACTACTGCATGGATATCACCAGAAAGCAGAGGCCGACACAGTGAGAAGAAAGGAGAAATGATGCAAGATAATGTCTTTAGTTGGAAATAATTGACTTTTCGATAAACCAAGACTGCATGGCATCTCTCTCCGCCCTGTACCAAAGACCTCGAACTCATGAATTCAAAGCAGAGTGTCCAATAGTCCAAGAAGTGAGAATAGATGGAGCTTTCACTGCCGGAAGAACCGATCCATATTCGAATTGATATTTAAAATTGATACCTCAAATCGATTGAATATCCTAATCTGATCGAGCAACTGAAGGCGTCCGAATGTCGGGCTGCAGTCCGATCTATCGGAAATGCTGATTTCAAAGTACGTTTGGATTGTAGTATTAGACAATCCCATCTTACTCTTTGGTCTTAACTGCTTATTTTCCACATAATACACCATCGACTTCCATCCAAGTCTCATATCGAGAATTGACATCGTTACAACGACCGAAAACCTCATCCCAGAAATGTAGAAAATATACCATGTCGTCGCACAACCAATAATATCATTTCTCCCAGCGCGCCACAGCAAAAACAAAGAGGAGGTGGCTTGCCTACCTTTCAAGCGCTCTACACCACCCAGCGTTACATCGAAGCAACCTGTCAAAACCACCGATAGCCATACGTTCCGCATCCTTCATCGTTCAACGTTCTGACCGCTGTGGCAACAGCACGATAGATTATCCGCTCGGAGATTTGATTCGCTCGTGGGCGAGGAAAACAGATAGATCGAGATTCCCTGTTCTTTTCAAAGGATCTTGTAATCCGTGCCTGACAAAGCGTTTTGTTTTCGTGGACTGGCGGAATACTACCATTGAATCGACAGGCTGAGACAGCTGAGACAGGGCGGGTATTTCGAAACGCTAAAACGCTAAAACGACAAGATACTACATGTATACGGTGAATTTGCATGCATGCACGCACGTGAAATGCACCGATGCATCAATGCTCTGCCATTCTTCTGGGCACGAAAGATTTCCGCGACGTAGTATTCCTGCCTTGCAAGCATCACATGAGAACGGACGGGATCCGAATCTCACATTGAGATTGAAAATCCTCGGTCAGAATGAGGAACCTTGCTTCCATAATTCCTAGTAAAATACTGTACTACAGTAAGAATGACATTTCAGTGAGTGATTATCAGCGTAAAGATAAGATAAGTGTAAGATTGAGAGCAGCATAGCAATTTTCAATATAATAAGCCAACGAAAACATGATGGTACTTTATTTCTTACTACGATGTATGCAGACCTACCCAAACATATTATAAGTCCGAATCCGAGTCTGAGTCCGAGGTAACGGTAATTTCGGAAGGTTTGTTCTTGATCTCCAATGGAAAACTTCGACATAAAACTGCCTCCGCTTTTGAATAGCTTGGCAACATTATCTCGGCCAGATAAATGGGATATTATTTTATTCCATAATAACCTTCCGTCGTACCTGAGAAGCTGCCTCATTTCGTTTCTTTTGAGTTGATTTGTAAAGAACATGTCGCACCAAAAAAAGCTACTTTGATGTAATAGCAGTGACTTGAAAATTCTGTCTCGTATGGACCTTGGAACGATGACTGTTCACGTCAGATTGATCGTATATTGAAGGGTTTTGTTAGCCGGGTGTATTTGACAGACTTGAGGCATTCAAGATTTTCTGGCCCTAGAATTAGGTGATGAGATAGATATACAGCTGCAAATTTAAAGACTGGCACATGAATTGGCACCTAATTAAGATGTAAAGCCTAGTATGAAACTAATAGGAAAGACCTTTGTTGTTTTGTTTCTTGTTACCTATTTTGTCAACCATGGTTTCGATATCTTATATTGAATTTTCGAGCCTCAGAGGTGCATGTAAAGCGACAGCAACATTGGGTTAGCTCAAAAGATAAAAATCCCATAACTGTTGACACCAAAATTGTGGCAGCCCTAGACGAGCATTCAGTGACTGACTGTCAGTCAGATCGACATATCTATCCACAATAATCCATGTGTATCCGTAGAAATAAATAGGAGAACGATACATGGTGGGAGCGTGGATAGACAGCAGTCCTCCTGGGTTGCCGAAGAGATAATTCCACTTTTTCTCTCGAAAGCTTGTCTATAGTGGCTTGAGTCGAACCTTGACTTGGCGATAGCTTCGGAACGCGTCAAATATATGGAGAAAAAAGGTTCTAGAGTAGAGATACGCATGCTTCTAATAAGCTCTGATCTCCTCCTCAGAGTCCTCACTCAAAGTCCCTTCTCCTGAACCATGGGTATTATGGAGCCTCCCTCTTTTATGAACCGATCATTTCGAGCTGGCTGCATTAAACACAGTCTCGTACTGAGATATCATTCTTTTTTTGGAAGATTGTTGTCGTGGAGCCTGTGGGGACCATTCGATTGCTTCTGCTGAGACGAGCGAGACATTAGTTTTACAGCCGACTCTGTATACATATCTTTTGCATCGTTCTTGTACGATTGGATAGGTATCAAGATACAACACTGAATTGTGCATGGTGCAGAAATTTGACCAACAATCCCAACAATCCAGGACATCCGAAGTTTCCGCTCTTCTATGATGGTCGATAGAAAATGCGCGTGTCAAGCCAATGCGGACTTCGTTATCAACGAAAATACCGGCTTTCCATAGTAGATGATAGAACCCTGTTGTGATGCATTCATTATACCTGCATGCTCAGGTTGACCAGGATTTCGATGGTTTTTGTTTACTGTGCTCTACCTATATTAGTATCCTCGTACAGTAGCTCTCTCATCGCACAGACAATCATCTCATCATCAATGCCCCCCCCCTAATAACATCAACACATAAATTACTGACCCAGAGATTCCAACTTTGGATAAATTGCTGTGAGCCTGTGAGCCTTGTAGGGCCTGAGACAAATGCTGTCATTGTTGCAAGGTAGGAAGAAATATCGAGAGATTGAGAGTGAATTTTGAAGGATTTCTGAACACTGGTACGACAAGTCATTATATATTCGGATGTCAACGCGAGATTTCGTGGTCAGTCTGTTGTTAATAAGATATAGTATGTGAGTGGTGGAGGGGAGCCAACGCATAATAGACGGTTTGATCCAGCGGCCTTCAAAAGGAAGGATTTGACAAGGAACGTGAACGTGTGCGAGCAGGTAGACGGGCCAGATATTGTAGGTATTGAAGATTATTTTTGTGACATCAACTATTGATTATCGTGGGGTGTTGTTCAGTTAAATCTTGGGAGAATGAATACCTAGGTCCTCTCTCGTCCTATAGGGTAGGGTAGGGTAGGGTAGGGTACGGTACGGTACGTATTCCGTATTCCGTATGCGAATCGCTGTTGGACATCGTGAATGGGATTATGAATTTATGAGAGACCAACTCTCTGAGAGGATTTTGGCTATTGCTACTCGACGTAGTAGTTGAGTGCCCCCCCTGCAATCGCAATTTGGTATTTATTTGCACAGCCTTTCGGACGTGGAGCTTCTTCCCCTACCTAGGTAATAAAGTCTGTCAATTGTCATCTCGTCCAGCCTCCAGAAGATGTATGCTTGCATGCTTGTATGCTTTACTCTCAGCCTATAGAGTATCTCCCCCTGATATTGCGCCTCTTCAAAACTCAAGCACAGCCTAAGTTTCGAATTAGGGGCTCTACTGCATTTGTTATGGGCGCTTACACGATGATCTATGTAGCTTCTACCGACCTTACTGTACTGTATACAAAGGTAGGTGCTTTGAGTTTGGGAGAGACAACTTTGAGATACACCTAGTATTGGGTAGGGTAGGCTCGGCAGGTACCTGAGGTTTGTGTGATATAAGGTTCCAGTTCCAGTTCCAGTTCCAGTTCTAGAAGGGCTCACTCATACTTCCAACGGATTTTGTTCCATTTCGTCTAACAACAGTCGGCTCTCCAACTAGTCGGCCACTTGAAGAGCCGACGATTAGCTTTAGCTTTAGCTTTGTTACCCATCTTCGCGGTTGGAGGAGATAAACTAATGTATACTACTAGGTGCGTACCTAGATAGATAATCATCATAAAGTCGGGTTGAAGTGCCGGCTATATCCATAGTTTGCGGGTAGCTCTGGACCGGACAAGATGGTAGGAGGAAGGGCTTGAGGGATACCTAATAGAGTCAAGTAGAGTCAAGTAGAGTCAAGTAGAGCAAGTTCTGGTGGTTTCTTGCAATCCGGTTCCCGTACCTAGTTGATATCTAAAGGGAAATCCTCAATTACTTTGGTAGATATCAATGATTATCAATGCAAATCTCAAATAGATCGATTGATCCTTGGGTTCGTATTCAGTCGTTCCTTCCTTTTTCAATAGCACGAGAGCATAGCAACTACCTTCAGCACTAGAAGCTTGATACTTATTAGATAGGTACCTACCTAGCTTCTCAGGGTCTTTCTCTTCGCATCCGTCCAAAATGGGCAACTTCCTGGAAGAAGGGTAGCGGCGGGAAGGATCCTGTTGTATCGACTTCTCAGGTGGTATTGATTGTAAGATTAACATACCTGGTACTGGCAGGTACCTATGAGTGTCTCGAGCACTTCTCGAGGTGTATATGGTGTATATATATATATATATATATGTATATATGCAGTGGATAGGTCATCCACCATCTCCTATTGACCGTTGCCACCATCACCACCGTCTCATCGGCCCTCTTCACTGAGACATGCGTAACTTTGATATTAAACTTTGAGATAACTCCGGTACAGGATACGAGATAATTTGCTTCCTCTGTAAATGTTGAAGCATGAGAACTCCTTTTTATTAGAATTCCTCATTTGATATTATATGATCAAAGTACATGGTCGATCGATTTGATATTGTCCCGGGTACCTGACTGTATAATGCACTGTATAGATACTACCCTACCTAGATAACCCTTCAATATTGCGATAAAAGGTATAATTACAGCTTATTAGAACTCAGAACTTCAAACTTCAAACTTGCTTTTGATTTTCTAGCCTTTCTAGCTTTTCTTACCGCGTACCTTCCTCCCTCCCTCTCTCCCTCCCCAGTAGTTAAACTGCAGTGATCAATAAATTGCTTTGATAGAAGTTCATCAGCCACCTGGACAATACGGAGAACCATATCTCCATGGCGTTGTGAAAATAAACAGCCTTCCATCTACCTCTCACACAACTTCATCCACCACACGTCTTGGCATCAGCACATTCATCTTTTTTTCTTCTTCTTATCAAGGGAGAGAAACAGACCCAAAGCATAGAGAAAGAGAACAACAATCCAGCAGGAACGAAGGTCCTTCTTCAAGGTTTCAGCAAGGGAAGGGAAAGGGAAAAAAAAAACATCCACACAAGAGGGGAAAAAATAAATACGCAAACCAAACGAAATTCAACCGCATTCGTTCAAGCCATTCTCCTCCGTCAGCGCAATCAAAAACGGCGTCGGAAACTTTCCATTTCATCTATTTAATTTTTAATCCTTGGATTTTCCTTCATTCTTGTCAACAGCCTCTCTCAGTGTCTCTCTCTCCCATTTTCTGTTTCTGTCTAACTCTCTGTTCTATCTCTCTCCGTCTACCTCACTCTTCCTTCGACGGTTCGACCGGTGCTTTCTCCATCAGAGACAGATAGACTCTCGCAGTACATATATCCATTGTGCGTGCCTCTCTCGTTTTTTAATGCTCCATGATCCACGTACGTATTCCAAGGATTATTCGGTCAAGCCTTCAAGGAAGTCAAGGAACCCATTGAACGCATCCACCCAAAATACCTACGTTCCGTAAGCTGTTGACCAATCCGACGCGTTTCTTATATACGTAGCACATGAAGTTTATTATTAAAGTTAGATCTCTAATTCACATTGATTACTCTCCGCAGATAGATCACAAACAACGCCAACGCCTTTTCTGCTACGCCCTGTTTTCTGTTTGATTCCTCGCAAATTCGAAGAAAAAGTTCAAACCCCATCTGGATTCGGATTCCTGAACAATCCACATCTGCATCCACCATAATCAATAAAATCCACACTCTTTTCTTCCTGCGGTTTTAGCAGACAGGTCCAATTATATTCACGGTCGTGAATGCCACCACCCAATCCAGGTCCATCGAAAAAGACTCGTCCCGCAACCTAAAGAAAGACAAAGGGTCTCTTCAGGCCTTCACGCTCGTTTTACCAACAATACTAGGACGATCAGGACTAGAAGTTCCTCACATCCCTACCCAGGCCGCCTCAGTTTTTGGCACCAAGACAGGGGAAATACAATAATACAGCTGCAAAAAGCAAATCCAATTTTACGATTAGTTTTGGCTACCCAGTTTGACTCGGTACATCAAATTGAACGAGGGACGGCAGAGTGAGCTGCTTAATCTCAAACTTGGTCAAATACTAGACCAGCATTGGCCAAGACTCAAGATGGCACCCACTCCTCCCCGATTAAGAATTCTATCAGGTTTGTCTAATGCAAATGTCCTTTATTTCCCACTCCACTTTTATATCACGCTAGCTGAGCACCCATCTCCCGCCGATATCTTCATTTTTCTTATGTTGTTGTGGTTCACCGTGTGCGATTTCGTAGATTTGTTCATATCGTTGTCGTCGTCAAAATGGGAGGCAATGAACTAATCAGTGTGTGTACAGTTGGTGGAAATGCTGTCTCTGCTTTCCTGTCATGGAGGCTTCAAGCTACCAACGCTTGCGATGTGACATTGGTGTGGAAATCTGGGTTTGACGCTGTACACCAATACGGGATATCGTTCAAGTATGTGCAGACGTCAAATGTATCTGCAGCAATCAACTGACCCTTCCACAGATCTACATCTTTTGGCAACGAACGATTTAAACCACGACATGGTATGATTCCTATTGTCGAATTCCAGCTAAGAAAAACAAGCGAATACTGATGTATGATGTCTAGTCGTCCGCACTCCGGAAGAAGCTGCAAGTAACAAAGAGGGCCCCTTCGATTACGTCCTGCTTTGCGTAAAAGCCCTACCAGATGTATACGATCTCGCGGCAGTGATCGAGTCGGTCGTCACACCACAACATACATGTATATTAGTCAACACCACAAACACACTCGGTGTCGAGGCCCATCTAGAATCAAGGTTTCCAAGCAATGTCGTGTTATCACTCGTCTCGGGTGCTGAAATAGCGCAGTTGGGAGCAAGCGAATTTGAACACAAAGGTTCTACCGAGATATGGGTTGGACCGGCGACAAAGAACCCTTCGATGCCTAGCACTATACAAGGTGATATGGCTGAGGCATTGGCGATGACTTTGAGTGGTGGGCAAGTTGAGTGTCATGTTTCCCCAAACATAATGCAACAGCAGTTTGAGAGGATGATTGGGTAAACCGTCATTGAAGTTTCTTCCAGGTCGAATCGCTTGCTAATCCTTATTTCCAGACCCATAGCATTTCATCCACTGAGTGTAATCTTCGAAACACCATCGCACGCTGCGTTACTGGAGAAAGTTGGCGTAAAGTCAATGATATCTGAATTATTTGACGAATTGGTCAACCTTGCCCAAGCACAACATTGTGAATTTCCCGCAAACTTCAAAGAAAAGATCATGGAGGATATGACAAAGCCTTCCGAGACCAATAGCATCATGTACCAGGACTATGCCGCCAAGCGACCGATGGAGGTTGAGACTTATCTTGGGTCCCCTATAAAACTTGCTCAGCTAGTTGGCGTTCAGGTGCCTCGCATAGAGACTCTTTATCCGATCCTCCACAACCTCAACATTGTCAATCAGCAAAGGAAAGAGACAAACCTCGCACCAATACCGTCTCCTATGGCTCCTCCTATGAGAATGTCATCTGCACCTCCTCCTAGACCTATGATGAATGGAGGACCACCCGGGAGAGGTAGAGGGCGTGGATCGTCTATGGGTCCTCCACCAGGTATGCGGCGCGGACCAGGTGGCCCACCAAACGGTTTTGGCCGGCCTCCACCAAACGGAGCTCCCCAATCGCGAAACCAGTCGAGGCGGGGGTCTTTAGAAGGTAATGATCTCGAAGAGTTTAGTCACTTGGTTTTGTATGATGATATTCCCGAAGGTGGAGAAGCACCCTATCCTGCTGCAGCTGGCGGCGGTGGCGGCGGTGGTGGTGGTGAGATTGCCCTGAGAGAGCGAGAATTAATGCTCAGACAACGTGAACTTGCTCTTCGGGAGCAAGAGATGCGCATGCGTCAAGGTGCTGGTGCCCCTCCTAAATCTCGTCGAGGCCCATCTACACCTTCAGTGCGAAACGGGGGCGGCTTCGACGACGATGATGACGACGATGACTACTATGTTGATCCTGCAGATGCTCCACCTGTTCCACTGATCGATCCCGACAACTTTGATATGATGAGCGTTACATCACGTCGAAACCGTGCAAAGCCGGGGCCTACCAAACAACAAATGCGTGCTAATCCAGAATTCGATAGCGGCCCTCCTCCTCCCCGTCGAGGCGGTGGATTTATGCGTGGCAATATCCCTCGAAATCGATCTAGCGCCAGAATAATAAGTCAAGTTCCCGGTTTACACGACAATTTAATGGATGATCCCTTGATGGGGTATTCATCTGATCGGTATGGTACTGTGGATAGACGAGCAATGGGTATGGATTCGAGGGCGAGTTCTTTGACAGCCGCTCGGCTAGACGAGTTACAGTACGGGTCATCCGGTCCACCAATTCATGGGCAAGGTGGTCCATATCCAACTGCGAGAAGAGCAAGTCAATCACCAGGAAATCCGTATAGTCCACAAGCACAGAGAGCAAATGGAAGACCTTCGCCACCGAATGGGTATATGGCGGGGTCTATGAATGGCAGACCGTCGCCTCCAGGGGGTATGAGACAGCCTGCACCTCGGCACCCGCCGGGACAGGGGAACATGGTTGCACCGCAACAGGTTGAGCAATATGCTGGGGTGAGCGCCCTCCATCCACCAAAAGGTCCTATGAATGTGCGAAGTCTGACCGGCAGTGCTAGCGCTAGCGCAGGTAGTGGTGACAGCGGCGCAAGCGCCAACCTCGACTCAGAGCCATCTGCAAACAGCAGTCAAAGTAGTCTCGGGCCGCGTCCCCCCATGGGGGTGAGGTAGGTTCAAAGACACAGCTAAACGTTTCTCGATGTTTGTCACATTCGTCTCTTGGTGATAATGGTACGCATTCGATTTACTTTATTCGGCGACGAATTTTCTCTGATCGATGGCCTTTGCCTCCTTCATCTGCATATACACCTTATCCTTTTCTTCGAACTTCGCTTTAATGGCTTCGACCACTTCCATACGTCTTGAAAATTCGGGGACGCCTCTCCCGTGGGGGAAATAATGATGAAATACACAATTAGATTTTGGTGGGGTTTGAATGAGGAAGCATTGTCGTTTTTTTTACGTCTTCCAGTTGAGGAGGGACGGGTACATACACATGTGCATGGCGAGATGCATCGCGCACAAGTTTTGTTTTTATTTTCTGGTAATATTGCATTTGGGGTGGCGTCTTGATGTCTGCATATAATTTCTATACTCCATTTTTCCACAGTTGCTCTGGGACAGCTCATGCGAGTGAGTGACTGAACAGTATTTTATCTCGTCTATCCTTCTTCATAAGTGGACTTTTTATTGGTGGGAGCAACGGATGGGGATCTTTGGTATATGTCAGACAGAGGATTTTCCTTTCTTGTTTCACTACTTCACTTACCGGCTAGCTGTGGTGGGAGGAACTCTACTTGGCGCCATGTGTCAGACAAATTCTAAAATGGTGAAATTGACGAGGAAGTAGGAAAAGTTCGAATCTCACCGGCAAGGTTGAGATGGAATGGAGAATGGGAAGCAGAGATGATGGTTATGGGATATCTATTTTCTTGGTTGATTGCTAGACCGAAGGGCTGGGATGGAATAGGATGGGTTTGACGGTGTTGTATAGACAAATGGATGTACGGGCGGATAGGTAGGCTTGGGTGGATTTTCATCATGGTGTGTTGATGGCCTGAGGGGATAAGAGGCGCGCTATTGGGAAGGAATGAAGTTACAGTCTAGATAGGGAGGGAAGGTGGATGATGAAAAATGGGCATGAGTGGTCTGGAAGAGCAGAGTCAGTGTGTAGGCAGTCAATCATTTCTGAGAAGTAAATACGAGAGATAATTTGGAAATTTTGTTAGGGTTTTGGCTTTCTATGATGTGATGTGTAATGTGTTATGTGAGATGTTTGAAAAGTTAGGGCAATCTGTCACTTTCGTTCTTCGCAAATGCGAATGCAAGTCCAAGGTTTATAGTAGGTGCCTAGGTAAACACTGTTCAGCATAATAGTCTGTTCCATATTCAAATGAAGAGTCCTAGTAAGTTTCCTGACCAACTAGTCATTGTATTGACATAGCAGTGGTGAGTGAATCAGCAAGGTTTATTTCCTGGCTATATATACTGGATGTATTCGGGAGGTAGTATAGTCCTCTCTGGCTTGATCAAGTATTTGGTGGTGGTAGTGATAGTGGTAATGGTAGGTTGGAGAGGGAGGGGGGGAGAAATTCCCATTGATACCTGTAGATGGATTTATATACTTGGGCGAGAATTTTCTGGGGAATGAAATCTTGAGGGGGATATGGTTGTTTGGTTTGAGGAGGGGAGGGAGGGAATTAGTTGGGGTGAGGAGTGGGGGCTGGGGTTGTGGATACTGGTTGGGTGTAGATGATGGGGAAGATGGAGATCAAGGTGATAGAGGAGGAGGAGAAGGAGGAGGGTTGAAGAGCAGGAGGAGGATGAGGATGAGAAGGATGAGGATGAGGGTTGAAGAGCAGGAGAGGAGTAGATACTGTAAGTAGTTCCTATCCCTTAGGGAGGGTATCAAGATGCACGATGTGCATGAACATCGTGGGACTTGGGTGGGTAGGATGGGTGGAGATATGGTTTCTGTATCTATTTTCGTTTCTGTGGTGTTTTCTTTTCGCTTGTTGGGTGGAGGGGTGAGTGAGTATAGTTATGGTCAGATTCATAGTAGATAAATGAGGATGGAGAATGAAAAATTGAAGATGGAAGGTGGAAGATGAAGATTAATCGGGTTTGTTGCGAAAACAAGGCTTCTATAGTGTGTTATTGAAGAAAGGGATGGATGGATGGATGAATAGTGATGTTGTAAGTACTTACTTACTTACTTACTTGATGAGAAGGATGAGAGAACAATATATATCTCGAATCGAGCGAGTATCAATTTCCAATTTGAATTTCCAATTTCATATTTCTGGGTATGTATTGGGATTTTGACTTTTGAATTGTGAATTTTGTGTTTGAAAGGAGATTTGTGGGATCGGTAGGGGATGAGGAGGTGAGGTGATGGGGTATTGAGTGAGGCTTACTTTGTATTACAATAGCAAAATAGCAAAACAGCAATGTACACACTAATATCATTTCTATCAGCCCGGTGGGCTATTTAATGGGTGGTGTGTTCTTGCTAGGCGAGAAGGTGATGGATAGGTATATTGGAGGGTTGGCGTTGTATTATGTTCTGTTATGCTATATTGATACATTGTGAGCTACGGGGAAGAAAGGGACTGTATTTGACAGAGACGTAAATCTATATAGTGGTTGTGAAATATGAGGATCTTTTTATCTGGGGGTTTGTAGTATGTACCTACCTACCTACGCCAATTGATCAAGTTCTCTTGAATAGGATAGAATGGCGAGGAATTTTTGTAGGAGGGAAAATATGATGGTGGTGTAGTGTATTCTTGTGAGTATCGTTTGTAATGAATGGTTTGAGTCTACATGTACATACATAATGAAGGATTTTCAAATCTCTCTATTCATGGTTTCCATCCCAAGTAAGCGACGGTGACGATGCGGTAATGATAGGAGATTGGTATTTAACCTAGGTATTCAACGCCGTACACTCCAGAAAAGAAGTGAATCGCGAGATGAAGCAAAGTGAAGAGAACCCGGGATTGTATCAAGCTATTTTGTTGTTTGCTATTCGCTGTTTGTATCATGATCATAGAGGATATTGGGATTTGGAAAACATTAGGCATTGGGCATGGGAGCCCGAAAACTGCGTGAGGTCTAAAAGTGTGGTTTAGATGTTGAGTTCATTGTAATTGAGGGAAGTTATGTGTGGAAGTGGTTTATGAAAGATGTGTAGACAATGGGGGCAGGTATGTGTGTAAAGTAAATATACATATCTACAAAATTGAAAGATTGAACAACAAACGAAAGCAAACGGATAAAAGTGGTGAAGCGAGGAAAATGTCTTTCATCTTGAAATTTTGACTAGAAAGAAGCAAGCTGGGCTCTAGAGATCTACTAGTGTGTACCAATGACAATTGTAAGAAACCAATGGAGAATAGAGAAGATAGAAGTGAGACGTTTGTCTCAATTTCCACCCAATCTTCTATAGCATTCACTTTCATACCTTCTCATCGAGTGAGTGCTCTGATAAGATGTGAAGGAAATACAGAGGTAAATGTATCATTGTATGTTTAAAGTTATCAAAAACTAAACTGCTGCTCACAATCATGCGGGCTGCCTAAATCAATCAGATCCAACCTCTGCTGGCAAAAAGCGGAACCTCAAACACTGTTTGCTTAAAGTTCCGAGTCCGGCGAATCCATATCAACTGCATCTCTTGACCGCAATGATCTTCTCGGCGTGTTCCGCTTATTCCGGTCGGCCATGAAACTCGTCCAGACCACTTCCCATAGTTTCTTAAAGTCAATCAGTAATCTCTTCTGGTCTTCTTTCGAGAGTTCCATTCTCCGAAACCCATTCACGTGATTGCCCAATCGTTGAACTAGATCCGCCGCCCAATCATTGACTGCTTCCAGACCTTCCATATTCAATTCAAATCCCATTGAAGATACCAAAACTTCCCTTGCTAGACATTCTACGCGACCTTTCCAATCCACAATCTCATTAGCGATCGCTTCCAAACGACTATTGTCAACTCTCCTTGTGACATAGTTAATCATCAAGCTCTTGAGCCGGTTTCTTAGAAGATAAGATTGCTCTACCAACATTAGGAGATCGTGTGGCGGTTCCGGAAAAATTGCGGTGTTGTGAAAGTATGATGTGAAGCCATACTTGTGACCTTTGCACTGAAGACAATGAGGAGCTACTGTAGATTGAGATGGAGGCAAGACACAGGAAACTGATGGAGGTTGAACTGAAGTTGATGAGCCATTGATATGCTGTGTCCCGGACATTGGAGGAGTTGAAGCAATTGTTGATGTTCCATCTGGCTCGTATAATGAATTTGCCGGAGAATAGAAAGAAGTAATCTCGACTTGAGAAATTCGTGTTCCTCCAAGTCCTTTGGAACTAAGATGATGATGACAAGAATCGTAGGATTTCGTCAGAGCAGAACGTTCATGTTCATGTCTATTATGAGGAGGTGACGGAGGAAACTTGAGAGATCCGAGACTTGAAGCTGTGACGTGGTCGGACAGTGGAATGCTCATGGTAAGAGCGTATACGTAGCGACAGGAATCAAGTCAAAGAGCACTTTTGGGAACAAGTTACTCGTATTGGAAGATCGAAATATCGTAGTAATCTGTGAACAATGATTGGAATTGTAAGATGTCGGGGAGAAGGAAGGAAGGAAGGAAGGGAGGAAGGAAAGAGATTTTGAAATTTAGAGAAATGATTCCTGTTTTAAATGTCTTGTAATTCTGTGAATTTTAATCAACGTATGGAAAGAAAATAAGTCAATAAAGGGTAGGTATGGGAAAATGAAGGTGCAAGTTTGGAAAGAATGAGAATGAGAAGGAGTGAAGTGAAGAGTGAAGAGTGAAGTGACATGAAAGCAAAGAAGAAGAAGAAGAAAAAAACTTGCTACTGATCTTCTTTTTGGCGAATTGAAACCTACTTCAGCTTCATGAATGGTGAAGGAGGTAAAGAAGTTGATGAAGTTATTCTTTCAGAACAACATTATGACATTTGCTATATACTCTTTCAATAGAGTGTGTTATACATGTTTATGTTTATGTTTATGTTCATAAGAATAGGAATTGGAGTTTTACAACAAGCTCTTTTATTTCGATCATCTAGTCAATGATATTGGTGTCGCGTGGTGTCGTGTTTCGTGTGAGGAATCTTCGTCGTGATTCGGATTGGGAAGGCGGTATGTCAAAATACACGGCAGAATTAAATTACCTTTTCTGATCTCGAGACCTCGATCAATATATCCCTTCGTCGCGTGGAGGAATTGATGTCAAAAATGGCGCCCAAAATGCCTTTGAGGCCTGCTGCTACAAATAAACGCAAGGAACCCCCATATTCATCGTCCAACGGTAGGAATGATGCGGGGAGAGGGCCAGCCATGAAGCGCAATAAGATAATGGATGCGCGATCGATAATGACCCAAACGGCCGACGCTGCTCTCAAAAATGGAGATCTAGATTTGCAATCGTTTCTGACTGCGCGAGAATATGAAATAAAGGCATTGGAAGATGGCATGAAAAGGTCAAAGGGTGCCTTGTCTACCAGAGCATTTCAACAAGTGCCTCGGGATATGAGAAGGAGAACAGCAAGTCATAATGTGAAGAGAGTACCAAAACGTTTGCAAAAGAGAGGGGCAAGAGAAATGAAAGAGGACAACACACCGACTGTCAACGCAAACAAGAGAAAGCCGGGAAGTTCAAGAGGTCGCATTCGTGCGGAAACGGCCAAGAAGTTGGGGATTTTGGCAGACAAGAAGAGAGCCTCGAAGGGCGCAACTAATGTGGCAGGAATTATAACTAGAGCTGCAAGACCGAAGATACGGCAGAATGCTTTGAACGAGCCTCAAAAACCGCCGTCGAAGTTTCGAAAGCGACAAATTCACAAAACTTGGTTACCTACCCATTTATGGCATGCGAAGAGGGCGAAAATGACAGAACCCAAGGAGCCACTTTGGAGAATGGCTATACCTTTCAATTCAACAGAAAAATCATACAGACCGACACATAGAGCAGGAGGAAGTAGAGGGGCTGTAGCTTGGGATATGAGTTACATGAGTACTATCGGTCTCAAAGGTTCAATTGAGTCTATCGGAAAGGTTCTTTTGGCCATGGGCATACCAGGGATGGATGTAAATTCAGCAAAGGGCGCAAAATGGAGAGCGGGGAAAAGAAGCTGGAATGGGTGGCTTAGCAGAGAAGTGAAAGAACAAAAACTACAGATTGGCCCTGCCGTCGTGTTTTGGGATATTCATGAAGACTCAGATAGCAATGCTACCAATGTATCGAAAAAGTCAATGAGACAAGTTTTGATCAGAATTCATCCTTCTGCATTCCTCGAAGCATGGACTGAGCTCCTACGCCTGTCGAAATTGCAACACCCAACCGTCCAACTTGAAGACCTTCGTTTTGAAATAGGAAGTATCGAAATTACAGGTCCTGGTTCAACAGAGGCTTTAATTGGTATACTTCATCCGTACTTCCAGTCCGAAGATGATCAAGAGCCACATGCACAAACATTTACTTCATTAGCTGGTGTTACCAATCCTGCATCTTTACCCGCAAACTCTGTATTGTCATTCTCAATTATGGATCCTAGACTTCGACATCCACCTCGCAAGGTTGAACTTCCAGATCCCGCTGACGAGGAAGCGAATTTTGAATTGGCCGAATTATTATCTTCTTGGCCGGCTGATCAGTCATCTGCTTCATCACACCTCTTTGATCGAGACACACGATACAAAGCTACCCGTCTTCCTTCGCAAAAAGCCATAAATCGCCGCAAAACTTTAGCACCGCCAGGCACCTTTCCTTCCATCTCAGAACGTGATCCTCCTATACCAATCATGCTTCTCGCATCAAGAATGTTAAATTCCTCAGCAGCACAAGGTAGCTGGACTCTTCTTGCTCCATGGAAGTGTATACTACCAATCTGGTATGGTTTGATGCACTTTCCCTTGTCATCTGGCGCCAATCCTCGTTTTGGAGGTCTACAGGAATTGAGGCAATCACACTTTGAGCATGGAGTTCCATGGTTTCCAGCGGACTACCCTGGAACCAATGCTGGGTACGCTTGGGAGGTCGAACAGAGATTAAAAAGAAAACGAGAATGGGACAAGAGACCCAAAGGCAAGAGAGTGGAGTGGAAATCTCTTGACCTTGGTGGTGGAAGGAAAGGAGAGCTTGGATTGGGCTGGGCATGTGACTTTGAGAAAGTGGCCGGGCTGTCTACATCACCTGATAATGAACAGAGTAATGCGAGTAGTGGTGATGCACCAGAAAATACTGCCGAGCCTAAAGACAAAATCATCGAGAATCCTTTCAATCAACTCTCTAGTAGGGCATTTTCTTCTCTACTTTCGTCTCCCACGGCAGACCTTCCAGAATCAACAGAACTTACCACTATCCGCCTCACACTCTTAACTCGTGGCGTCGCTACTCCCAGCGCTCGTATATACCGCCTCCCAGCCAAATCAAGTCTCAGCGAAGATTCTCTAAACTCCACATCTACTACACTCCCCACTCTCCGTCAAGAATGGCTTTCCCTCGTTCCCGCGCGTCTACACAAGAAACCACCACCAAACCCCAAAGCCAAAGACCTCAAAAACATTGGTAAAATACCCTTCAACACACCACTCCCCCAACGTGTCCAACTTCTTGCTAAATCTCTACTGCAAAATCCTCCATTGCAATATCCTAAAGAGAAAAATGATTCGGAGAATCATCCGATGGTTCCTGGGGAGGAAGATCTCGTTGGGTTTGTTACTACTGGGGAATATAATTTGGCGGAGGGGAAAGGTGTCGCGTTTGGGACGGTGTTTGCGAGAGAGATGGTTAAGGAGATCAGGAGTAGGGGGTTGAAGGAGGGATGTTTGTGTGTGGTGAGGAATGCGGGGGAGACGGTGGGGAGATTGGCGAGGTGGGAGAGTGTTTGAGGTTTGAGTTAGGGTAGTGGTATTGTGATGATGAGAGTTGTAGTCTGGATGATGGGAGTATGATACACATGATTGTACTCCCGATACGAATCGTAAGTAATGAATTTAGAGTCGCTTCCGTTGTTGCAGCAAGATTTCAATGACAAAACGTATCTATGAGTCATTGACATTGGTATGGAATTCATAAACTTAATCGTCTACATACTATCTTCACATTGCTTTCTGCATCTCGTTATGTTCTATTATAGATGGACAGATAAAAAGCATGAAATGGCTAAACTTGTCATATCACCAAGCGAGCAAGTGAAACATCATTAAAAAGATAAACGTGTTATTGCACTGTGCGAAAGGAAGTGGATTTATATCATGATTCCTAACGGTCCTATCCTATTCATCTCCGTAACAAATATTACTATTCCCCTCAAAATAGCTCACTACTCTAATCGCAATGATTTTCTCGGGCTAATCAGCCTGATCCATATTAAATACCGGTTATGCGAAAGCCGATGTATCTGGCGAATATAGATGTGCATCGGGATCTGGTTGTGCAAATTGCACTTAATATTAATCTGCCGAAAATGTTTTAGATCCTCAGAGCCAAAGACCGAACATCGAATTTAGGAGATTGAAAATTGTTTGCTCATGAGGGTATCCACAACCGACAACTGACACAATGGCAGTATCTAAACTTCTATGAAATCCCACGCAGTGCCTTCCCCATCTGTCTCCACCAACTCCGTCTCATCATTCCCAATTTTCATTTGTCGAAACTTATCCCCATGTAACATCAACAAGAGATGTCCACCTGCTGGATGAGCTCTCGCACAGAACCATTCATGATTCCGATGGTGCGCAACCTTGCAGTGAAATTTCCCCTTATTATCATGCCCAAAAAATTGTCCAGAAACACAGTTGCGGAAGCCAAACCATCCGTCGCGCTCTATGCATGTCCAATGACATCCTCCAGCTCGGGGGACATTGGGAGAGATTTGGAGAACTCCATCTTTGAGTGTGATTACCCCACCATGATTGCGATCTCGAATCATGAATGTCTTTCCAGCGTGGGGAACTGTGTCGTGGGAGAGATAGCGAGGACGAGAGAGGTAATCTTCAGTCATGATTGTGTGGGTGGGTGTGTTGGAGCCAGCTGTGAAAGAAGTTTCGGCAATGGAAGCGGTGTTATCTTCTTCATAGCCGGTTTCTACCTTGGAGATATTTGCAAGGAGACTGGGGATATCTAGTAAGGTGAGGTTTGGTTGTAATGGTCCTTCGAGTTCAATCCGTAAAACATCTTTCCATGGAGTTTTATCTGGTATATTCTTGGCATCGAGAAACATGTAGACTTTCGCACTAGCCAACTGCACCGCATTTGGAAGCTCGCCAATATGGGCGAGAGACTTTTGGAAAGACTTGATATCGGATTTTTGTGAAGCGGGCCGCGAAAAGTCAGGGATCAATCTTACTGTGAGAGAGCTGATTTCACTTTGTCGGAGAACGATTTCTGTTGAGAATGGAGTACGCAGCTTCCAATCTTTTGGTCCGGAACATCCTATATCAGAGAGATCACCGGATATGATGAGATGTGGAAGTGATTCTCCGCGTTCAAGGCCATACTTTTGAAGTTTCGCGATAAGCTCGTCCACGTGCAGGTTCTCGGAGGGGTTCATGTTGAAGAAAAGAGATGCTAATCGCCTGTCAAGAATTCCCAGCAAATTCAGAAACTTCAACCTTGGCTACTCGAAGTGATGTTGATCTCATAAATCTCAGTTCGTCTACCTAGTATCTGGGCACTCATGAGTGTTTGCTTTTCTCCTTGCACCTTAGCGTTCTGATAGAGATTTGAAGGCTCTGTTTGCCTTGCCACGTGTGGCTGTGCCTTACGCACAATTATGAAGATGGCACTGCATATTTATGCACCTTATCACTCCAATGAACCTGCTCATTAATATTTCTATTCATATTCTATTGGTGAAGTAATTGATCGGCGGTTATTGAACTTGCTGTGATGCCAATCTGTACAGCTCGCTTCGTGATTCGATCAGATTCTGGTCATGTCATCGTCCTTAAAAAGATGTGTGGGTCTAGTAATGCAATACCAAACTGGCTAGCAAAGTCATGTGATTGATGCTTAGCGGCTGATCAATGTGCACCTCAATAATTGCTAAAACGAACCTACATATATTCGTTCCATTGCATTCTTTACTACATCTAGATCAACGACTCCCAAAACCTGTGCCTTTTTTTAATGGCAATGGCATGAAAGTCTCTGTTCTAAATAACTGCTTCTGGCTTCGAAGTTATTCTGCGTGTTCGTTCTACAAGTCCAGTGGATCAATAAGCGTCTTGCTTGCCTCTTGTTTGCTTATATCTCACTACAAGTTTATCATTCTTGAAGCCTCGTGAATGGTATTGTAGTATTATGTTTGAAGGCTCAACGAACTCTCCATGTATCAAAGCATACCTCACGATGGAACTCATAGATATGGGTAGATATAAGTATCAAACAATCACAAGCTACAACTACAGTACTCGGAATCCTACTCGAGCTTTTCCCTGAAGAGACTTCGCTTTTTAAACGAGTAGCCATAAAGTGGAATGATAACCTTTTGTTTCGTTTCTGCGGATTATGGTCGGAATCAGTTGTGATGGTATGAGCAAGAGAGCAGGAGAAACAATAAGCCTTTCTTTTTATCACAAATAAGCTGCCCATGAACTCGTACGGCTTGCAGATTTAGTTAAATCGTAGCAAGACCTATGGCTAAAATGAGCAGCTTCTTTTTGAGAACAAGCATTCACCTGCTCATATATTGCAGTCTATTTTTTTTTGTGAGGGGCAATCGAATAATACTTTGATTTAGTTTAATTTCTTCAGCGTGTCGCCATCTCAATCACTCCCGCAGCCTATGTGCAGTGAGCTAGCTCAACCTCAGGGTACATGCATTGTGATTGGCTGAATATTTATCCAGTATCATGCCAAATGTCAACACGCGCCCGATGCTGGTATCCAGTCGCTGCTCTATTATTCTATTCGTGCTGATATTATCTTCTCGTACTTATTCACCTTTAGAAGATAATTTATTCTGAGGCTGGTTAAAGTACAGGCAAGAGACCTTACAACACTATTTCGTTCAACCCGTATTTTAGGCTGCCGTTTTCGGATCGAAAGATAACTTCAATACATATAACTAGTTCCCCAAATACGCGTTGAGACATTAAACCTCCAGGACACTCAAAATTTATCGTTTCTATGTCGGAACCCTCCAACTCGCGTACTTCCTTCTCGGATCTTCTTATCGAGCTTCGCTTACTTATCTGGAGTCTTGCAATATCTCCTCGAGTTGTAGTAGTCCGATTCAACTATACAAAAAAAACCTGCGTCTCAAAATGACATCCCCTCATTACTCCTCGTTTCGCGCGAAGCTCGAACCGAAGCTCTTCGAAACTATGAAATAGGTTTTGGAACTCGTGACGAAGTCCATTCGACGATTTACTTCTAACTACGAACTCGACACTGTTGACATTGATTGGGAATCCTTCCGAAATTCCTATCCGAGCTAGTATGTGTTTTGCTAAGAATGTTGTCGAATCAAACGAATGCGTTCGCCGGGCTAGACTCTTTTTTTCTTACTAATAATATGATGCGAGATTTTTGTTTATTCAAAGGCCTTGAAGAAGTCACTATCTCAGGATGCAATGGAGCTGTGGTGAAATCTAGAGAAGAAGATTTCGTGGCTAGATTAGGCGAATGGTTCATGGATTACAGAGAATACACTCCTTTCGAAAATGGTCGGTTTTTATCGAGGCTACCGAGGTATCTGGATGCTGGATTCCGGTCGCGATTGTCCGAGGCATTTGTGGTTTCGGCAGTGGAATAATTGGGCTGGACCAAGAGGAATACGGAAGATGGCCTGGACTGGCATGTTTATGGAGGCTTACATAAATCTAGGTCTCTCGGATTGAAAGAGGTGAAGGATGCTGTTCAGAAATCAGTCGAAGTTGTATCATGCTTGCGCATGACGGGTTTTGACCTTGAGTCTCGAATGTTATGTTTTGTCAAACTGTTTATCAACCTGGGTCTTGATAATTAGCAACTCAGATATGGGTAGCAAGGACCTGGCGGAGGTGATATCTGGCTTGCAGGACTTCATAAATGTGAGTAAAAACGATGACTTATAAATACTTTGAGACCAAAATATATATCCACGTGAGAAGCTCCAATCACAGGAATAATGTGTCTTATTTTTAACTTCTGTAACTACCCAGTAGGTAGTTATACTAATCATTTTCTAAGACGATTATCCATTTGAACCAATGATATTACAGCATGCTAGCCACTCCAATGAATTACATGAAACCGGTGAACTTAACAACACGCTGGGAAAACAACTCAAGTAATATTAACAAGCTTGCTTATCGATTCAGTTCTGAAAGGTTTGCTCCCTTTTGCGCTATGAGATGTGGTTGTCTCTGACATGTAACTGGAAGTTGAAATTATGCGATCTCACCGCCTTTTGGCAGAATGTTGGTCCGCGATATCAACGACTCCCCAGATCTTCAAAACCTCCACGCAATTCTCAAACCCATTTCAACCATTTCCTATAATTTATTTCGGTTTCTCCAGTTGACAATATTTCACCATACCCACAATGCCCAAAGAAAAGTCCGTCAATCCCGCACAAGCCCAGCGTAAAGCCGAAAAGGCAAAAGCTATCAAAAAAAGTACGCAATCAACCATCCAACCCATTCTCCAGCATTATTAATGAGCTCGAGCATAACACTAACACGTCTTCAGGCAAGGCATCTCTACAAGTTCAGAAGAATGAACGACTCGCCAAGAAAAATCCACAACGTTTACAATCCCAACTCGACGATCTGAAGAAGATAGAAAGTTCTGGTGGGAAACTTACTAGTCATGAGAAATCACTGGTGGAAGGATTAGAAAAGGAAATCAAAGCTGTGAATAAAGCGCGCGAAGTTTTAGGCGATGCGGCACCTCAGTTTTCGCAGTCGAGGGGTGGGTTTGGGGGAGACAGGGGAGGAAGAGGAGGGTTTGGGGGACGAGGCGGGAGTGGTATTTTGGGCAAACGGAGACGAGATGGGGATATGGAGGAGGAGAGTAGTGGGTCGGATGTGGACGAAGAGGTTAAGAGAATACCCATGCCGAGGGATACGCCACCTCCGTTCCCCAAAGAAGTACTAGATAAATGGTACGCGGCGCGACGGGCGCGGTATCAAGCACAGAATCAAAATCAAAATCAAAACGGCGAGAAGAGTGGAGGTACGAGCACGAATTCTATGCCATTGGGAGGAAAGGATCGCGGGGAATTTGGTAAGAGGGATACGGGAAGTGGTGTGAAAGTACAGCAGGAAGTCAAGACAGTGTATGAAGCGAAGCCGCAAATACGAGATTTGAGGAAGGAAGCTGTGGCTTTTGTTCCTGCGGTTGTGAGGATGAAAATGCAGAAGGGGAAGGGAGAAGGTGGATTGATGGAGCCGGAAGAGATGGAAAAATTGGAAAAAGAAGGTTACATTGCTGGTAGTGGTGGGCAAAGGAAAGGAATTGAGGAAGATGGTCAAATGAATGTAGAGATGGAGGAAGTGGAGGATGAAGAATACGCTTGAGTTATTTTGGACAAGCGAGAGAATATATGTACGATATGCGAGTTGAATGATACCCCCGAAATTAACGCAATTTGATATTTTCAAATACTCTTCAGATGATCACTCAGGCAATCAGCAGATCTGAAAGAGTAAACTTACCTAAGATTGTTGATGGATTGGCAATAGTGTCCTACCGAACATCTCTCTCACTGTCGACATGTCGAAATACATATGAGAAATTCACATTCAATATACAGTCACACATCCGCATTCAAGGAAATGCATATGACAAAAAGAAGCTCATTCACAGCAAGAAAAATGGACACTGCGAGACGCGGGGATCTGAATGACATGTAACGAAGAGTAAGGGGTAAAAGAAGAAGATAATCAATATCTGAGTGAGATTTTACAACCCGAGCGGAAAAACATCCACACAAATGAAGGAACTTGAGCAAAACAACCCGAGAAAAAACTGATAAACTCACCCACTTTAAATCATATCTTCCTAGCATTTCTCTGCTCACTCATTTATATCTCCCGAACCTTCTTTCCATGGAAAGTACCTACCTATCTAGAATCATATCACCCCCCCCCCCCCCCCCCCCCCCTCCCGTCCTCAATCGCAATCTCAAACTCGAGCACCAGACCCTTCAATATTTATCAACAATAAATAAAAGTTCCTACGCAATGAATCAGTAGACGTACTTGTATTTTATAGCACGAACTATCCCAAACCCGAACTTGCATACTAGATATGCACTGTGCAGTAACTTGACTAAGAGATTGGATAGTCGGTGTGATTTATTGGCTTAGAGGTAGACATTTGGGATAGATCGTGCTGGTGTTATTGCTTGAGTTAATATCTTAGTTTGTGGAAATGATGGTTGTATACATATACAATATCTTTGTTTTTGCTGAAAGGCTGTTGTCGCTGAGTATATAGCGCCGTTGGAACTTGGTATGCTCATAATATATACTGGCTACTTCATTATTCACATACTGTACTTGGTACGCAAAGTATCTACATACTAGCTGTTTTTCAACCCCTTTTCCCCGATCCGAGGCCCATGGGTTCAAAGTTGAGATCCCATGGAAAGATGAACGGTCAGGCTTTTATATTTCAAGAAAAAAAGAAGAAGAAAGTATTAAGTCTTCTCACTTGAAATTTTAGCCGGATATGCAATCCATTTGCAATGAATCACATCTGTGCCAGTTTGATTCCACATTTTTATCATCTGTATCTACCCATTCCGTAATTCTAATAGCGCGTATGTATATCGTATATTTCAAGTCTGAGGATCTGCTTTCTACCAGTAAATACGATTCTCGCCTGCTTTTCTACAACGGGCAACCTATTTCTAGATAGTTAACTAGAGCGAGAACTAGTATATCAATACCATTGAATGGACTCTCAATACTGTATACACTAGCTAGCATTAGCCATCAAGAGATCCATCTTTTCGTGATTCCACAGTCTTTATACGATAGTCATTACAGTTTAAGCCTCCGCGTACCTACAATAAATACCATCTATTGACCAGAACAGAACCTTCAGTGAACCATCTAAGCTTTAGAATCCGGCCCATGTCTACGTAAGACTTGAGCGTGTCAACTATACTTTGCATGAAAGTCTTGTCTATCTACCTCTTGAGAGATAACATTACCATCTCCATGCCCATCATATTTCCTAGCAAAAATCCAACCTACTAGAAGGAAGCAGGCCGAAAGTCTTTCTGTAGTATATAAATATCCATTTACATAGTGAAAATATGGACCGGGGGGTATGACCTTCGTTGTAGATACCAGTGTATCTGTATTCGCAGCATACACACTACCAACTCGTAGATTGGAAACAGAGCATTATATGCAGGTACGACTGGCTATATATGTGATCGACACAACGGGACCTTATTATAGCAGATGCAGACGAGCTTCAAGGGGGGTAGGTTTTAATTATTTTTCTTTGTCTACTTTGTACAATTAGATACATAGAGATGCATCGCATGGTTAGTGTAGCTTTAGCTATAGATAGACTGGATTTGATTGTAATTTAGGAATCTACTACTACTACTACTACCATTCCTAATATATCCCTCGACACTATCCTCGTGTATTTCGATTCTTTTTCCCCCTCTCTCCCCTCTCTTCCCTCTCTTCCCTCTCTTCCCTCTCTTCCCTCTCTTAGATATATCATTCATTCTACATCTACAAAGAGAAAGAGAGGGAGAGAGCATCGAAGCCCACCTTCCTTCTAAAACCTACCTTCCTTTTCAAACTTACTCCCTTCTCCCTTCTCCCTTCTCCTCTTTCCTCTCACCATCTCACCATCTCACCCCCGCGCAAAATCTCCAATCTCCAATCTCCAATCTCCAATCTCAGAAACCACAAATACCCCAATCCATTAAACCGCATGCACGTACACACATCTACATAAACATCCGCATCAACATACACTCACTCACTCTAGATGTGAATCTTCATCTAAATCTTCACCTGAATCCACGGTTCAAGATTAGAGAGTAGAGATTCGATATTAAATACCTCTCTTACTTACTTTACTGACTTGCTGACCGAATCACTTACCTCACTTCCACATACAAGCCGACCCACCTCGCCAATATGATCCTTTTCCAATTACCTAACCTAACCCAGGACCGAGCACAATAGAAAACAACAACAGCATGCAATATGATTCAATGAATAAAATGAACAAGTAGGGGAAGACTTGCCTTTGATACATCAGTCATCAATCAACATCAACATCAACCACACACACACGAGAGAAGTAGTAGGTAGGGTAGATAGATAGGTAGGTAGATATTATTTGAAAAATACGTTTTTATAATCCAACGACCGTTAGACATACATATTCCCATGTTTATGAAAATCTTGCCTATGACCTGACAAATTTTCATCATCACAACCACTACCAATTCATTCCCACCACCACCACCGCCACGGCCACCACTAAACACACCAACACACACCATTCATTTAACTGCTTAAAATCCATCCATATCATATCTGTCCTGACTGAAAAAGAAAGTAATGTAAAATAAAGAAAAGCTATGAACTCCACCAATTGATTCCAGCTCCACGCCATCCCACTTCCACCATGTTTACCAATGATGATATAGTATTTTCATCGCGCCCAACATAGCATTGATTCCACCCCTTACCAACCCACTCCCATTTAAAAACAAAGCCAAGCCAGCATTCGCCAACCATCGTACAAGCATCCCCCAACCTGTCGATATATGCCCCCAATGTTCCT